AGTGAAGTGAAGTGAAGTGAAGTGAAGTGAAGTGAAGTGAAGTGAAGTGAAGTGAAGTGAAGTGAAGTGAAGTGAAGTGAAGCGAAGCATTGCATTGCGTTAGCTGGTTTTGATATTATGCATTATAGAATGGTGGTATTTGCATGTTGCTGTCCGTCCGTCAAGTGCTGTGTACCCAAATAAATCAAACGCTGATGCCCGTAACGCGCCTCCCATGCAGGTAAATGCAGAAAAAGAAAAAAATCTTAAAACTGACTACTCCGCGCCCTCGAGGACGACCATACACCGCAGTGTATCCTCGCCTTGGTCCCGCATGGTGGTCTCGACCTGCATCTGCAGTCTCCGCCCGCTGTCCTCGCTTGGACTGACAAAGATGACCTCGTCCACACTCGGCAGCTGCGCGCGGATGAGCGTGATGACCTCCACAGTGCGCCCGACGGCGACGCCGCTGTGATAGCACGCGTCGTCGACGCCCAGCACGTCCTCGTGGACGGCCACCCGTCCAAGTCGGCCCAGCTCGCCGGGGCAGCAGAGCAGGAGGAAGGACCGGAAGGAGGAGGACGAGGCGGCGAGACCCGGTAGGCGGGGGAAGTAGACCATGTCCCGGGCATAGTCAAAGGGGATGCGGCCTTGGGTCCGGGCGAAGCCAAAGGATGGGGTGAGTGTCTGTAGTGCGTGGAGGCGTGACTCGCTGCAGGCGTGGAGGTTGGGCGGGACGGCTGTCGTTGTTGTGCAGCCGGATGCGCCTCTTGATGGTGATGATGATTGCTTGCTGGTAGAGGGGGTGTTGGCGTTGATGGGGATGAGGCGGGATGCTTGTGGTAGGTTGAGGGACCAGATGCGCAGGCGGATCTCTGGTGGGAGTTGTGGGAAGAGGTGCTGGGATGTTGTTAACGGGGCTCTCGCTCTTTGGGTTTGGGGGGGGGGGACGACGTACAAAGTTATGGTGAGCACTGGCAGCCTCCATCTTGCGGCGTATGGGAGCGGATAGTATGTGATGATGATGTTTGTTCTTGACCGCGCGGCATGTACGATGCTTCGTTGCGTCGTGGTGCTTCGAGTTGCTCGTCCTGATTCTCGCTAGGATGGACGCTCTGTCAATGTCGAGAGCGTGGCGGATGTGCGCATATGTCGTGATTTCTTCCGTGGGCACTCGTCCAGCAACGTATGCGACAATGAGAGGGATGAGTTAGTGTTGACAGGACTACTTATACCAGCGCTGAGAATGGAAACGCGGTGGATGGAGTGACAGGGGGGGGGGGGGGAGGGGGGCAGCCGCGCTTGTCTGTATGTACGGTCCACCGACAGCAGGCAAAAACGTCCGGGAGCGGGACTTTCGGGACGCTACGTGACGGTCGTGGCTTGCGAGTTGCGCTGGCAGGAATGGATGGAGCAGGGTACCTCCAATCGGTTTCTGATAGTACTCTATCATTATTATCATTCATTTATTATCTCACGCGGCATACGCTCTGCAGGCAGTCCACGATACCGTACGGCCGTACTCCGTAGTGGGCAGGGTTGCCAGACTGGGCATGGAACACGCACCACCGTTAATGAGAAGCAACACAATGATAGCTGAAAAGACGTGCGTGCCCCATGCTGGTGGTAATGAAACGACCTGCGTGTCTTGACCACCAGTGAGAGGGAGCAGCGAGGGACAGCCCTGTCCATGTCGTCGATCGGCGCTGGGCGAATGACGAGCAGAGGCACGCGCGGTCGCGGCTGTCGTTCCAATTTTCCAGATCCAGTCGCGTTATTTAATTAAATGAGGGTGCGGTGCGTTTACATCATCATCGAGAAGATGCCATTCTGCGTTTCCCATCATGCTTTCCCATGGGCACGGGCCATGGACCTAAGGATCTTGGTGACTGGTCCTTGGGTGCTCACGCAAACATCATCCCCAAACGCGCATCCACTGCCGATCAGTGCGCCCAGAGCTGATCGCCAGTTCAACATCACCCACAACCTCGTTCGCTCGCTTTGCTTATCACGCATTGGCGACATGGACCGGCCGCCTCTTGCTCAATTTCTGACTTGGGGTTGTCTAAGGTATCCTCTGTTCATGAATCCTCCTCGCCGTCCTGACCCCGGGAGGCTGAACGCGGCTGGTTCACCGTCCGGAACGTGAGGTTTCCGGAGGGCGCAAACAAGGAAAATCCGATAGCCTGCTGCAAACCGGGGCAGCCCCCACCATCACGTTCTCAGGCTGCGAGAAAGGGCGTCATCGGCTCTCTACATGTCGTCCATCTGTCTGTAATTATATGCCCTCGGCCCCGGAGGCTTGGAAGCCTGGAGGCTTGGAATGCTTGTAGAACATTGTCCCGCCCCGATAAATTTCGGCGCGGGACGTCCAAACCTTTAAGACAAGTCAAGTCAATTAAGTCATTAATAAGCAAGATCGCCCATTTTGGACGTTGAGGCTTGAGCAGATCAAGCTTTCACTGGTCGCAGGGGTCACGTCACGCACGTGCATGCCTTGCCGCCCAACGCACCCTTGCCCAGGCAGTTGCTCATTTGCCTTGCCTACCCTGTGCTTGGCATACATTCATCGACGCCGGGCTGAGGGAGGAATCGTAGGAAGAGGGAAATCATTACAGTTGAAATGTCTCGTCCGCGTGCAGAACGAAGACATGCAGATGAATCAGTAAGTACGTGTAAGTACAAACCAGGAAAGGTAGGTAGCGACGGTTTGCCGCCCTCGACGCTGGCCGTTGGCCTTCATTGGCCGGCTGCCACATGCACGCTCACGCAGGTACCTCCAACTAGGCGCCCACTGCATCGATTGACGTCGGACTGGATGCGGTTCCTGCATCGACACATGAACCCCCATTCAAAGTGCCGGCGCTTACCTGCCTCCACGCGCCCACAGCGTGGTCTCGAGATGATGGACCATGGCGGGGGATTGGCCGCCCTGAGCAGAGGCGACACATTCATCACCCGTCAAGGCGGCTATCTCTCGCTTCCTCGCGAGGCGTGCACGAGTATATCTGGAAGAGATGGCGCCCATCCGAGTTCACAATGCTAAACATTGTCTCGCGATTCTCTGTTCCGTCCATACTACCTGTCTCATACGGTCATAATACCCCCCCACACACATCCAATGAGCAACATGGAGCCCAGCAAACTCAAGACCCAGGTCTCAGCCTCAGACATCTCCGCCACGTCGACCACTGTGGCCCCGAGGGCGACAATGCTGCTCAGCTCCGCCCAGCTCGCCCTCAGCACCGTGGCCTTGGCGGCTGGCGTCACGGTCCTCGGCGTCTCGGCCGATGCCCTCAAGACCTTTGACGACACCCATCTGCCCTCCGAGTACTTCCTGCCCCTCTGGCCCGCCGACGTCGATGTCAGGCCTGTGCAGGGCATGGTGGCCGCAGGGACTGTTGTGACGGTTATGAGTCTGGTCTCTCTTGTGATGGGCAGACTCTCCATGGTAAGCACATGGACAAACCCTCCTCCGCAGTGCGTGAGCTCACCAGTGATAAAGACGAGAAACAAGCCTCTGCTACACATGATCCCATCGCTACTAGCCCTCCTCGCCGTTCTCGTCGCCGTCGGCCTCTCTTACCACCTCAACGCTGCAAATCCCACTGTCCACAACTGGACCTGTCGCTGGCGCCAGGTCCCCATGCAGCAGCGCCCTCACTGGGGCACGCTGTGCAAGCAAGGCGAGGTCGGCTTGGCCTTGATGGTCACTTTGATTCCAGTCGAGGTCATGCTGACGGGTGTCTGTGCGTATGCGGCCCTGGCCCAGAGGAACAAGTCTCTGCCAGAACACTGAGGGGAATGTGCCAGCCATGCATGGCGAGCTACGGCCGTCATCTTTGCTCCTGTTGTAGTATTATGTTTCCAAGGATGATGTTTGCTCGCGGGAGAGAATCTGTATATACGTGTTTCAGGAACCGGGTGTTTGTTGATACGAGTGTTTGGTTGCACGTGCCTAGGCACGGCATCTGCTGTGCTAATTGCCGATATGATGGAGTTCAAATTCCAAAGAATAATGATACTACTCCGGAACGTCATGAGACTCGTGAACGGTGCTGATGACAGGCAAGGATGACTTTCGCAGTCTTGGAGGACAGCATATGTGCGTTGGCTCGAGCCATGTCACGACAAGCTCACATCGCCAGCTTGGCCTCACTTCTGCCTCACCATCTGCACTCGCCCGTGCGTGCTGCGGGGACCGGTTTGAAGTTTGCTGCATCACATCATTGAGCGCTTGAATTAAAATTGTAGCATCAGAGAGGTTCGCTACGCCCACTCGACCTCGACCTCGACATCGCAACAGCCTCCTCACGTCTGACACCGTAGAGTCCGTGCGCACACCCGTTGCGACTTCGCAGAATGGCTTCCACACCTCACTCCACGCGGTACCTGCCCTCGTCACCGCGGGTCACACCTCGAAACCTCCCCGATCCTCCTCATCCGCCGTCCGGCCCTCGCCCTGAAGCCCCATCCACGCCGGCCTCGTCAGGAGTGGGCACCAAGGACCATGCACAACAGCCTTTGCTACCGCTACCAGCACTATCCATTGCTCCGCTGAGAACACCATCGTCGCGTCCCAGACAGCCTCCTTTGCCTCCTGTTGCGGAAGGCGACGCGCACCTGCTGCGAGATGTTCGCAATCCTCTCCCAGGAGACTCCCCTCTAAGAGGACGTGGCTCGGGTCCCGGGCTGTCGAAGCAGCGCAGCAATTACTTTGACAAGGTCTCTGGCGCAAACGGGGATACTCGTCAGGGCACAGCCGTCGTGGTAGCGGAGGTGAAGACCAACGTATTTGTGAGAGAAAACCCCCTTCCGTTCTTCATCTGCGCAACAGCACGCAAGGGCTGACAACTCAACGCATGACAGGTACAAGATGAAATGGCCTTTTTGAAAGCCCTCAGTGACCATCTGAGCACCCGCTACGCTACGCCGCTCGAAAGCATAGCCGTCCACCTGGTCCACGGGACGTGTCTGCTCCTCGGGGGCACATTTGACCCTGCGTACATTATCTCGATAGGCACGCTTCCCCGTCTCCTTCAGACGGCGACGAACAAACGAAACGCGGCGCTCCTCCAAGAGATGATGAAGGACTTGTGGGAGGTGAGCGCGGAAAGAGGGGTGGTGCGCTACGTCCCCGTGGCGGAGGACTGTCTCGCCCGGGGTGGCGAGATACTGGACAGCGTCGCCGCAGAAGACAATGAGGATCGGGATGACGAGGCGAGGCTTGTTAGGAGAAGGACGACGGGAGGCAGGCTTGGGAGGTTCAAGGCTAAAAGTCCGCCACCCATGCCCCGTCTACCGGCAGGAGTGTACGGTCAGGAGGAGGCTGGGGCCGCAACGCGGGCCAAAAGGGAGACGAAACAGGCAACAAATACGGTACCGTCGGGAGAAAAGGGGCTGAGGCACAAGAAGAGCTTCAAACTTGTGCATTCAATCTTTCGGATGCCGTCGAGGAAGGGGGCGGTAAATAAGGACGAAAGCATAAAAACTCAAAGCGGTACGACCGAGCAGTAGCCGACGCTCTGGGTCAATATTGGGCTCTTGACATGACTGAATGTAGAAGCTGTATCATCGATCGTGTCTTTGGTACTCGGAGTAGGTAAATTGCTACTCCTGCCTTCCACTCCACGCTCATACGCTAGTTCTCAGGTGTCCTGTGAATAGGGTAGGTCAATGCCCGGCCTCATCTGTCGGTGCTCACGTGCCACTGGCGAGGTGACCCAACATGAAGGCACCTTGATGATGCTTTATCCAGACTCCCACACGCAGATCATTTCGGCAGAGATAGGGTCGGATAATATCGTAGAAAGGACTATCTTTGAGCCTTCTCACGAGGTGGAACGTTGAAGAATCCCAATATGCACGCTTATGCATGATTGCACACTGGGAACTAGTACGGTAGTACCATGAGAGATCTGGGGTACCGGCCATGAATTAATCGCCTTTGGAGTCTTGGACCATCCCACTCTTTCACGCACCTACTCCGACTTCACTGCTTGCTACATGATTCCCACGAAATCACCGCCCTGACCAGTCTGCCTTAGACCGTTGCGCGGACGTCACGACAATCCTGCCCCTCGCAGATCCTGTTGGCAGCGCGGCACCAATCGGTCGGTCATGAGCTGTCGAGGCGCGTTGGCGACACAGCATTCTTGATTCCACCAGCATCCAACCGCCGTCATGGACGTGAGTTGCTTTCTTTTCTTCTTCACACTGGTTATAGTTGCTGGCATATGGTAGCACCGCGCTACTACAGCTTGCCTTATTGCCTTCGCGCCATGTGCCAGACGCACAGAAACACGCCGCCGGTATCATCATACGACCCTCTTATCGCCTCAAGGTCGCATAGTTACTACGCTGCGCGTGCAAATTCTCCTCTCTCCGCAAGCGAGTCATCGCCGAGAGCACCAGGAGTCTGGTATGGAGAGCGGAAGGCCGCAGCCTGGCGCGCGGTTCTCGCAAGGAACATGCGTTGTCGAGATGGACGATCATGACCATCCTGAGCGAACGCAGACGTCCTGTGTCACCAACCTCGCGTGTCAACGCCGGGCGATGACATCCAGTCTCTAGAGACGGATGAAAAATCAAGTCTTTCTGCTCACAAAGATTCACATGCCAGAAGTCTGGCATCTCATGCGCACGCACCTTCCCAATTCACCTCATTCTCACTTGACCTCGTTCGCCCGCATCCTCGCACCTCCCGCCATCGCCAAAACAAACACACCCACCGAGCTGCAATGTCACTGAGTCTGCCGTTCAGAGAGGATGCGTTTACGGAGATGGAGAGGAGACGGCGCAGTCTCCCCGCTAGAATGCCTCCGAGGACCACGAGCGCCGCACAGTTGAGCTTACGAAGTCACATTGTACAGGCTGCGAAATCTCCCACCCAAGAACAAAATGTGGGCAAAGATACGCCGAAGCCGGGTGATGCTGCGGGTGCATCAGCGCCAGCTTCCGCAAAGGGCAAGCCTCGACTTTTGCTGATGGGCCAGAGACGGTAGGCGATCCATTCTAGGCCAGGAGAAGAAGAGAGAGAGAGAGAGTGTGTGTGTGGGAGCTGACCATCATCAGTTCTGGCAAATCATCCATATCCAGCGTTGTCTTCCACAAGCTGCCCCCGCACGAGACACTGTTTCTCGAGTCGACGGCACGCATCCAGAAAGACTCCATGGCGTAAGTCTTGCCGTCTCCCTGATGGCATACGTGAGCTGACCACACGCGCGGCAGGTCATTCATGGACTTTCAGGTGTGGGACTTTCCCGGCCAAATTGACATTCTCGAGAACCCCGACTTTGACATGGAAGCCATCTTTGGTCAGGTCGGCGCCCTCATCTGGGTCATTGACGCGCAAGACGACTACCTCGAGGCCGTCGGCCGTCTGAACGCCACCATCCTCGCCCTCCAGGGCAACTACCCCTTTATCAACATCGAGGTCTTCATTCACAAGGTCGATGGGCTGAGCGACGACTACAAGCTCGACATTCAGCGCGACATCACCATCCGCATCCAGGACGAGCTCAGCGACCACGGGTGCGAGAACGCGCCCGTCACGTTCCACCTGACGAGCATCTACAACCACTCCATCTTCGAGGGCTTCAGCAAGGTCATCCAGAAACTCATCCCCCGGCTCGGCACGCTCGAGAGCATGCTCACCAACTTGTGCCGGACGTGCCGCTTCGAAAAGGCCTACCTCTTTGACGTCCTCAGCAAGATCTACATTGCGACAGATTCGTCCCCGGCCGACATGGCCTCGTACGAGATCTGCTCCGACTACATTGACGTCATCATCGACATCACCGAGGTCTACGGCACGTGGCATCGCAGCGAGGATGGCCGGAAGAAGCTCGAGGGCGCACCGTGGGGCGTCAAGCTCGAGGACCAGGTCGGCTGTGCCACGGCCGAGAGCTGTCTCGTCCTGCACGACAGCAGGAAGCCCATCATGCTACGCGAGGTGGATCGCTATCTGGCGCTCGTGGCGATTATGAAGGAGGACTCGTACGACAAGATGCCCCTGGTTAATATGAATGTGGATGCCGTTGTCGAGGGCCTCACAGATTTCTTCAACATTACAAGGAGGAAGAGTTAGCGTGTGTAGTAACGTGTTTATTCTATCAATATCCATCTCGGCGTCTTGGAATAAGAATCGCTCTATTCTTTGGTGACGCCTGGTAGAGTATATGTCCGCCACGTCGTCCGATTACTGCTCAGCAAGCATATTCTTTGCGGGATCTTGCCTCGAACGTTTGCCTTTCCGTGTATCTCCATCCGAATTGGTTTGTGACCGGGCGGCAGCTGATATGTTGTAAAGTCACGGGGCTCGATGGCCTCTCTAGGGACGTTGGTCCCGTCGTACGCGGCGAAAGGGATCGACTGCGAAGAGGTGGGAACTGTGGTGACGGACACGGATTTGTCTTCCAAGGTCAGGGAGATTCAAAGGGTTGCTGCCACAGACAAGTAGACTGACCTGAGTTGACGTGGAGAATGGCAAGGTGATTGTCATCGAGGTACTTAATGTCGACGGTTTGACGGTCTCCCAAATCAAGCGCACATGCATAGCTCCCCGTATTCGTGCTGATGCCGTTCTTTATGGCCAGCTCGAACCGGAACAGGTAGACTAGCCCTTGTTAGCTGCTACTGGTCTGCGCTTCCTGACCATTGACGCACCTCGGTTGCTTCCATCCTTGGAAGCAAGGGCAGCTTGTGTCATACAGCCCTGGTAACGTTAGAGTTGGGGATGCAACCAACGGCAGGTCTTGCTTACTGTGTCCAGCGCATGCATTCTGGTATCGTACAAATCCACCTTTCGGCCAAGGCTCATCCTGAGGGGGGTGCCAAACCTGACGCTTCGTTTCTTGGCCTCTGCGATTTGGGCAAACATCGTGTTGGACCAATGGATTCCAAAGTCGACCAAGAATTGGACCTTGGGCACTGCCTTCTTGGCTTCCTGCCTGCGCTCGAGCTTGCGAATTTGGGCGCGCATAGCATCTTTTAGTGGGATGCCTTGCTCAGCGTAGCCCCATGCTTCATCTCGATCTTGTTCGGCTACCTCCTCTAGGTACGCTTGCAGAGGGCTGTACACCAAATAAGACTCAATGTACGTCAGTGCTTTACCCGTGTTCAGCGTCGCCTCTCTCTCTGTTAGCTCTTCACCTTCAGAATTGGAGAGGGCAAGACGGTCAATCTGGAAGCGCAGCCATGCCGAGAAGGCTTTGAAATGATCGAGCTCATCCATGGTGTGGAGCAAGATCTTGTTGCCCACCAACATCAGGCAGCTCAATATGTCCATTACCTTGTTGATCTGCGCGGCGGTGAAGCCAATGTCTGCTCGATCATCGTGGAAATGAGCGAGGCCTCGGAGACGGCTGAGTATGATGATGCAACGTTCAAGTGCTGGGAGAAAGTTCTCATGAACCAAGGCCCGTAGGTTCTCCAGCCCAGAGACCACCGCCTTATCCCACCGCTTGTGTCCCTAAATTTGTGAGCATATGGCTTCCATAACAGCCCAATCACTTGACATACACGTTCCGCCAAGCTGTCGACGAGCCACTCTTTCACAGGTCCATGCGCGTGCCCTGTGACGAGAGTATGATACAACGCGGCGACGATGTTGTTTGGTCCTCGTTCCATTTCTTCTAATCCCGCTTCTACACTGCGCAGAAATCTGGTTGGTAATTCCCGTGTGCTCTTCCATTCGAATTGCATATGGAGCTGTGTTTGTTTCAGATATCGCAGCAACGTCTGCAACGTGGTCAACTTGGCGGCAAGCAATGACAAGTTGATCGGCACTGATGATATAAAGGGAAGATCCATTGGGACCAGGTGGAAGTGCTCGGGGCGTTCACCAGTTTCGGCCATCAGCAGTGCGTGCGTGGAGATATCCATGTGCGATGCCAGGCCCAGAAGCTGGGACGGACTCTGTGATCCTGATCCTGGTAGTCCGGGCCCAGGAAAGCTCCCAATGACGAATGAGTCGTGTATGCTGAGATGGAGTCGTCCATCAGTGCTGCCGACAATCATGACATTGACCTGATCATAGTCGTCAGGCTTGGGGTCCTCAAAGAGGAATTGGAGGCCGGTGCGAAGAGTGAACACTATTGCGTCCTCGCTGTATTTATCAGCCACATGCAGTCCGCAGAACAAGTAGGATCACTTACCCGTTCCCAGCACTGCTTCCTGGCAGTGGACTCAACTTGGGTAGCGCAGTGTCGACGTCGAAAAACGTCAGTTGCCTTGGTAGATTCGCCTCAATGTCCTTGTCCAGTGGCTCAGTATTCTCAAGTGCTGCACTCGAGATACCCCCCAAGGTAGCTTTCGACCAGCGTGATGTAATTTTATTGCAAGACCAGCCAACACATGCTATCTTCGCATCACTCCCGCTGGGGCAAACTTCGATATGGTGAGCAGCCTTGTTGTTTTCGAGTCCCATCAGGCGGACAACACCATCACTCCAGCCCACAGCAAGAAACTGACCTGTTGAAGATCAGTCAGATGAGGTCTAGGATGTCTAGGTACAATGCACGACTTGCCATCAGCCTTCCATGTCAATGTCAGCGCCTCGGGTGCTTTGACCCCAGGTGATCCAAGCTGCTGGATTTTGGACACTACTTGTTGAGGTGCGCGATGTACTCGGACATGATTCCCTGAAGGTTCTCGCGAAGCGCAAAGATCTAGAGTTGGACACCCTACCAGAAGCCCTTCTGGGACACGGTACTCGATCTCCGTCTGGCTGTAGAGAATGAGTTCTGCCATGTCGTGGTGTGCGCAGTGGGTGACTTCATGGCGTGTTTGGGAAGATTCGTGGTTTCAAAAAGACAGGCCGTACCTGGAGATGTTTGTGAACATCGCTTGTCGCTTCTACTGGAATTTACGAGGACTGAAGTGACCGAGCTCTCCTTCCTCTTACGCGTGGAGCCGCGTTTGAAGTACAGTGCGCACGTAATTACCTTACACACCGTACTGCACTTCGTCTGAATGGCTCCGTGCACATCCATTTTCAAAGCCACTTTAGCAATTGATCAAGTTGCGACCTTCATCGAACTATGAATTTTATAGGCGGTTGCCCCGAACTTTGCTGCACTCTTTTGGCAAGTCAATCGTTGGTGGCGGCTTGGCATCACCATAGTTCTACAGCACAGTGCAATCCGGATGTTTACGTCGTATGCCATCATCGCACGGTTCCAGATGACAAGGCTCTTTGCTTTGACGATCGTGGGGTGTGTGCTTCATGCCACGTTAGATTTGAGCCTGACCTGCTGCTAAGACTCTTGGGCGACCTACGACCCTCTTTTCGAAACCGTGCCCTAGACCAACGCTTCGCAAGACAAATTACAGAACCGTCTACTCGATCATGAAATTATCCGCAACAGTCCTAACATCTTTGGAGAAAGTGACCTCCTCTCCTTCTTCCAACAGGGACACGGAAGTGACCTATTTGTATTAGCATTGTCCAGCTTTATTCTCAATTCGACCAGAGTACTTACGTCAACCTCGACATATGGTGTTGTCTTGGTAAAGCGCACAGACATGGGGAAGAAATCATTCTCATCGCTGCTCTCCGCCTCGAATTCAAAGGAGCCACTGGGTTTCTCCTCGTCCACTGAGCCAATGTTCCATTCCAAGGCGTCGCCCGAGACATCATACGCAGCGTCAAAACTCGAGACAACTGGCTCGCTGCCCTGGTAGGGGATGACGACACTAACATCACGAAGCGAATCGCCGCCCGTCAGCTCATACTCAATTGTCAACGTGTACTTGCCCCCATCCCCGTTGACCCATACGGTGAAGGCGATAGGGCACGCGCTTGAGTCAACGCCTGCTGCGCGCCACCTCAGAACTCCGACTGCATTGTTCACTGGGAACCCCCGCGCTATGTTGGTCATCTGGATGACCCTCGAGTTGTTGAAAAGGTTCTTATCAACATTAGGGTGAGTGCGGAATTGTGCATTGTGAGAAGCCACGGCCTGTAGCGCAAGTTTGACCTTGGTCAGACTAGGGTCCGAGATGCGCAACGTCAAGTCGCCGCTGACGGCCAGTGAGTTGACCTCGCCATCCCTGGATAATTTGGCGCTAATGTTCTCGGCAATGGTAACGTGAATAGCGTCCCGGTCCAGCGTCGATGAGACTCGGGACTCTGCCGGCTCTGCGGCAGCCGCAGCGGGTGCAGGTGCCACGAGGGGTGAGTTATCAATCTCACCACCCATGTCTCCACGAACACGTTCAAACATGTCCGTCGTCTTCGACTTCTTCCCGAGCTGCATGCCCTTGCCCTTGGACACCAAAGGCTTGTTGAATGTCTTGTTCTTCTCCGCCTCGTACGAATCCACATTGGAAGTCGATTGGCTAGGAGGAGTGTATGTCGGGTAGACGGGCGTTCGGGGCATGCTACCACGACCGGTTCGCGCAGACTCTTTGCGCTGCATCTCGAGTTGCTTCGCCTTGCGCTTGCGCTCCTCAGTAGCTTCCAATTCCTTGTTTCGGGCGATGATCTCCTGGATCCGCTCCTCGTGACTCTCCATATCAAGGAATGTCCTAATCTGGCTGAGCGTAAGGTTCTCCCGATACCCAAGCGTCACCAGCTCGTCGAAAGCGCTCAGCAACTCGTACGCATTTCTCAAAATCTCCCGCTCATCGAGACTCTTGCATGCGCTGGTAACGACCTGCGCGAACAGGTGGAGCGAATCAATGTCTTGCAAGATGTTCGATTGGCGATTGGTGATGAGGACCATGTAGAGCTCATCGAGCGGCTGGTATACGAAGCGAACATTGTCTTGCTCAACGGTCGTATGCTGTGTGCCGCTTTGAGCGAGTTTCGGGAACGAGGCAAGGAGAGCTTCGACGCGGGATCGTGGCATCTCGCGAAACTGCCTGGAGAGGACAGCTTTCCCTCCACGGGTGCAGATCGAAGCCGCGAGGACAACCTTTGATGCGGTTAGGTCCCAAAACTCGGTGGCATCGCGATGAAGGGGTATCACTCACCATTCTGGCGGTTTGTGGATGCTTTCTTAAGGAGCGACCAGGCTCTATGTTAGTCTTATGGTGTCGGTGATAGCTGCTCAGGCAACATCATTTGGCTCTTGGACAGGCCCCTGGAGCTGGCCAAGCAAGGAGTTGGTGGGGCAGGCTAATCAGGTAGGCGGTGTGGCTTTTCTGCCTGGCTCATCGGCGTTCACACGGCGCCAGCATGGCCTCACGCGTTTATTCAAAGCTAGCAAGCAGATCCCCATGCTCTTGGCAAGCCATCTCGTCACTCGATATTTGGTATATGCCAAACTCTCAGACTTCTATTCATCACTGTCACGCATCTAGGGAGACCCTTACACATTCGATTCACTAACACGCTTCTGTTCAGCCCGCTACAGCCTGCGGCGCAGTTGGACCACCATCGGGCTGCTTATTACCTGTCAATCTTCGACGAAGGCAACTGGTGAAACCTGGTCTCTCCACGTCTCCCCTTCGCATTCACTACCGTGATCACGGCACACAAACTTAAGCGCTTTTTACGCATAGTCAAATGTCAAACTCCGTGGCAACAGTACCATCTACAAGCACGTCAAGTAGAGACTGAGCCTCTTCACAACCGCGCATACCTGCAATCTAAGTCGCGATTTGAGAAATTCCGCCACGCAGCAAGCAAGGTTCCGCCAAGTATGACCGACAGAGAAATGGACGTCGACACTCGCACGTCCACAGCTGTTTTCGATGACGACCTAATCGATTATGACGACGAGGACTTCATAGACCAGGCTGGCACGAAGGAAGAAACGCTCCACTCGATTTTAAAGGGTGTCGACAATAGCACCCTGAGCGAGCAGCCAACAGTAGGCACAGTGGATACGACAGACTTAGACGGCACCTCGAAGGACCAGACGCCTCTAGACATGGCACTCAAGGCAGAAACGACCAGCAATACGGCACACGAGGACGTTATATTTGAAAATGAGGTTGACGAGCCCACTGTTCAGGAGTATGTCGAAATCGAAGATGCTCAACATGCGGATGACCTGGGCGAATATTTGGAAGATATCCCAGAGCAACCAGCGGAACAAGCTGCAAATGAGGACCAAATTGAGCAGCAATATGAAGTCGATGATGGCGATCAGCAGCACGACGAGTCAATGGAAGGCATGCGCTACGGCGAAGAGCAGGATCAACAAACCGAGCAAGTAGATGAACCTGTCACCGAGGCGGATGCCAATGAAGAAGCAACAGTGCGTGCCCCAGTAGAGGAGTTACAGGATCCCGAGGACTTGGAGTCCCCGATGACCAACGGAAACGATGACACCGAGGATACGACTTACGTCGAAGAATTTGTCGATCATCCAGCTGAAGAAGAGAACCCAAAAGAGCATGAGCACCTCGAAGGCACATGGGACGGCGACCAAGAGGGCGAGGGGAAGGAACAGAACATTGCACCTGACACCAGGGACGAGGCCTTTTCGGAAGCGCCATTTGCAGCTGATGGCGAAGACCGAGTAGAGGCTTCATGGGCGAATGCCGAACAGGCTGCGGATTCAAGCCAAGAGAAGCACGATGCTGCCGAAGCCAACTGTCAAATCGTCACTGTGCAGTACAAAGGAGAAGAGTTCCCCTTATTCTCACGCGACGCTGAAGGCTTTTTCCCAGAAGAGACTTGCCTTGCTCTCACAATCGACCAGCTGCTCGCGGGTCTCCGAGTCGAACTAGAGAACGAGCTGGCAGACGAAGAGGAGCTTGTGTTTCAGATCGACGAGCTGGGTCTCGAATATGCTGAGGTTTGCCCATCCATCCTGGCTCGTCCGCTAATTGAAATAACACTAACTGTTATAGTCTTCGAAACCCGAGCACTGTAACGTGACGCTTAGCTACATACTCGAGGTTTTTAACCTCCTTGTCAAGAACCAAGGCCAAGATGACTCTCGAACCCTATACACCTATCTTTTCACGAAGACAAGTACGACAAAACGACTTACCTCTTTGTGTGAGAGCGCCAATACGGGACGGGGTCTTGACGAGATTTGTCAACTATTTGAATCACCCATGCCTCAAGCCGTACGCAACGAAGACGCCGAGAGTATCGAGCTTTACGAACAACTGGACGATTTGGAGAGCCCAGGTGACGAAGCTCAGGAGCACGACGGGGTTATTCAACCAAATTCAGCAAAAGAGCAGACCACCCCGCTACAGCCGGAGGCTCATGAAGACGACGAGGCTGATAAGTTCCACGACGAGGCCCCAGCTCACCCCAATCATGACCTTGTTGATGACAAAATTAACGATGCTGTCCATGACCCAGAGGAAGAATTCATTTTCCAGCAAGAGGGAGAAGAGCAGAACGATGGTTCGCAATCGAACGAAGCCCGGGACGCTGAGACAGGCGAGGAACAGTTTGTTGAAGAGCAGACTCCCCAGCCAACAATGGGAGACACCAATGGTAAACCAGCCGCTCTTCTTTATACCCTGGGCCCCTGGCGCAGCCACCACTACCACTACCCGTGCTCGTCCCATGAAAACACAGACATGAGCGCGGGCAGTTATGTTCTCAGCTGTTACAACGAACCAGATGCTGACTGCCCCTTTCCAGCTACCACAGAAACAGACTTATACGGGAAGTCGGCGGCAGTGAATGACCATGACGTCGAATCCGCCACGTACAATGGTCTGGCAGATGCCGCCACCCTGGAAGATATTGCGAGCCCGAGGCACATGCTGGATGACGAAGACGAAGCTCCAAACGCCACTTTCGACGTTGAAGTGCAGCCAGAGGTACCAGAGGTCCCTACGCTTACTGACGAGACCGACGACGCAACGTGGGACCCTGAATTCGCACAACAAGACGCAGAGCACGTGGTCTCGCCAAATACCAAGAGGCCCCGGGATGATGATGAGGAGGACATTGACTACGAACAAGGTTTTTATCCCCGTCCCAAACGTCGCTCTGATCACTGACATCCTTTAGAAATCAAACGTCAACGTTCATGAAATTGATATAACACACCAACGTACTAATCTCCTCGCTCTCAGCGCCGCCATCCCCTGAGGCATCTGGAACTGAAAGTATGATCTCAGTCCTTGATCGAGCAACGGCCAGAGGACCTCGAAAGACTGTAGCTGCTGCATTGCGGTCCAGCCTTCCTACTAATCTTCCCCACCTAAAAGTGTAAGTACTCGCGACGAACTAATGTAGGTCTATGTTGTCGGCCCTTGGCGACTATTTCTCGATTTTTGATTTCGCAATACCCTTGCAGCATTTCAAGTATTCGGCGTGGAAACGGGTTGCGCTTGCATGCGCTTGGAGTACAGGAGTTACCTTGGTAAAAGCATCCAGCAACAGCCTTCTTTGGCTGAGGTTAAGTATACCGATTCGACTTGACACCTATTGTCGTCGCCAAATATACGCGCCAGTTTAGTACGACGAAGCCTTTATGTAGCAAGACTGGGACGGAGGATCGTCATTTCGAGTTTGTGAAATTGACCACGAGTTGCAAAGAGAGTGCTGCTGTGCAATTGAAACCTTGGTGTCCTGATCATGAACAAGCAAACGTCGCGATGCCACCACTTTGTCGAAATCAGTTGTCTATCAGCGTCGTGGCGTCCCAAGAGCCCCATTGACTCGCAATGATCACGGCAAGGGCGGCATCTAATTACTCGATCTGTAAACACGTGAAAACTCCCGTCAGCCGAACCGCCATGCCCGTTTCTAATAGCAGGACAATGGGAGTACGCAGGCACTCAGGGGTTTGACGCTGGTCAGACTCAGAAGCTAGAGCCTGAAACGTAGCGCTAAGTGGGGGCTGTAGCCGGACGACGTGAGGGAGAGAATCCTGACAGTCGACTGCGTACGGATACCTGTGGCGGCTTTCGAGGTGTCGTTCCCAAGGTGGCTGAGCAACAGGAAAATCAAAACCTACCGCATCGTCGAGTCCGTGGTGGATCAATAAATTCGCATTCCATTCCCTCCGGCCTGACTGCTGCAGGGAGACTTTGCACACTTTGCTGTTAATGCACGCCACCAGGTCGCACTGGGCAGTAGCGTTCTCAGCAGTCAGTCATCCCACTCGAGCCTCCAGTCGCGCAACCGCTGCGACGAGGTGGCCATTTGACACTACTACCTCCACCACCACCACCGAGTCCTCCACACAACCATCTCAACGACCAACGGTAGCGCGCCAAATCGGCTTCCCGATTGAACCCACAGTGCCGACGTCCAGTGGCTCTCGACCCCTTTCGCGTGCCAACTACACTGAGCGATCTGTACTTTGCGATCGCTGTCGCGCGACCTTCCCTCGCTACGCAGAGACGACAAGACTGAGCGACAATTGACGACAAGATCTTCATGATCACGAGCTTGACGACCTTCCATTCTTTTCGATAAGACGGCGCCAGCGCCAGCGCCACTGTCACGCACGACACGAACACACGAGACGGTTCCCGAGCTTAAATATTCTGCGCACTCCCTGGATAATTCGACATTCGCTCGCCTGGCGCGAGTTATAAGTCTCCATCTCAGAACGAGTCGCCAAAGGCGCAACTCAAGACGGACATTGCTCTCGCTTGCTTGCTCCGTCCGTTGTCAGGACTTGGCCTGGTCCGCTCCGTACTGCGAATTGATTATACAACTGCTACGCTCGTTCTCAGCACAATGATGGAAAATATCGAGGACAAGTACGCCATACAACCTTCGCCACGCTGAATGCAACTCCGTTTGATACAGCACGCTGACGTGTCGATAGGTATATTGGCCTCGGCCTGGCTATCTTCTCGGCCATGGCGATTGGCACTAGTTTCGTTATAACGAAAAAGGTTGGCGCAACCTCCTGTATCTCCTTCGCCCATACAGCGGCGGAGGGCCATCTCGAACAAAACGCTAACTATCGGTCCAGGGCTTGATACAGGCAGAGGAGAGGCATGGTTTCGAGGGCGATGGCTTTGTCTATCTCAAGAACCCTCTTTGGTGGGCAGGCATATCTACGCGTGAGCATCCCCGTGATAGCGAATGCAAATGCAGCAGCTAATGGCGTGGTAGTCGGACTCGGAGAAATCTTCAACTTTGCAGCGTATGCTTTCGCGCCGGCAATCCTCGTCACGCCCTTGGGAGCCTTGAGCGTCCTGATCGGCGCGGTGCTGGGATCCTATTTCCTAAAAGAAGAGCTGGGGACACTGGGACGGCTAGGCAGTGCCATCTGCTTAATCGGTGCAGTGGTCATCGTTTTGCATGCGCCACCAGACGAGAATATTGAGACCGTTGATGAGATCCTCAATTATGCGATACAGCCTGGTACTGTACATCGAACCTTCAATTCTTGGCTTCGCTGACCATGTTAGGCTTCCTGCTCTACGCCATCTCCGTGGTCATCTTTGCTGTCTTTATGATCTACAAAGTTGCCCCGAAACATGGCAAGGATCAGCCCATGATTTACATCTCCATCTGCTCCACCGTTGGCTCGGTCTCGGTCATGTCCGTCAAGGCTTTCGGCATTGCTCTGAAGCTCACATTCGCTGGGCATAATCAGTTCTCTCATCCCTCGACATACGTGTTCATGATTCTCACGGCTGTGTGCATCTTGACACAAATGAACTATTTCAACAAGGCTTTGGCATCGTTCCCCACCAATATGTGAGTACAACAAGGACCACATGTCTCAGTCTCCCTGCTGACATACCTAGTGTCAACCCCCTTTACTACGTCACCTTCACTACAGCAACGCTCTGCGCCTCCTTCATTCTTTTCAGGGGCTTCAATACTGCGAATGTCGTCAACACGTTGTCTTTGCTCTGCGGCTTCTTGATCACCTTTGCCGGTGTATACTTGCTCAATCTGTCTCGGGGAGATCCGCATGGCCAGAAGCTCGCGGCCCGCCGAGTCCATGACGACGCCATTGGTACAGACATGGTCTCAAGCTTTCAGACTCGCCGCAGCATGCAAGCTCGTCGCAGTGGTGAGATGGGACGCTTCAGCCTTAGCAGCCAGAATGGTGACCGCGAGGGTCTCATCCGCGCCTACGATGCGGAAGAAGCGAATGGCTTCGGCCTGACAGACCTGGCGGAAGACAGCGGGAGTGAGAGTGGGGATCGCAGACCGAATGGCAGTGCTCATGCCAACGGCAACGGCAAGGCGCGTCAAGAGACCATTGAGATGGACACCCGGTAGTCTGCGTAGTGATGAAACTAGTTGGCTTTCCAACTCGCGCTCATCCAGTTTTGACGCCGCATTTTCCCACACTGCACCGCCTGTATAAATATCAAGCGCCACCTCTTCCTCAGCGACAATGACAGCCATGTCGCTGGTAGAAGAGATCTGATATTGTGACGATTGGGATACTACTACCTTGCTGCGTCACGATATCGGTCACCGGGCTGCATAGTTAACGATGGAGTATTAGAAAGGGTAAGGGGTAATGGCGTTACGGGGGTCGGTCATGTTTGCTTTCGATTCATGGAAAAGGACGGGCTCGAGGCATGGTCGTGTCGGCTTTGCCAGTCACTCGAGCAGATATTTCGGAAGGCTCAGTCCAAATGTTGGCCAGTGTCGTTTTATTGCCCATGAGCACGTCTGGGACAGTGCTTACTAGAGGAGATATTAGACATCATGCTACACATTCCGCATATTTTGCACGTTGATCGGACAAAGTAAATTGTTTTTGCGTCATCATTCGGGTCTCATTTCCATGGCCTTTTACCATCGCATGTAATTGAACCCCATCCAGCGCCTAAAACCCAGATGCAAATGATTGATGGACACCACAGAGGCAGACCACACCGCCCTCCTCGGTGGACATACCATCGTCCCGCCGGACATTCACCAAGCTTCCTCGTCAACCTGCGGCTCCTCGGCGATTGCATTCTATTGCTCCTCAGCTTCGGCCTGCTGCTGCTCCTCGCCCTCACCCTCCTGGGCCCGGACGTCCTGGGAAGCCTGGGCGGCGGCAGCCTTGGCACCGTAGTCCTGGCTCACGGGCTGGAGAACAGCCTGCTCCTCTTTGGGCTCGATGATGGTGACAGCGTCAGGGAGAGTCTTCTGGGGACCGGCCTTGCCCTCGGGGTCAGAGCCGCGCATGATCTTGACCTTGATACCCAGAACACCCTGGCGGAGGAGAACGTGGCGGGTGGCAGAGTCGATGAACTCCTTGGCGGGTTGACCAGAGTGGATCATGAAGCCGTCAGTGAACTTCATGGACTTGGCACGGGCAGCACGGAGCTTGCCGGAGACGACGACCTCGCAACCCTTGGCGCCAGACTCCATGATGAAACGGAGGACACCATAGCAGGCACGGCGGACGGCGAGACCGTTGAGAAGCTTGTAGCGGAGGGACTCGCACTGAGCGACGGCGGACAGACCACGGTTCTGGACCTTGGCGGCGTAGAGGGAGACGGAGTTCTCAGGGAACTTGAAGCGCTTCTGGATGAGCGAGGTGAGCTCACGGATGCGGCGGCCCTGCTCGCCGAGAACCTCCTGGGTGTGGGTGGCGCGGATGATGATGTCGGTGACGGTGGGCGTGACGCGGACCTCGACGCCGGAGTAACCCTCCTCAGCGAGCTCGCGCTGGAAGAACTCGTTCAGCTCGGCGTAGAAGACACCGTCAGCGACGAACTTTCTGCGCTTGGAGCTGTGACACGATACAGTCAGTACAGAATCCCGTGTGAAGCCATCTCAATCCCTCCAAGCGACAAGTGTGCACCCGGGCGAGGGGCAGTGCGGTTCGCAGTTCGACGGTCGAGAATGGATTGGCAGGCAATGCGAGGAAGAAAAACTCACATCTGGGTTCCTGGGTGAGCCATCTTGACGGATGTTATGATTTGGATCGACCGGTCGGTTTGGCGTGGGGTTGGGCGAGCAAAAGGTCGAGGCGGGCTGGCTCTCTGTGAGATTGTCGTCGCGATGCACCAAAGTTGGCGTTGAGTGCTGTCCCTCAATTTTCGCTGTGGGTTGAGCCCTAAGTTTTTTTGGCTGGCGATTTCGAGGTGGGCCCCACTGCCACCTTGGCAGTGCGGACGCGATCCGCTGGGCGTCGGATAAATGTTACTGCGCTAGCCCGTCCAGCGCCAAGGTACGTACCTGCCATGCAAGGTTTTGTGGACCGGACCGGACCTCGAAGCTTGCGCTCCTGCCCGTGACTGCTGGGCCTGACCCAAGCTGCTCTCTCCCCGTTGGTACATGTAGCTCATGACGCTGATGGTGATGCCGCCCCGCCATGTGTCCCGCTGGCACTGGCAATCTTCGAAATCAAGAACCTGGAGCCCTGCGTCACGGCAACAATAATACCGATACGTGACATTGCCTTGTGCACCGTGAATCACAGCAAATTTATTGTTCGTCTCAGTCTCACGAAATCGATATTGGCGCTGCCCTTCCGTTCAGCTTGTTCTACAACCAACAGACCCCGACTTATCCGCTGCACTGATCAGCGTTGCTTTGGTCTCCAGCCGGTGACTGAACGGTTGTACGCCCGTCGCAGCTTATCTCTACCCTCGTACATAATCACCGAAGATTAAGGGTGACAACCCGATACATCGACACTGACTGTGGTATTTTTGCTGTAACCTGGGAGCTGTTGGGTCAGGATGGACGCCCGCTTGGTAGGTCAACCGTCAATAAGGCGCTATCCGTGTTGACGCAGACAGAGCATTGAAGGCGTCTCGGCCGTCAGCGGTGGCCAAACGAATGCGGGAAAGCTTCGCCTGACCGACTTCCACCTGGTCTTCTGTGCACCCGTGCCCAACTCCACGACAGACCCGTCAGAGAAACCTCGGACGCGAGAGAAATGGATCCCTTTCCCCATGATCTCTAACTGCGTCTATCGACCGGTGCCGCCGGGGTCTAGACAACCTCCTACTATACGTCTACGATGCCGCGACTTTACGTTTATCGCATTCAACTTCACAAACCCGGACAGTGCCCGCGATACGTATGAATTCATCCGAACGCGCACATGCAAGCTTGGTACCGTCGAGAAACTCTACGCGTTCAGCCACAAACCGCTTAAGAACGAAAAGGCTGTCGACGGGTGGAACTTTTACGACCCTAAAGCCGAGTTCAGAAGGCAAGGTATCAGCGAGAAGCTTCCGGACAAGGGTTGGAGGGTTACGAATATCAATCACGACTACAGCTTCTGCGACACGTATCCAGCGGTCTTGGTGGTTCCCTCTAAGATTTCGGATAATGTCCTCAAATACGCTCGAGATTTCCGGTCACGAAACCGCATACCGGCGCTGTCATACATTCACCCAATCAACAATTGCACAATTACCAGGAGCTCCCAACCTTTGTCAGGGATGACTCGTAAAAGCAATGTGCAAGATGAGAAGCTTGTGGCGGCGTCGTTTTCAGCTTCGGTTCCTATCTCCTCTGAGGACGGGACGCCGACTACGAGCCAGCATGACCTAAAGGAAGATATTCCTTCCGCTACTGCTGCTGGCGCACCTGCATCCGACCTTGAAAGCTTGGAGGATGATATGTTGGCAAACTCAAAAGGGCCAATGTGGGACGAAAAGACAGGAAAGCGGCTCATTTACGGCGCACAACAGAACAACTTGATCGTCGATGCTCGCCCCACGATCAACGCAATGGTAAATCATATCCAAGGTATGGGAACTGAGAACATGGACAAGTACAAGTTTGCGTCAAAGGCCTACCTCAGTATCGGAAACATTCACGTCATGCGCAAGTCACTGAAGAAGGTTGTCGATGCCCTCAAGGACACCGACCTCGTCCCGCTGGGACCGGCGCGCGAAATGCTGCACCAGAGCGATTGGCTCAGGCATACCCGCGATGTTCTGGACGGCGCTTCTATCATTGTGCGCCAAATCGGCTATCACCACTCCCACGTTCTCATTCACTGCTCTGATGGATGGGACCGTACGAGTCAACTCAGCGCGTTGGCGCAGATCATGCTAGATCCTTTTTTCCGGACGATTGATGGCTTCATCACGGTCGTTGAGAAGGACTGGCTGTCATTTGGGCACATGTTCCGACTGCGTTCCGGCCACCTGAACCACGAAAGCTGGTTCAGTGTACAGAAAGATGCATTTGCTGGTTCTAAAATCCAACCAGGAGAGAGCGATGATCGGAACGACGCATTCCAAAACGTCCTCAGCGGTGCGAAACGTCTCTTCAACCAGAGCAGCAAAGACGACGGAGATCTCGATGCCGTCAGCGAGCAGGCCACTGGCAAGGTCGTGAATGAAGAGGCGACCACCCCAAACATGACGAGTCCCGTCTTTCACCAATTCCTAGAATGTGTGTACCAGTTGCTTCGGCAATTTCCGGACAGATTTGAGTATAACGAACGCTTCCTTCGCCGCCTCCTATATCACCTGTACTCTTGCCAGTACGGCACCTTTTTGTACAACTCTGAGAAGCAGAGAAAAGATGCCCGCGTCGCGGAGCGGACTTCGTCTGTGTGGGATTACTTCCTCTGCCGCCGGCAAGAGTTCACCAATCCTCAATACGACCCGAATACCGATGACCACGTCAAGGACCGCGAACGAATCATTTTCCCAAATCTGACGGAAGTCAGATGGTGGCATCAGCTGTACGGCCGCACAGATGACGAAATGAACGGCGCTCTCAATGCTGCTGCCACAGCCGAGCAGGATCGCCAGGCAGCGATTTCTAGTCTCCGCGGTGAGGGAACACCTCGGTCCTCGACTTCAACACCGCAACCCCCTGGTTTAGGCAAGGGCCACTCTGTGCTTGCCGCCGTTGAGACAGCCCATGAGACGTTGACCCCCGATGATGGCACTCGCTCGCGTAGGCATAGTGCGTCTGCCGAGGATCGGAATGCCTTCACCGCTCTCAAAGACGGCATCGCGGGCTTGGGCCTTGGTAAAGGGATGCTTGGAAATGTCGCCCCTAACAGCGACGGGCACCCGAATGCGGAAACGGTTTCGACACATATACCAGCACCACAGCGTAGCGACCAGGAGCTGCGAGACATGACGTAGGATATCATATTCCAGAGAGGAGACCAGCACCATCCCTACCTGGTTTTGGAAACTCAAGACACGCGGCGATATCGACAGCGTACGCTCTCGCAGATCGACTGCGATATCGTCGAACCACCGCCAGATGAATCCTAGCAGGTCGTCCAGCTACGCGTGGCCGACTGGAACAGTGGCGATACCGACGAAGGAGGCGGCAAAGGCTGCCTTCAGCGACAGTCGAGCGTAAGCTCGCTCGAATCGAACAGGAGCAGCCTCTCTAGCAAAATCCATAGACACGCCAAAGTGTCATCGGATGATGGCCTGCCGAAGCGCCGATCGTCAGAAGCAAAAGCCAAGGGCGATACAACCAGTTGACCAAGCCTCGTGGCGCGACGAGAGTGCCGTGATCAAGGCTTTGCCTCTGGCGTAGCTCCTCGACCTTTGCAGGTGTCGGAGTATGGACGCTATCAAACCAGAACGCAATCATGTGCCACAGCGTTAGAAGATCTTCAGAAAGTCTAGCTGTCCCGCGGAGACGATTGTCGTCAGCGAAGCACAGAACAGCGACATTCATAATAGACATCAAGAGTTCATCTTCTATGCCAAGTTTAACATTGCTCTAGCTTATGCGAGAAGACGGAGTCTAGGTCAACATGATCTTCTCGAACATTGTGCTCTCAGACCCATCTGGTTGATGTCTTCTATCAGCCCTTCTCCTTGTCTCGGTCATAGGAAAACCTCTAGGTTTATCTCGAGCGTGCTGACGGGGTATCTGAGAAAGATTAGCGGCGATCAAATTGTCCATGGGGTTTGACTTACCTTATCTCAAACTTTTCCAGCACTGAAGGATGCAAGATACCGAATTCACCGATACGACGCTCCTTGCCGCCCAACCGCAGATAAACCGAAGCGGCATGGCCTGCGAAGAAGGTGTCTTCGTTCAACTCTTCAATCCAGTAGCCGTCGGGTTTGCCGGGATTCTCCCTGACCTCGTAGTCTATGCTCTTTCCATGCAGTCCCTCTTCGTTTGTCAAGAACGCGGTGCGCAGCATTGACAACACGCGATCCAACAAGCCATGGACCACCTCGAAACCACTGTTCCTCCCACACCAGGCAGCGGCAAAGTGGCGCTCGTTGTGCGCTTTGCGCTCGAGTGACTCATCCTTGAAGCCGACGTCAGAGACCTCGAAGATCTTGATGGGCACGCTGTGGCCTTTATTCTCGCGGATGGTCTTGAGAAGACCTGGGAGGAGCGAGGTGCGGACAACCTGGTACTCGAGGGTTTTGGGGTTGGCGAGGCGGATCACCTTTGTGCCATCATCTTTCCGGTTCAGCCACTCAAAGTTCTCCTCGTGGCTACACAAGATGAGGGGCATCACTTCGCTCCAGCCTGCCATAGCAGCCTCAATGCGGACGATATCGCTAAGCTTGTTCACCATGAGGGGACCACCGACAGTGGCACTGCGACTGGGTGCGGTGCGGGGAAGATTGTTGAAGCCGTAGCAGACGGCTAGATCTTCCATGATGTCGCACTGGTGAAGCACATCCGGGCGAGTGATAGGCACTTCCACGTCGAGGAGGTTCTTGTCGCTAGTCGAGGGCTTGGCATGGTAAGCCATCTTGCTGAGAAGCTTGCAAAGCCCCTCGGGAGATTCGCCAAGTCCTGTGCAGCTGTTCATGTAATCAACCTCAGCTTGCGCCACCCGAGGCTTGAGGGAAGGGGTCACGCGAGTAAGGTTGTTGTGTTCAGAGACAATCTTGACGGGCTCCACTGTGAACTGCTCAGTGCAATACTCTGAAAACATTGTGACCATCATGTCGGTGACAATCTGGAGCTTGGTGAGGTCGGTAGCGGTAATCTCAATGAAGATGTTTGTGGTGTTGAGGGTGATTTTGGAGTGGTCGCCGTTGATGATGGGTGGCAGCGAGCAAACGACACGGTTCGCGTCATAGATGACGGGGTAGACAGGAGCGTCGCGAATGATGTGAAGGAAGCGACCAAGATGCTTGTCGTTCTCGTAGTAGCTCATGAGCTCCTCAGCGTTCATCTCCTTCTCCTGGTTCAAGGGTCGGAAGCTGATATCTCTTGGGGGCTGTGCCTCGTAGGTGAATGGGCCCTTGACGGTATCCAGGTCGTGTGTTCCGATAGAGACCAGGGTTCGGTTGCGGGCCAGGTTCGCGTGGAGCTTGTCTTGCAGGGCAATGAAGGAGTTGTAGCGATCCTGGTCGAACTTGATGCCGCGCAGCACGGCACCTGCGACCAACGGTCGAACCTGAGCTGTCTCTGGCTTCACCACGATAGTTGGTTCGTCCGCACTCTTCGGCTCCACGATTCTGTACTTCGGCGGTGGTATCCGGCCCAGAAAGACATTGAGGTTGAGGGCAATGCCCTCGAAGCAGAGCATGTCATATCGATTGGCGGGGATCTCGATTTTGAGCTGAGGCGGTTCCTGTACGCCATTGACGACGGGTCGTTCTTGGTTCTCGGTGTCCTCATCGAGTTCGATGCCATAGTCGAAGCAGAGATCGTCGAACTCTTCGGTGGTGAACCTGTAGTCGAGGCGACCGTTAGCCACGTTGCATTGAAGTCGGCGGTGATGGTGGGGGAAGGAGGGGCAGATGCGACATGGTGGTGGGACAGGACGTACTTCTTGCCGAGGGCTTCGAAGAGCTTATACTTGTCGACACCTATGGTAGGCATGCTTGCGAGGCGCTTTTGATATGGGCCGGTCAAAGAAGATTGTCGTCTCGCAGCTACTGTGCGGGTGCCGTGGTTACGTCTGGAGAGCAGGACCCTGGCGACAACTTTTTGGCGGGCGGATTTGGGGTGACTCAGTTCCAATCGCCAAGTCGCACTGTACATAAGGTACAAAAGGTTGTCGGTCGGCGGTCGCATGGATTTTCCGGCATGAAGATGTTCCGCCCGAAGGCGCTTCCAACTCCAGCTCATCTGCGGCGCTGGCGGGCGGGCGGGGCACGTCAGGCACTGACGGAGACGTGAGCTTCCAGGATTGGATTGCTGCTAGATACTGTGGCACTCGCGTGCTCGATGTTGTGAAACGCTTTAACAGGAACTGTGTTTGCGAGTAAAGCTTGTCTTAACTCTAGTTATGCACGTGGTGACCTCAGTGATCTCGAAAGCCTTCTTTCCTTCTTATCACTTTTTTACACATTCGACGGGGTCCAATTGCAAGAATCCAATTTCATGAGATCGAGCCTCACGGAGCTGTGGCTGGTCCGTACGGAGGTCCCACGCTAACAGCCACACGCATCAGCTCCAGTCGTGCCCCCGCCAGTGCTTGTCCTCCTTTACCCATCATTACCTGCCCGATCCCTACATTATTTCGGCCCTTCGATCTCGCCCTTTTATAAGCTGATCAGTGTCTGCCACCCGTTTACGAATCGGCGACATTGCTGCAACACGCGACGTCCTTGTTCGGCTGCGAATCGATTTGACTGGCTTTGTCCCGCGCCAGTGAAGCTCGATTGGTACCTCCACCGCGCAGGCCAAAACCGCCTAACGCCCCCATCGCTGTTTCCCTCACCTACTCAAGTCTCGCGACCAACGGCTCCTAGCCACCACCTCCAATCTCCCACCTGAACCACCCAGAACCCGACCACATCTTGCAGTAGCAACACAGTTCGCCGAAAGAAGTGCGATGGCCGACGAAGCCAATACGAGCGATGGGCTCTATCCCATTGCCGTACTCATTGATGAACTCAAGGTAAAGCGGTGACTTTGGAAGCTCCCGTCACGTCCCGATTCTGACTGTGCTCAGCACGACGATGTTCTGTTGCGCTTGAACGCCATCCACCGCCTCGGCACAATTGCACTAGCCCTGGGACCCGAGCGAACGAGGGACGAGCTGATTCCTTTCCTCGACGGTTGGTGGCCCTGAGCGCACAAAACAAGATACACATCTGACGTCAATCTAATAGAGTCGGTCGAGGACGAAGATGAGGTGCTCGTTGCACTGAGCGAGGAGCTAGGCAACTTCATGGAGTATCTGGGAGGCTCTGAATGGGGTCACGTCCTGCTCTCCCCCCTTGAGAATCTCGCTGCGATAGAGGAGCCCGTGGTTCGCGATAAGGTTCACAAAGCCGCGTCTCATACAAGAGAACCTCGACTAATGCTCTCAGGCCGTCGAATCGCTCAACAAAATTGCCGCCGATTTATCTTCTCAGCAGATCGAAGAATACTTCATTCCCATGACTCTCCGTCTCGCTAAGGCCGACTGGTTCACATCCAAGGTTTCGGGTTGCGGTCTCTTCACAGCTCCCTACAGCAAGGTCAGCGCGACGTCGCAGGAGCAGCTTCGGCAACAGTTCAGTATTTTGGTCCACGATGAGACGCCTATGGTTCGTCGCCAGGCTGCGACCAACCTGTCCAGCTTTGTCCGGGAGATGCCCCCGAACATTGTCGTTGACGAGATGATACCCCTCTTCCAGCACCTTGTGTCGGACGACCAAGACAGCGTGCGCCTATTGACTGTGGAGACACTCATCGCGATCGCTGAGTCGGTCCCCAAGGATCAGCAAAGTAGCCATGGCGTGCTTTTGACATCCCTACGCAACTTGATGGAGGACAAAAGCTGGAGGGTCCGCTACATGATTGCAGACAGATTCGAAAAGGTGCGTCTCGTGCACCCAAATGACAGGCGGCATACTGACGGAGATGATAGATCGCCAAAGCAGTCGACGATGAGGTTGTTTCCAGAGACCTGGTCCCAGCATTTGTGAAACTCCTGAAAGACACCGAAGCGGAGGTCAGGACAGCGATCGCCGGACAGATCCCGGGTTTCTGCGGCCTGATCGACCGCACAGTTGTCCTGAACGACATTATGAGCAGCATTGAGGATCTCGTTTCAGACACATCGCAGCATGTCCGGGCCGCCCTTGGCACACAGATCAGCGGCCTCGCCCCCATCCTTGGCAAGCAAGAGTAGGCCGGAACACCGGAACTACGTGTGAAGCGACGTTGCTGACAAGACGCAGGACCATTGATCACTTGCTGCCCATGTTCCTGCAGATGCTCAAGGACGAGTTCCCTGAAGTACGCCTACACATCATCTCAAAACTTGAGCTCGTAAACCAAGGTAAGTGGGCCACCAGTGCTTGTGACCTCTCGCTGACTCTCTAGTGATTGGTATCGACTTGCTCTCACAAGCTCTGTTGCCCGCCATTGTGCAACTCGCTGAGGATAAGCAATGGCGCGTACGATTGGCCATCATCGAGTATGTCCCGCTGTTAGCAAGTCAGCTTGGAGTGGAGTTCTTCAACGAGAAGCTGAGCACGCTGTGCATGGGCTGGCTTGGTGACACCGTCTTCTCTATCCGAGAGGCTGCCACGCACAACTTGAAGAAGTTGACAGAGGTGTTTGGGGTTGAGTGGGCTAACGAGGCCATCATTCCACGCGTCATGCAAATGGGCAGCCACCCCAACTACCTCTACCGCATGACGACCTGTTTCGCTATTTCCGTGAGTGGAGCGCGAGGCCAACCCTGTGCGCTGCATGTGCTGACCACACTAGACTCTGACGAGCGTCGTGAGCATGGACGTGATCGACAAGTCGATATTGCCCATGCTGGACAAGATGGTGGAAGACGACATCCCCAACATCCGCTTCAATGTTGCCAAGACATACGCCGTTCTTGTCAACGCTTTGCGGAAACTCCCGGAGGAGGGCACTTTGTACTCGTTGGAGAAAGAAGGCACCGAGTTCAGCCCGTCCCCCCGCGGCCAGGAGCTCATTCAAGAAAAGATCATGCCCAAGCTCAAGAAGCTCCAGGAGGACGACGATGTGGATGTTCGGTTCTTTGCCACAACCGCAAGTGCAGACCCTCCTGCGGCGGCGGCATCAGCAGTACCCGTGGCCGGAGAACCAATGAATACGTCACCATAGATGAGAGTAAAATAACAAAGCATTTGTCACACATGGATCAAGCTCTGCCGTCTCATAACGAACTGGCTCAGGGAAATGGGCGCATGCAGCATTCGAACATCCTATTAGATGGTAGTCTGGCGCAATTAGGTAGGTGGGATCGAGGTGGCCGGTGGTAGCATCAACCCAGGAAATGCATGTATGATATACGTTCCCGAACACGTTGTATGCGAGGCGTCCTCGAAAAGCACAATGGATGCGGATATTGTCCATGTTGTTAATTCATTGTTTAGTCTATCCTCTTGAAGCACAATGTTGTGATGGGCTGCCCCTTGACGCCCCCGAAGGAAAATGTCCGGTACTCGACTCTTCCGTCCAAGACGAACCCCTCCCGGTCCTCGAACCATTTTCTTAACTCTGGCTCGGTCCAGTTGCAGCTCGTGATAATGAAGAAGCCTCCCTTCTTCACCAATCCCAGCACCCTATCCCTGTACCCCTCGTTCAACCGCCTGCCCTGGCTGTCTGTCTCAGAGCTGAGCGAGATAGCATCAAAGGTCCCCTTATCCAGGACAACGTCCCACCCCGCTTGCGCTTGCGCTTGCGTATCATTCAGAACTTCTAACAGCGGACCGGAGAGGATGTCCCAGGTCTGGAATTTAAGGCATGGATCGCTTGGCCTCGAAGCTTGTATCGACGTTGCCAGTTCAATGCTCCGTGGGGAGTAGTCCACGCCCAGCATCCTACCCGTCCACGACTCCTTCGGTGCGTCCGCGCCTTCGTCTTGTTCCTGGTCGTCGTCATTGTCGCTGCTGTCCGCGCCAGCATCTCTGAGGGCGAATAATAGCGAGCCGTTACCACAGCCAAGATCTAGAAAGGTGGTTGTATCGCGGGGCAGGTCCTCTGTCGCGAGATAAGACAGAATCTTGGCCTCGGCGTCCGAGTCGTCGAACCAGACTGTTCCCCTATCCGACGGATTGGCGGCATGGTTCTTTACCTCGTTCGTGTACAGGGAATCCCAGCTGCGCGAGCGTTGTCAGTATTGTGCGGTCAGTAGATCGGGAGGTGGGGTGGTGACGGACTAGGCTTTTGTGCCCAGGGCTGAGGAGGGCAAGTGCTCCGGGTTGGTATCGGGCATTTTTTCTTCACCGATTTAGGGGGAAAACTTTAGTGTATAACGACTCTGATATGTCGCATGGATGGGGAGAACGTCGAGCTTTGGCTTGAAGCTATCGCCAAAAGCCTACATCGCGTGGGGTGGTGGAGTGACAGGATGGATGACCCAAAGAAGCTTAGCGTGGTCCCTTTACGATCTGCATCTTTGGAGCCTTGCACTTGGGCCTTGGACGTGCCATGCGGACGGCCCTAGCATTGCACACGCCTCATCAAAACTTCATTTCTACGGGTAACTTTCAAGCGAGTGGAGACGGACCATTGCCAGGAGTCATCACATGCGGGTGTTTCGAGACAGAAAACGTCTTTGTGGTTGTCAAGCTGGAGAATGAGGATCGAGCTGATGTATTACTTCAAGCCCGTCCCATCGCAGTATGTGTATATTGTGGATATAATCATACTAGTGCCACCAATGCAAAGGACATGGGTGTATCTCTTCCCTCTTCATGACAGCCAACCCCCCTTGGGTCATGTCTCTCTCATGCCAATCAATCAGTGTCCAAGCCACACTACAAAAGGTCCCCCATCCCATAACGCCAAGCAAGCAACATGAACAAAACAAGAACACGGGCCCGCTTAGTAGAAACTCTCCACTATCGTATCCTTCATGCTGTTATTGATGTTGCTGGGGCCCATGCCCTCGCCCAGGCGGAAGACACTCTCGATAACGCTCAGCTCGGTAGCGGTGGTGTCCAGGCCGGTCACGGCCAGCCAGTCGTTGACGACCATGCCGGCGCCCACCACGTTGCTGCCGCGGTTCACCGAGCCAGCGACGAGGGGCACTTGGAGCAAGCTCGACAGCTCGTCCTGGTCCTGGATGCTGGTCTTGGGGTGCACCAGGCCGCCCTGGTTCGACAGGCTCATGTAGCTGCCCACAAGCACATTGTCCGCTACGGTCTGGCGGAAGACCTCCACGCCGAGCACGTCGGCGACAATCTCCTCGGTTTCCCGCTCTAGATCCGGGTGGATCAGTGCAATGTGGTCGTTGGCGACAATGACGTTGCCTAGAGCAGAGAGACGCTCCTCGATTCTCTGGATACGCACGCTGTCGGGTAACGAATTGCGCAGGTGCTGAAGCTCCTGATCTGTGGTGGTCGTGGGCACAAGGAGACCCTTGCGGTTGCCGGCTGTGAGGCGGCCAATGATACGGGTGCCAGCAATGGTCGTTCGGACGGTAGGGACTACATCTTGGAGCTCGGCCTCAAAGACACTGCGACCTGTGAGTCAACGGATCCGGATTTGGCCCTGGGGGAAAGGTGCTTCGACATACCTGTAAAAGTTCTCGCTAGCGCCCAGGGCCACGAGAGCGTACGAGTTGGTCAGTGTCGCAAAGACGCCGACTCTGCGCACTAGTTAGCGATCTGATTTGATGTGCCGTTTGGTACCGTTTGATCCGTCTCGAGCCACAGTGGCACACACACACAACAAGGCAATTTTTGTTCGTGTCGTACTGCCTGTTGACCAAGATTGATGGCGGGGGCGGGGTATCACGAGGCACTCACTCGTTGGAATTCTCGAATTGTGCGCGGACCGCCATGATTGATGCTCTTGCTGTGGCTGCGGCTCCTGTGTCGTGAATGTTGAGGATAGGTTGGTGTATGCGTTGCTGCTACCACGGACGGATGTGGTAGGCACCTAAGTAGCAAAGGGTTGGTGATGATGCCGTTGGAAGATTTGATGCTGTACAGGCCTGGCCTGCAGTGACTTTTTTTCGGGGCGCGGGAGGGTCCGTATTAATAAGAATAGGAAGGCCCTGAGCCAATGTGCTGTACCTTCCCTGTTGCTGCTGAAAGGGGACTAGACCGGAACCCAGGCTTGACTTGTGGGAGTCATCGTCCTCCCTCTGGGTCCCGTCTCGCGCCTCGCATTGGGAATGGCCGGGAATGAGTCAACATGATCCATATCCACATCGCCATCGAACCCTGGCGGGACGCTCTGTTTTTCTCGCTTTGATACGCTTCCATGGCTGCTTGCTCAGAGTCATACGCAAGGACCCTGGACCGTCGCCTCCTCGGCTGTGATTGAGCTATTAATCAGACAAGTAGTTATCGGATCTGTCACACTATATCACCTTACGATCTGCCTTGGCTGATTGATTATCAACTGGTTCTTGCTTCATGACAATTCTCGGCATCAACCTAGGGGGTTCCAAATCTGAAGTGACTGCAACTCTGGCAGCCCTACCTCATCCGCCCGCGTGCCACGCAATACTGAACTATGCACTGCGTTGCCTATATCTGGTGGTAAATTCTCGCTCTGGAGGCTCTTCTATGCAACAAACGCTCCTACGACGCTTCAGTAGACCATGAAGTAGGCATCATGACTTAGCTGCTCGCTTTATATCATCATTCATCATCATCACAGCGTCCACACGGGTGCCTTGAATAGCACTTGCCGTCCTCTCACCTCCCACGCCATGAAGCCCGCGAACCGTACCCGAGTCGTGTCTCTAGATTGAGCTGCACCGTATTCTGCGTCAGCACTGTTCCTTGTTCCGGTAGTTGAGACAACGCTGCCCTTGCGGCTCGACGACATTGCGCCGCCGCCCTGTGTGATCCACGTACCAGGTTTCGTTCTGTCTCCGCGGCTCGTACCTTTGTCCTTGCCGTCCTCCATGCTCGACTCGCTGTCGCCATCCTTCTCCAAGGCCGGCAATTCGAGCTCCCCTATCTCCATGATCTCGGGGCGAACAATGTCCCTGGGCAACGGATACGTGATGGCAACATCACGGCTTTCCAGCGGGGTGTTTGCAGCAATGCCGACGGCCAGTTCGACAATCATCGAGGTGCTCCCATCGACGCCAGGCGGAGCAGGCTGGTTGAGGTGCTGGCAAAGGTAGGCAGTCAACCCAGCTGAGGCCTTGGCTATTAGGGCTTGCCGGTTCTCGTCAGCTGCTGAAGATCCAAGGACCTTCTGCAGACCGTCAAGTGTGGTCATTCGCCACTGCACAACTTTGTTTGTTAGAGCCGCAAACTCTTCTTGACTGTGCATGGTGTAAGCATTCCCACGAATGGATTGCTCAATCTGTTTGAGTTGGGCGCTCAGCATTGGATCCAGGCCGGGATGGAAGCACTTTCCAAACAGCTCATCCGCAAGCCAACGCGAGATGACGCCCCGCCCAAGCGCTGTCATCTCTTTCGTGCCAGTGGACAATGCCTCTGGACTAGCAAACAGTGCGATCCACGATGGCAGACTCTTCCAGTCCTTGCGGATATTGAACGAAAGGTTGTTGATGGCGCCATTCAAGCGGTTGAATCGCGTCAGGTACTCACTATCATCCAGAGCAGTACGGGACTGGGTAATACGCTGGTTGGCCACCGCATTCTGGAGCACCTCGACTTGCCCAGTGAGCTCCTCCAGACGGTTCTTACCCTCAAAGTACAAGCGCTTGACGTTTTTGTACTTTGTGACTATGGGCTAGTTAGCAACATTGGATTGACAGCGGGAGGCAGCGCAAATGGGTGTGAGAACGTACGCAGATCCTTGAAAGACTTGTCATCGTCGACGCCACGCTCAGGTTGCGGGCTGTGACGGCCCTGGTCAAGACCAGGAGATTCGAAGCGAGGTGTCACGTCTGCGCGAAACGGCCCGCCCGCAGATGCCGGCTGGGAACCTGATTGATTCGCGGGGATATTCAAGGCGCCCACGGACGAGTTGCTCTGACGGTAGCTTGGAGGAAGTCCAGCTGCTGTCACTTCGCCCTGGGATCGCGCCGCTTTGTCGCCGCGGTTCGCTGGTGGTGCTCCTGCGGGTGGCGGGGCCATCACGGCGTGCTGAGGCTGTGGGCTGAGTACTAGTGGGGCAGTCGGCAGATTGGGCGACGACACAAGACCGTCGGTGTGGTTTGGTCCAGGCGAGGGCTGGACTGATTGCTGACTGCCAGAAGGCTGATCTGGGTCCGTGACGGGTGATTCGTACGAGGCCTGAGAGATCGTCTCAGAACTGGCAGGGTGCTGCTGTTGTTGCTGGTGGTGTTTTTGGTGCTGCGGGGGAGGCGCCCCAAGGTGGCTGCTCACAAGGCGAGGCTCACCGACTTGCTGCTGATAGGACGAAGGAGCCGAGCCGAACTGTTGTTGTTGCTCAGCTAGGAGAGGCTGCTGAGGTTGATGGGATGGTGGTGGGGGAAATTGAGGATTTTGTTGCTGCTGCAACTCGTCGTGAGGTTGAGAACGCTGGTGCTGAAGCTGCTGCTGATCCCGGGACCCCTGTTGAACTAGAGGCTGCTGTGAGCTGAGCTGTTGTGAGTGGGGCTGCAGCTGCTGAGGGTGGGGCAATCCCACTTGCTGCTGCTGCTGCTGATGCAGAAGCTGCTGATTATGGCTTTGTGGCGGAAGATGATGTTGGTTGTGAAACTCGTCGTCGTAGGGGGACGAGTCAGAGTCTTGTGCGACTGGGCGGATTGTTGTTGGATCCAGTTCCGGCTGACCTTGCCCTTGACCTTGACTTTGGTCTTGACCCTCTCGTAAACGATAGTCACGATCCACCTCACCACTGATGTAGTGGACTTGCTCGTTCTCTCCTACGTCGTGAAGTGGCGATGCCTCTAGGCTATATGATCCCTGCCCTTGATTCCACTCGCCTTCCTGGTAGTGGTGACCGGGTGGGAGAGGCTTGGACAGGCGAGTATTGATGGCAGGAGGGTTGTTTTCCCTCTTAGAGGGCCGTCGAGCAAGACCGGTGATATTGTCGTAAGAGCTTCCTCCAGTGAAAGACTGGCCCTGGTCGTATAGTTGCTGCGTTTGTTGAGCTTGTTGCTGCGCCGCCTGCTGTTGATTCTGATCGTTCTGCGATTTGCTGGAGCTGAAGAGTATACCCTTAATGAACTTTCGTTTCGACTTCTTCTCTTGCCCTGGCACCTGCGCTTGTATCGGAGCCTGCGAGTGTTGGGTTGGCGAGTACGCTGCTGAGCTTGATAGGTCTTCCAACGAGGTGGAACTATAACCGTGCGGATGTGTGAATTGCTGTGTTGACTGGTACTGCGACCGCTGTCGTGGATCAACGTGGTTACTGAAACGCTGGCTCCGCGAGCGATTCACCGTCGAGTCGGGTGCCTGTCGCGCATCAAATCCAGACACTTCGTGGGCGGCTGGGTCGGATGATTCGTAGGGCCCTTGCTGCTGTATGTCATGGAGCGATGGCAATGGGGCACCGCCAGTTCCGACGCTTTGCGCAATCTGTTGTCGCGGAGGATGCGGCAGCGATGATTCTCTAGAGGGATAGTGGTCGTCGGACGGACCAGCTGAGGGTGGCGCGTTCGGATCGGCTTGGCTCTGCGTGCGGCTCTGGCCGTAGACGTGGCCGCGCTTGGGATTCGGCTGTTGATGCGGTTGTTGACCAGGTCCCCCAGCTCCAGGCGTGGCCGGCTCAGCGAGGGCGTTGGACGAGCGGTTCGTATGTCTGCCCAGCGAAAACTGCGGCATACTGCAGTCGGAGAGGAAAAAGCAGAAACAAAGGAGGGAAGGGGGAGCGGAGCGGACGGAAGATAATTAGAGGCGGGATGCTGTTTGGGGACGAGGCGGCAGTGGACAATGCAAACTAGAGGCCTCGTGGTGCTGCGATTGCTTCGACTGGGATTGCGCTGCGCGCTTGGGGCCGACTTGGAAGAGGGGAGGAGCCAATCTGGCTACCCAACAGCTTGGCTGGTATCTACCCAAGCCACAATGAAGGTCCCAAAGGGGCGCGGAGCGGTTGTGTCTGCCCAGTAGCTACGTCCTGCTGCCGGTGATGGGCTGTTGGTGCAGTTGACGTTAGTGTGTACAATGGTCTGTGTACTTGTAAGAATGCAAGCTCGAATCTCCAGGAGGAATGCCAATTGGTTCGTGTGGGGCATGTAAGCAACGCCAGCTGCTTCCCCTCTTCCTCGTGATGCCTGACAGCAAGTCACAGTCGCGTTCCAGGGTGTTGTGCTATTTATATTGCCAGATTTGACCCAGTGTCAGTGCCTGTCCGAGCTGGGGTTGGGATCGAAATGGGCGCGGGCGCGGGCGCGGCGCCGTCGACGGATCCCCTGAAGCTGTGGTTGGCTGTCTTTTTTTGGAGTCCTGCTGCTGATACAGGAGATCCTCAAAGTTGCCAATTCTGCAGTGATTACGTGTGGCACGCCAAATGGCAATCGATATTTCAATATCTTTCGCGGTTTCTGCAGACTGTGCGTCTATCAACTGCACAAGTGACTTAAACAAGGCAAGGTCTTAACAGCCGTAAGCTGCCCTATCGTCGCTTATGTAAGGACTGGAGGGGGTGCTGCTCCGCTCCAATCGCGAAATGGAGCGCACAGGAAGCAACGAGGCTAGCTGGAACGACAGTCTTGAGGTCAGAGCCGGCAAAAGAAGAGTTTGTGAGGCTGATCAGTTAGCTCATTGAGTCCTATCGACAGTGACCTATTAGAGGGGAGAGGGGACCTCGACAAGTTGTCATCCATCATTCTGAGTAATGTGGTCAATGCTGCGTGACGTGTTGAGAGTCAGTTTTCATGTTGTTCAAGATTCAGCAAACGCCTGCCCACCAGGCCCCTAATACCATAGCGGCAGATTATCGCAATTCGGCTCGCGACAGACCCGATAACCAAGACAATAAGAACAACTGGTTTCCTGAGATGAACTTGAACAACACGTTGCTCTGATTTTACTGATGAAGTTCTGGTACCAATGCACTCATCTGCAGGGTAGGTATTACGATATCCAGGCCAAATATTGGGGCCGATCTCGGCCTGCACCTTTGAGTTGGATTGGTGCCTCCAGTCGCATTCATTCCCGCCAGGAGGATCTCAGCATTTACAACTTAAACTCATTTTGTGTAAGTGCTGTCTCTAATGAGGGTCCATGATATATGCGGGGAAAAGATAAGGGATGCTGGGCAATCGGAGACAGCGCGTTCATAATCCCAGTGGGACCTTGTCATGTCGAAAGTGCGCCTAGGGTGTCACGTATCTTCGTGCTACATAATCCGTTGATGCCCCAATCCGATCGTATTGTTTTGTTCTAGACTCCTCACTCTACAAGGCGTTTGGGACCCCCTCACTCAATATGCTTCTTACGTCGCCGACGGTCATTGCAAGCATAGCATTGCTCACCGTGGCTGTTCTTGTCTCCCGGACAGTCAAATCACCCCTTTGGAAAGTGCCTGGGCCCACCGTGTCCGCCTTCACTTCGTTGTTACTGAAATTGCACGAGTTGAGGGCTGATCGGACTCTCTATATACAAGAACTTCACTTGCAGTATGGCCCTGTGGTTCGGATCGCGCCGAACGAGGTCTCGTTCACGTCATGGTCTGCGTTGAAAGAGATATACTGCTCTGGGGGAAGCGGCTACGAGAAGACTGAATTTTACGATCTCTTCACAATATTTGGTCGAAGGACAATGTTCACTACTCTGGGCAAAACCGATGTGAGTAGCTGATGGTGGTAATGTCCTCGAGATAGCTGACACAGTCGAGCATGCCAAAAGGAAACGAATTCTAGCAGATCGATACGCAAATTCCAATGTCATGCGTGGTTCTGCCATTGCGGGAATCCAAGAACGTTCGAAAAGATTCATTGCAAGGTGCACCGCAGGAGGACTAGCAGAGCATGATGTTTTTGTAAGTTCAAGAGGCGCGCATTTGGGCCGTGAATGCACTCTTGGCTAACAAACTCCCAGGGCTGTAAGAACGCTCTGCTATATCCATTCAGTGCCGGGCTTACCAAGTAGCTTTACATGCTTACGCTTGTGACTGCGTCACGCACCATCTCTTCCACCCCGAGGGAACCGATTCACTGCGAGATGTTCACGATGAAGAGATGATGCACCAGGTTGCCGCAGACGACAGCTTCCAGAGTGAGACTAAATCCGACCCCCTTTCACCAGAACAATGCCAGGCTGACAGCAAATCAACATCGCAGATCGATTAGTGTCTTTCCATGCCCCAACTCTCCACCGCCTCGCATCAGGTATCCTCAACTTCTGGTGGAAGCCCCGAGAGACACCTCTCATGGAACGATATGTGCAACAAACCAGCAAACAAGGAGAAGCTGAACCTTTCACCCTTCTGAGCCGCTTACGCGAAAAGACAGGCAGTCTTGACGAGGTAGATACAGCCGCGGAATGCCTGGACCATATTGCGGCCGGTATCGACACGACTGGCGATGGGCTCTGCTTCTTGATGTGGGAGTTATCGCAGCCTCGATCACGGGATGTCCAGCAACGCTTACAGGCCGAACTCAGGGCAAGTCCGGATGCTCCCCTTGACCAGCTCCCGTACTTGGACGCTGTGGTGCTCGAGGGTCTCCGCTGCTTCCCACCGATCCCCATGTCCTTACCGCGCTATGTGCCGTTAGGCGGTCGAGTGATCGACGGCACCTGGGTACCCGCGAAGACAATAGTCAGCTGTCAGGCGTATTCTGTGCATCGTCTGAACCCCAGTGTCTTTCCAGCGGCTCATATCTTCAACCCAAGTCGATGGCTGGAGGAGGACGGGGATACCGATAGGCGGAGGTTGATGTTTGCCTTCTCCAATGGAGGGCGAGGCTGTATTGGCAAGCAGTAAGTCCTCACCTGCTATATCAAGGAGAATAAAGATATTGATGTCTTCGCAGCCTTGCCTTGGCGGAGATGAAGACTCTCCTTAGGGATACGTATTCAGCTTATACCACGACTCCCCACGCCTCCATGACCGAGGAAAGCATGGCCATGGCAGACCAGCTGATCTCTTCAAGGCCCAGAGACCAGAAGTGCCTGCTCCATTTTGAGCCTCTAGACTCCCGTGGTCATTCCCATAGCGGGACTTGAGCACTAATCAAGTCGGCTGATCAGTCAGTCTTATTGATGTGAAGGCGCTTGGTCAAGGTATGTTCCTGATTCCGTTTGCCTTTTTTTATATTTCTTTTTTTACTTTCATTCGGGAACATCAAAAAGGGGCCAACCGTATTTTGCCTGTGACTGGCTGAAGGAAAGGTTTGAAGATGGCAAACTCAATTCGACGATGCGGGACTAGTTGTACCTTATGCAACCTAGGGATAGCCCCAAGCAATAGGCGTAAACACACTACCTACCAGAGGCAAATGAATTATTCCTGGGACGTCATGAGTGTGGTTCTGTCTCGCTTTATGCCAGGTAGAGTCCAGCATCCTAACCGTGTACGCACCGTGCACGCAAAGACCGCTCACGGGAATGTCTACGAGCATGTACCGCTGGAAGTTTTGTCTGCGAGGTGTGCAAGCCTCAACATGGAGAGCAAGAGCCACCAGTTTGCGGTCAAGCATGAGACGTTCCCGGAAGATGATTATATCCAGCACTGAAGACGCGCACAATCATAGTGTCCAGCGCACTGTGGGCGGAATGAGTCGTGCAGGACTGCAAGTGCTGGTTGGTGCTGCTCGCCCCTCTGTCCCGCCTGCAGCGCTTCCACTTTTGAAAACTCTGCCCACACGTGCACGCACCTCCTCTCCAGTCTCCGCGCGCTTCCCACAACCATCCAACTTGTCCAACAACAGGCCTCGTCTGCGACAAAACCATCCCGATTGTCCCCACGAAAGATCATCGACTTTCAAGTCGAAAGCAACCGCTACATTCTGCGCACGAAATCAACACTTCGGCACCCCACGACACCTGCTGCGTCTGGCGTTCGACGACAACCTCACCTCGTCCGCTCTCGCACCACACACCGACCACATAGCAGCCGCCAGAGGAATTGCTGTTTATGTATCAGTACGATAAAGTCCCTGTGTCCAGACACTTTTTCACGCTGCAGTTGTTTCGCATACCGCGGCAGCCCTCGAGTCCCGACATCAGTTCTGACGGTTGAACTTTCATCATCAACACGAGATTAATGTCGTCTCATTGCACCATTCACAACTGTCATCAGTTCGCTCCTATGTCCAGTATAAGTCATACTGAGCTCTAAAATCGCCCGTGCCTTGCACCTCTTCGTCACCGCCACGTCCCAGCACATCTTCACATGACACGTCTGTCACCATAAGGTCATTCAAACCCGACAAGCCAGCGGAGACGATCTCGCACATCTTTCCACCACCTGTAAAATCGTCCCTACGCAAACCGCCAACATGTCTCTCATCAACGTCCGCCGCGACGTCAGCGATCCCTTCTATCGTTACAAGATGGAACGGATCCAGACCAAGATCGAGGGTAAGGGTAATGGTATCAAGACCGTCGTTGTCAACCTGCCTAGCGTGGCTCAGTCGCTCGCCCGCCCTGGTGCTCATGTCATCAAGTACTTTGGTTTCGAGCTGGGTGCTCAGACCAACATTGACCCCAAGGACGACCGTTGGATCATCAACGGCGCCCACGATTCCCAGAAGCTGCAGGAACACCTGGATGGCTTCATCAACAAGTTTGTTCTCTGCAAAAAGTGCAAGAACCCCGAGACTATTGTCAACGTCAAGGATGGTCGCATCCACTTGGATTGCAAGGCTTGTGGTGAGCTCTCCGAGGTCGACCTGCGCCTGAAGCTTAGTGGTTTCATTCTGAAGAACCAGCCCAAGAAGAGCAAGAAGGACAAGGCCGAACGCAAGGCTGCTCGCAAGGCTAAGCAGAATGGCACGGCTGGCGAGAACGGCAACGGCCACGTCAGTGGTGAGGACGACGGCTCCGAGCAAGGCTCCAATGGCAAAGACGACGACGATGCCGTCAGCGACGACGAATTGCAGAAGATGCAGGCTGAGGCTCCCACGATCGACGCTAATGCCGAGGTTAAGGACGATGATTGGGCTGTTGATGTCAGCGAAGAGGCCGTCAAAGCACGCCAGGCTAAGCTTCCCGGCGAGCTGAGGCAGAAGCTCACCTTGGCAGACGAGGACGATGAGGAGGGTGGCAGCACCGTCTACGATGATCTGGGCAACTGGATCGCTGCTCAAGCCGAAGAGAAGGGGTCTGTCGACGAGATCGATTCGATCGACATCTATCTCAAGGCCAAGGAGCTCGGCATCGAGTCCAAGCACCGTACTGTCCAGGTTCTGGCTCAGACTTTGTTCGACGAGAATATCACGACTCAGATCCCCAAGCGCCAGTCTATGCTCAAGCAGGTAAAACTACTCGCAACCTACGTTCTCTCTAGACCTTTTGACTAACGTAATCTAGTGCATCACGAGCGATCGCCACGAGAAGGCCCTTCTTGGTGGAACCGAGCGTCTCTTGGGCAACCTTGCGCAGAAGGACCCTGAGATCTACACTCAGGTCACCAAGATCCTGCAGCTCTACTATCACTTCGACCTCATTAGCGAGGAGGTGGTTACCAAATGGGGCGCCAAGGCTTCCAAGCGCTACACTGACGTTTCTGTGTCCAAGAAGGTCCGCAAGGCCGCCGCTCCCTTCCTGCAATGGCTCGAGGAGGCTGAGTCTGAGGAAGAGGAATCTGACGACGAGTAAGGTCGGGTCCAAATGTTGGTTGATCTTGAACACTCCACTCCTTAGTTGTTTGAGCCATGGAGAAGTATCTCGTACATGCAGGATAAGATGAGTGCTAGTAGACAGATTGCTATTCAATTTCCAGTGCTCCTGCTGCATAATCTCAAAGTACTTCATCCCGTGACAGAATGAATCATAGCGACCCTCTCTATGAATTGGCTCGATGTGGCTGCGCATGCGTCAGATATCCTGTTTGTTTAAACGAACGCCCTGTATTATGATGCCTCGGGAGCATCCACATCCATATCCCCGTTGTTTTGTTCAGATAATGGTGCTTCGCCTGTATCAGTACCGTTCACAATTTCTGTATCCGCGTCTGCGTCCTTTTGATACAGATAATCGCCAAGCTCATGGCTAGCATTTTCGACGTTCTCGTTGAGTATTACCTTGCCGGCAATGTTGTCTGCGTTCAATCCTTCGACGAGCGCTGGGAGGCTGTCAACAACCGCTTTGATTGCGGCATCATCACGGCCACCTTCTGCTTTCAAGAAGGTCTCGTGGCTTTCTGGCGAAGCCGGTTTGACAAGAACGTAGCGGGCATCAAAGTCCATGTCTTTGGCGAATTTGGCAGACTAGTGATTTGTGTTAGTGTTTATCCCCGTTCCAGCTCGATCAGACTGTCAACTTACGTCAATTTCCATTTCGATGATAGGAACCTTGCCGCTCTCTGTGACTACTTCAACAACCTTGTAGCTTGTGCCGTAGGCAATCTCGCCTTGCTCCACGTTCTCGATCAGACGATCTCCGTCGCGGAGTTGATTGAATTCAGGGCCCTTGACGAAGTGAAAGTCCTTTCCATCTGTTTCTCCGTCTCTGGGCTCCCTTGTGGTATGTCGCACGACACGTTCGAAGACACCCTTGCGTGCCTCCATGAGCTTCTGAATGATGGATGACTTTCCTGCACCCGGAGGACCAGAGACGATGACAGCTTCCCGGTTGGCGGGCATATATTCGTCAGCCGCAATCTCGTCCGCTGCAACCTCAGCAACAATGTCCTCCAATGGTTCAAATATTGCTGAAATATCATCCGGATTGTCGATCTTGTCGAAAGCAGCCAGTTTGAAACCGCGTGCTATCCGCATAGCTCTCCAACTCTGACTCGCCTTGCGTTCCTGCGCCCGCGCTTTCTCCGCCGGTGTCTTTGCCATCTGGATATCAAAGTCGCTGTCGTTGATTTTGGCCTTGAAAGAGTCCAGGTCTGGTAGTTGGTAGCGCTTTGGGTCTTCGAGCTCCTTCAAAGCTTGGCCGGGCGCTTTGGGCTTTAGAAACTCCATAGGTACTGCACTCATCGGCACTGGACGGAGCCTCTTGCTGGTGGTCACACGTAAGGCCGATGCTTGTGCTTCAGCCCATACTTTTGGATCAATGGGGTCGCGCTTGATAGGCGGACAGCTTGCCATCTTCCAATACACCCAGTTCTTGTCTCGAGCGAGAACAGTCTCGATCACCCTGTAGAACGCTTTACCGGGTACGTCCTTCCGCATGTATTCTGCGATCTTGTCTTTGGTCTCTCTTGCCCAGCGCGCCTACCATCGTAAGTGTATGTCTCGTGTAATGGGATTCTGGAGGACTCACGTCTTCCTCGCTAAATTCCTTTGTATACAGCAGGGAATGGTTAACCTTAGGTCCATCGACCACTGTCCTCTCTTTTGCAGCTTCTATCCAGGGCTGGATCATCTTGTCGTATTTGGCTTTTGGTTCTTTGGTCCACGACAAGATAAAGTTAAGCAGAATTAGCATTTGAACGAGTATGTGGCGGCGAAAGGTAAGGTCGCCAATCTAAACAGTCAGTATGCGCCTGCAGATGCGTCTTGTTTGAGACATACCTCAAGCTCAAAGAGATCACGGCTTGTCAGGTATCTCGGGTTGTAAGCCTCGGCACCTTCACCATCCTCGAGGCCTTCACGCTTCCGCTTGAGACTTGACTTGGGCTCGTCGACTGTGCTTGACCTTGATGTTGCCGAAGGCAATGCAACAAACTTCTTCACAGTTTCTTCGACGCCTCGCTGGAATGGTTTGAGGTTTGCTGGCTCAAATAGCCTCAGCGGTTGACTGAAACTTTCCTGCAGAGGCCAGAAAAGGTCATAGAGCTCGTCGTTTGACAACGGAGGACTCGAGGTTTTGGGTGTCCCAGTATCTGCTTTCTTCCCACCAGGTTTCTCGGTCTGTGGTGCTTCGGTAGCTTTGTCCAGGTTTTCTTCTTTGTCAACCTCCATTTTATCCCCACCTTCCAAAGGCTTCTCGTATGTTGTCACGTTTTCCGCGTGGTATTGTCCGCGAAGATTGACCGAGCTTTTGTCGCCTAGAGGAAAGTACTGGAACAAGAACACGAACACTCTTCCGCAGAAGGCGGTGTCCTCTGCTCTGGAGAGCCTTCGCAGCAGCTCGTTACAGCTGCGAAGCACAATGAGATGCGATTGTTTGTAGAACTTGCTCACGCATCGCTCGCGCCGTGACTCCAGAAAGTCGAATATTATTCGACATCCGGATATTGTCTGGCTCGAAAGTAGGTCCTCGACAAGCAGGAACATGAGCGCCGGATCGCCATGGCCTATATCGGCAGTGAAGAATATGATGTCGAGCAGGTTCCAGATGTTGACAGCCTCGGGGCCGCTGATCGGCGTGCTGGCCTGCCGTCCTGTTAGCATCTGTCACGCACCTCCTTGGTGTACCCTCCTACCGTCAATGTGGCGAACTTGGCCCGTGAGGCTACCTCAACGACATTGTGTTTACGGGTTTTGGCGGCGAGTTTCTCCGTATCGTCGGCCTGCTGCTCCGCTGCTGTGTAGTCGCTCAACACCTGTGATAATCGTTCCGAGAAATCGTGAAGATCGTCTTTCTGGAGAGGAGGGTTGATGCTCAATGAGCGGTCGTCCGAGGGAGGCTTGACAGTGATCGCCTCTCCCAGCACTTCATCCAGGAATGTACGAAAGGCGATCACGCCTGGCGACGTGGTGTTTGCGACGTCGATTGAGGGCATGGCGGCGGGTCGACACAATGGTAGCTGCGATGGTCGCGCAGCGACTTGCTCTAGCTCTGCATGAATTCGAATTCAAAGCTCGATCGGATTTGCTTTTATATGGGTCAGGAGAAATGCCAAGTGGTAATGAGCACGCGTTCTTCGAGTGTGGACGTTGCGCAACCGACGATTTTCTGATTCCCGGGAAGGCTGAGTGACAGGATGTAGGCGAAGGACTGGACAGGAGGGTACTTGGCTGGGTCAGTGGTCAAAAATAAGCCGGAGCTAATGCCACCCTAAGATCGCCCTGCTTGCTTTGCCTATTTTTGCCTCGCGCCTGCTGCCGCGCTGAGACATGTACCTGAAGCTCAGAGGGGCAACTCGCGCCGGGATCTGTCTGCAAGGCTGAAATTTCCAGAACGAATTCGACGTCGCGCTTAAATGCCCATAATAGCCATCACCACCCTGCCAAAGCCACATCAGTCTGTAGGGCACCTTGGACCATTTCAGCATTCTACTGACACGCGATTCCACGAGACGTGCTTACGCCCTAGCTGAACCCACGACTGATGGTGCGTGGCCTGCGTAGCCATGCCTAACGCAAAGAGCACCAAGCGACTCAAGGGCAAGGGTGCGGCAAAGGCCCAACCACCTGCGCAGACGACCGTCGAAGACCATCCCACACCCGCTGAAATCGAAGAGGAGGAACATGCTTTTGTGCGGCTTGCTCGGAAGCATTGGCTGAAGACAGGGAAGAAGGCAGCGCAACCTAAGGTGAAGAACGATGTCGTGAAGCAAGGGATATGGGATGTTCTCGACCGCGAAGGCTTCCAGTACAAGTCATTGCGCCTGATTGAGAGCCTCCAGACCTTGGAAAGCTACCTGTGGCCGGGATATACGGAGGATTCGTCGAATTTCCACGTGCTGCTCATTGTTTTGATCATCAACGTGAAAAGACGCGAGCATCTGGAGACATGGAGTACGTATTCCACCCCATTTTGTCCTGGCATCACTAACCGAGTACTCCCAGGTATCTTCGAAGAGCGGCCAATCGAATTTCCCTCCCTGTTTCGCCGAGTGCTATCGATGATACTTGACCGATCCCTTTCCATCCCCGTCAGAACTCACCTTCTGTCGTTCCTGATACATGCCTTCCAGAGCCTTGACTGCACAATCATCCGCAAAGAATGTGCCCCTTTGGTATCGATTGGCATTTGGCACAATCTCTCCAACGAGAGCGCACGCGAGGCGCGGCTGAACGAAAATGCACATCTGAGGAAAGGGTGGCGGGCAACGCTCAAGCGATATGACGCTGCAGACGATGCATCCAAAGCCAAGCTTCGCTTTGAAAGGTCTTGGCTGTACACTCTGTTGCTGGACTTCCTTGCCACGTTGTTCAGCGGCTCAGGTACGTCCGAGGAGACGCTGTATTGCGAGCGCTTCACCGAATTCATTTCGGATCTGCAGAGCCAGCTACCTACGCGACGTTTTTTCAACACCTTGTTGCACGACTTGCATCTTTTACCTGCCATGAAGCTTTCTCCGATGTACAACGAACAAAACAACAGCCTTCTTCGCGAACTACACTCATTGCTTGTTCACTACACCTACTTCACCATTGACGACCAGACTGGCGCGCAACTCACACGCTCAGAAGCGTACGATAAGCATTGCAAACGGCTTGGGCGCTTGCAGCGCGTCGCATTGAAACACTTCAAGGACAAACTCGCAGTTCTCGCACTCTCAAACTATGGGGCCATTGATAAGAGGGATGAGCTGGAGTCACTACTGCAGCCGTTGACAGACGCCGAGGTAATGCAGCTGCTTTCACTCCTGGACTTGAGAGTGGAGTATCCAGATTCAGTCAATATCCCCATGGACAGGAAATTCTTCATGGAGATCATCCTCTCCTCCTTCGAAGCGCGGCCCACTTTCCAGGAGTCGACGCACAGAATGGGACTGACTCCGACGGAACAAAATCTTTTCGATGAGAGCTTCCAACGCGCTGACCTGTATGATGGATCCCGGCCGCTCGCCTTGCCCAAACTCAATCTTCAATACCTATCCGTCGGCGACTTCCTCTGGAGGGCACTAATCCTATATCGCCGCGAAGCCTTTTATGGCATTCGCAAGGATATTGACACAGCTTTGCGCAAGCTGCGCCCAGAATCCCAAAAGCCTGGAGACACAAAATTTGCTGGGTTTTCGAAGATGGCATTGCCAGTCGACCGACCTTCGTAAGTTTCATAACCACGAGAATCCTCATGTATTGGTTAAACTAACTAGTTCATAGAATCCTTGAGGTTGTACCCCCATTGGTCGGCGAAGAGTATCCTTCCGTCGTACGTGCCGAGGTGGCCGTGGATATCCGGCGGGTAGGAGATGGAATTCGTAAGGAATGGGACTCGTTACGACCGGACGATGTGGTGTTCCTGCTGGCAATTGAGCCCCCTCCTGCGGACTCTCTGACCAACGGCGCCGACGTGATATCCGAACACGAAAAGATGGGTATTTCGCACGTGCGCACGGCAGTCGTTACTCAGATCACGGACGACAAAGGTCGCCATGTCAGAGACGGCTCGGCAGGGTTGGACGGCAAGCGACGCATTCAGTTGCGACTCGACCCAAAGAACTTCGCCCTGGATACCGAAAAGACGGAAGCAGGGCAACCCGACCCATATGGGAAGATTAATATCATCCTCCGCCGTGGCAGACGCGAGAACAACTTCAAACCTGTTTTGGAGTCCATTCGGAGCCTGGTTCTCTCAGAAGTACCTCTGCCATCTTGGCTTCACGAAGTATTTTTGGGCTACGGCGACCCCGCGGGGGCGCACTATAAACATATGGCCAACAGAATAAAGAAGGTGGACTATCGCGACAGCTTCCTCGACTGGCACCATCTGATTGAGAGCTTGCCGGGCAAAACTGTTGAACCCACCGACGATGCGTCAGGGAGCTTTGCACCCCCTTATGTCCTGGAGAGCGTGGAACGGACAGAAGACGCCCCGGTGCAGCAGAAGAAGCCGTCCAAGAAGCGACGACGCGATGCTGATCCCGTTCCTAAGAGGGATGTGGAGGCATTCAAGGTCTCTACATACACACCTCCGAATAGAGGCCCCTACGAGGTCGATGCACCTCGTCTGAACACAATCCGCTTCACACCTGCTCAGACCGAAGCTATCATGTCTGGGTCTCAACCAGGCCTGACAGTCATCGTTGGTCCCCCAGGTACGGGCAAGACCGACGTAGCGACGCAAATCATCAGCAACATATACCATAATTTCCCCGAGCAGAAGACTTTGCTAGTGGCGCACAGCAACCAAGCGCTGAATCAACTATTTGCCAAAATTGCCGCTCTGGACATCGACGAGCGGCATCTGCTGCGCCTGGGCCATGGTGAGGAGGATTTGCTGACAGAGAGCAACTTCAGTAAACACGGGCGTGTCGAATCCTTCTTGCAAAATCGGGATACATATCTCCAAGAAGTGAAGCGCCTTGCCACGAGCCTTGGAGCACCAGGCGCTCACGACAACTCGGCTGAGACAGCTGGATATTTCAATACTGCGTACATTGAACCGGCATGGTCCAAATTCCTACAGATTGCAAACGCCCAGGAGTCGACTGTTGCGGAGATCATCACTGCCTTCCCGTTCCATGAATACTTTGCGGACGCGCCCCAACCCTTGTTCAATCCAGAAGCAGAACGAACGCAGGTATTGGATGTTGCTCATGGCTGCTACCACCACATTTCCAAGATCTTCACCGAGCTCGCGGATGTTGTGCCATTTGAGATTCTACGCAGGGAGCGGGACAAGACGAATTACCTGCTTACCAACGAGGCCCGCATCGTTGCCATGACCACGACACATGCCGCCATTCGGAGGGGTGAAATCGCAGGACTCGGTTTCCACTACGACAACGTTATAATGGAAGAGGCTGCTCAGATCACCGAGGCGGAAACCTTCATTCCGCTTGCGATGCAGAAACCCGTGGATAACGAGCTCCAGCTGCAGCGAGTTGTACTTTGTGGCGATCACTACCAGAATTCCCCAGTCATACAGAGCCTGGCGTTCCGACACTATGCCAACCTGGAGCAGTCACTCTTCTCACGACTGGTGCGACTCGGTGTGCCAACGATCATGCTCGATCAGCAGGGTCGCGCAAGACCGTCAATCGCCAAGCTTTACCAATGGCGATACCCCAAACTGGATAATCTACCCGACGTGCAGAATCGACAGGAGTTCCTGAAGGCCAACGCTGGATTCAAGTACGATTTTCAATTTATCAACGTCCCCGACTACAAAGGAAAGGGCGAAGTCGAGCCTACACCGCACTTCATACAAAATCTTGGAGAAGCGGAGTATGCAGTTGCCATCTTCCAGTATATGCGGCTACTGGGTTACCCAGCAGAGAAAGTTTCCATTCTCACAACCTACGCTGGTCAACGTGCGCTGATCAGAGACGTACTGAACCACCGATGCGCGAAGAATCACATCTTTGGCATGCCCAAGGCTGTGTCCACCGTCGATAAGTACCAGGGCGAACAGAATGACTACATTATCTTGTCTCTTACGAGGACATCGAGGGTTGGATATCTACGAGACGTGCGTCGCATGACAGTAGCTGTCTCCCGTGCTCGTCTTGGCTTATACATTCTCGGGAGACGTGAGGTGTTCGATGCGTGTGCGGAGCTCCGACCAGCTTTCGACCTCTTGCTAGAGAGGCCAGATAAGCTGATGCTGGCGCCTGGTGAGCTGTGGCCATCGAAGAGGCTCATTGCGGAGGAAGACGGGGCTCTGCCCAACGAGGTCGCCATGGAAAATGTCGAGCATCTCGGTCAATACGTGTATGAGATGACAAATACTCGGGCCAAGCAGCTACAGACTGAGCAAGGTGGCCCGACGGTCACAACGATCCCAGAGGAGAATGGGGATGGTCACGAGCAAGGAACATATGATGGGGAGGAAGCAGAGGATTTGGAGCCGGATATCCACGAAGTCCGCGAGGGCGAAGCTTGAGCATTAACGCGGCAATTACAGTAGAGCTTCCTGGCAGACACAATGGAAAAGGTGACGGATGATCAACCACAGCTCAGTATATCCGTCCAACTTGGCTGACCTCGGAAGCAGCGAGCGAACCAGATGTATCAACATGCAAGCGTACAGGTGCTCGATGCTTTGCTGAAAGTCCTCGACTTCCCAATAAATGTAAAGGGCCTCCCAACTCGTGAGAGATCGCGAATGTCCTGCAAATGTAACTTAATACGTAGCTTGTGCATGAACGCGCTAGTGCGTGTTGCACGTGGGCATCTCAACACTCTGATTACTGACTCTTGATTGAAGCTGTACGTACGTACTTGTAGTTTAAACCCTGTCCCGACCAAACATCCAATCAGATTAATCCGGGAGCGCAGAATTGGCAGCCACAGGCGAAGCAAGAAGCCCAGTCAGCGGTTTTCTACATGTATTATTTCCTACGGCCAGCTTTGGTCCCTTGGATCTTGATGGTGCGCGCAATCTGTATCTGGACTTGTGGCGGAGCGGGATGCCCCGAGCGAGGCCTTTCCCACTTGATGATGCGCTAATCAGGACACACAAGTGCGCATAATCAGACCACTCAAGTTTATCACTGGCTAATAGTTAGTCCGAGGAGAAACTTTAACTATGTGACGATCAACGAAGAAAGCTTCCGGTGAATGACGTGCGCGTCGTGTAGGGCTGTAATTAATCTTTAACCAGAAAAGGCCCTTTGTACGTACATGCGCGCTTGAATCAGGGCTCAGGCCACGCAAGAGGTGATGGCAACTGGGGCGCAACACACAGTGTGAATGACACCGTGTGTATGGCCATGTCGCAGGGCTTCCGTCACAGTGCGTGCGACGCAGCCCCGGGATGCATGTGAGAGCTGCTTGTATGACAATGTTGACTGCATTGCTGTGTTATTAATTTCATTCATTTTTGCGCTACGCCATGCCGCAGCAGATACGACTCAATGACAAAAAGGAATGACATGATTCAAGTACAGTAAAGGCCGGGACGGTCAGGGTGGAGATAGCCAGCGCAGTTTCAGGGTCCTTTTTCTTGCAGCCAGGCGATTACCTTCGTTACCCCGTCAAAGGGGGTGACGGAGCTATGACCCTGATATCATCGTTGGGAAGGAGGGTGTGCGTGCCTGGGCCGCAGGCAGGGAGAGGCCACTCCGAAATTGGCGTCACCACACCTGGCGTAGGCGCATGGGATTGTTTCCTCGGAATTTGCCCATTGACTACCCTCGTCCGCCTGCTTACCTTCTGCTTTATTATTAAATGAGCACAATGAGCAACCCTTCCCATCATGTCACGGTAGAGCTGCACTGGATACTCGAGTAGACAGAGTCAGCGCGGCGTTCTTTGTGGGTTGGAATGATGCTAGATCAGGTCCTTCTTTATCTGAAAGTCGTCAGCCAAAGTGCTGCTAATAATTGTTAGCCTACGTTATGGGCGGCGGTGCCTTGCTCCTCATCGTCATCAATTAGTGCTGGCGGAAGTGAAACAAACTTGGTAAGTCTTACGGCGCACTGTACTCAGCAGGTGCAAATCGCCTGCGCGTACAGTGCCTACTTAGATATAGGCCCTACTCGAGTCGCCTACGATGCTTCTTGCCTACCTTGGAGGGGGTCCCCTACCGGAGCCAAAGGCTGAAGGAAAGCACCAAAGCCCAGCAACTACATGTGCCCATCCAGAGTTAATTTAAGTCGAGCCAGTGGTTAAGGTCGACGACTGGAGTCGACTAACCTAGGTACAGTGAGTGGCCTCCCGAGAGTCTTGCTAGTGATTGGAGTGGTAGTAGGGTGATAATAGAGTGTGGTGCATGGTGAGTATTGAGTGGGAGATGGGCGGAGCTTGCTTGGGTTTGGTGCTGCCCGCCCGCCCAAATTTTTTGCTTGCCTTCGCCCCAGTCCTCCACAACTTCTTCCACCACCACCACCTACTCAAGGAATCAAGCTGGTCCGGGTCACAAGAAGTCTTTCTTCCACCGGCCTTCCTTTCCTCTTCGTCAGACTTGGATTCGTTCTTTTTCTGTGTATTTAGTTTTAATACCAGATCTAGGACCACTCTCCACTCCGATTCTCCCTTTTCCCGCATCGCTGCATCGCTTGCTCAGCTGCGAGGAATCGAAAAAAAAAAACCCACATTGCGATCGTTGGACGTCTAGAGTTTTTTCATCCTCCCGACGTCGTCTATCGACACTCGTCTCCAAGCGTTCGCTCGCCCAGGAACTGAGGTACAGACTCGACGTCTCTCACATCGCTCACCCATCAAGCGACCTCGACCGGCTACGACCTTGGCTCCCGGTTTCGCCCACGATCTCAACGACTCCTCCGCTCGTCCCTTCGCGCGCCTTTTCGCCTCGTCGCCCCGCTACGCACTCTAATCTACTTTCTTTGCCTCGTCGCAAGTCCTGCGGTCTACGAGTACAAACTTGACAACCGACTTCTCATCTCCATATGACGTCGCCTGCCAACCAGCAGAACCCCCCGGCGACCAATACTTCCGCACCCTCGGCGTCGTATGCCTCTGCTGCAGGTGCGCCTCAGAAGTCCTCCCAGAACCAGCCGCCTGTAAACGCGTCTGGCTCCCAGGACTCGACTACCGTTGGCACATCAGCGTCGCCAGCGCAGAATGCAAAGTCGGCCTCACCTGCTCCTGTAAACGGCAAGCCTGTCGTCAACCCTGCGATCCCTGCGGCCCCTCGCGGACCGTCCCACGGCGCCCACTCGCGCCAAACCTCTGTGACCATGGCTACCAACGGTCCCAGCAGCTTCGCCGCCAACGGCGGCCATGCTGCTACTGCCAAGTCAAACATCCAGTTTGGCTTCGGCTCCCCCGGGGCCGCCCACAGTTCTCCTCAGGCAGCCAATGCCGCCCCTATTCCCATCCCGGGCAATAACGGCAACCCTCGCGTGGCCTCGCCCGCGCACTCTCCTTCCCCCATCCCGCAGCCTTCGGCCAGCGGGGGCAGACCTCCCTCTGGCCTCTCCCAGGCCGGCGGCCAGCAGATGACGTTTGGCAGTCTCGGTAGCGATGGCGATGTAAGTTCGGCATGCACTGTGACATACAACTCTATACTGACACAAATGCAGCGTCACATGAGACAAGGCTCAGTCCCTCCCAATCAAAATGTCACCGCCGCGCAGCAGCCAGGAACCCATTTCCGCCGTGACAGCCACAACTCCAACTACAGCGAGGGACGGCCAAACTTTAATCAAGGTGGCCGAGGACGTGGCTTCAACCCCCACAACAATTTTAACAACAACCAGATGGGCTTTCCCCCTAACAATTTCAACCGAAACGGTCCCGCACAGGGCCGCGGCATGCCTCCTGCTTTCCAGCCTCAAGGTCCCCGCAACATGGGCTACCCTAACTCACCGCAGCCAGCTGCCCGAAGCCCTGCCATGCACAATGCGATCCCCGGAAACTCAATGCCCGGCACTCCAAACATGCCCCCAGCGCAGATGGGTGGTCCGATGCCGATGCACGGTGGCCAGCCTGGCTTCAACCCGTACAACGCGGGCATGCCTCAGCAACAAGTACATCTTCCCCACAAGCAGACCTACAAAAAGCCATTTTTCAAAGCACCTCACAAGAAGACCAAGTTTCGTCGCGACACGGACAGGTCGAGCCAAATGTCGGGCCGTTCAGAGGGCTTGCGCGAGCATCCAAACTTTGACAACTACGCCCAGCCTCCTCGGAGTCGCCGTCATGACGAACGTTTTGGCCGTGACAAGAGCTGGGTCGGCGCCGAAATGGAGCCAGCTCGCAACACCTCTGACAGCCATTTGGAGAAGTCTCCAAAACAACACTCCTGCATCCCGCATCACCTACCCGAGCACATCACCGCACACCCACCGGCTTTGAAGCCTGGTCCCCCTTCCTCAATCGATCTCTCACCCTGCGGGGGCAATTTTGAACAATATTTGCTGACTTGCAAAAAGGGCTATGGCGGCTATGGTGCTCAAGCAGACCCCTATGGCCGACCCTATGGCAACTACCAGGCCCCTTACATGGGCCACGCTAACTCTCCAGGTTTCAACCCGGCCTACGCTGCGTCTCCCCAGTATCACCACCAATCTCACAGTATGTCGCGCACGCCTTCGCAGCCCGAGAGACCTGCCAGTGCCAGCCAGCAAGGCGGTCCAGTAGTCGTCGGCGGCTCGAACAGCAAGCAAGGAACCCCATCTCAGGCCAATGCCGACATCTTCTCCAAGCCTGGCAAGAAGAGCGCGGCTCTTGTTATTAAGTCCTCGTCTGGTGAGGTTCTTGATACTTCCACGTTCAAGGCCCCCCCTGCATCGCCGGCACCAAGCAGCCAGCAGACCAAGACTCCTCCTGTTGCCTCCTCGACTTCAACTCCTCCTCCCAAGCCGTCTACGCCTGCAGGGCACGGCCGCACGGACAGCCACGCTGTCCAGAAGTCGGTCAAGGAGATCCAAGAAGAATTAAAGGAGAAGATCAGGCTCGCCACCGCAAAGGATGCTCCCAAAGCTGGATCTGGCATCGAGGCCAAGCCTACCGAGTCGGCTCCAGCCAAAACGGAGGAAAAGCCTGCCGAAAAGCCCGCTGCGGAAGCTCAGCCCCCTGTCGAAGCTATGAAGGCTGAGCCTGGGAAACCGGCGGAGAGCAACGCTGAGCCTGATGAGGACGAGATGGAGCGTATGATCCGTGAAATGGAGGAGGAAGACGCCCGGCGTGAGGCTGCGGAAGAGGAGCACCGCAAGAAAACCGAAGCGAAGAAGGCTGCCGAGAAGGAGCAGGCCGAAAAAAACCGTCTGGCCAACGCCGCCGAAGAAGATCGCAAGCTTCGCGAGCAGGAACGCGAAATGGAGCGTCTCGAGGAGGAAAAGGAGCGCAAGCGTGCTGAGGCCGAGAAATCGGGCCAGTCTGCTTCTGCCAGTGATCTCTTGGAGAGCAATACTGCCGCTGCCAAGGAAGCTGAGACCTCCAAGGTGGACTCTGTGACCGACAAGCTTGCTGGCATGAAACTCGATGCTAAGCCTGCGGCTGGTGAGAAGCGCGGCAAGCCATCGGCGCTCAATCTCGCACCTCTAAAGACGAGCGCGGTCGAGCCCGCCCAGCCTAGTGCGGCTCTCCAGTCACTCAAGTCTGCGCGCTTCCTCCGCGTCATGGACCAAGACATGTACCCGGAGGGCATCAAGTCTCCCAACCCTGCTCTCAACGCTGCTGTTGCCACCAAGGGCAAGACATTCAAATATGATGCCAACTTTTTGCTGCAATTCCAGAAGGTTTTCACTGAACAGCCTTCGACCGAGTTCCACCAGCAGGTGAAGACTCTGATGGGCGACAACGAAGCTCGCTCTGGGCGCGCCCAAACCCTTGGCGCTAGGCAACCCTCGGGGCGTGGTGGTAATGCCTTCCAGATGGGCGCCTTCAATGCCAGCTCTTCGTCTGGTGGCCGTGCTCCGCCTGGTTCTACGTCTGCCGAGCGCTTTGCCAAATCTCAGAGTGGCACACTACCGCGTCCTGGCACCAGTTCGATGAACTCGTTCCGCGCACCTGGTAACTTCCCCATGGGCCAGCCCATGTCACGTCAAGCTTCAAACAACATGGGTGGGTCTGGTCGCCAAGGTAGCCGCAAGCCTAGCCGCAAGGGCAATGACGCCAAGGAGGCCCAGGCTGCTAAGACCATGCCTCTGACCGCTGGCATGGATTTGAAGCCTATTGCTGTTACCGCCGGCGGATGGAAGCCTTCTAGTATCGGTCGCAATGCTGGTGCCGCACCAGGCGCCAAGGACGGCTACATGGATCCCGAAATGGTCCAGAGGAAGGTCAAGGCTGCGCTCAACAAGATGACGCCCGAGAACTTTGAGAAAATCTCGGACCAGATCCTCGCCATCTCTGCACAATCCAAGGACGAGACTGATGGTCGCACACTGCGCCAGGTCATCCAGCTTACCTTTGAGAAGGCCACCGATGAGGCTCACTGGGCATCCATGTATGCCAAGTTCTGCAAGAAGATGCTTGAGAACATCAGCCCAGATATCCAAGATGAGCGTGTCAAGGACAGGGCTGGCGCCCCCGTCAGTGGCGGCGGCTTGTTCCGCAAGTACCTTCTCAACCGTTGCCAGGTTGAGTTCGAGCGCGGCTGGAAGCAGGAGCAAGAGGCCAATAAGGCGGCCGAGGATGCTGCTGAGGCCCAAGAAGCGAACAAAAAGCCCGGAGAGGTCGAGATGCTGTCTGACGAGTACTACGCCGCTGCTGCTGCCAAACGCCGTGGTCTCGGTCTGGTTCAGTTCATTGGTGAGCTCTACAAGCTGGGCATGCTCACAGAGCGCATCATGATTGAGTGTGTGCACAAGCTCGTCGACAACAAGGGTGTGCCCGACGAAGCTGAGATTGAGTCGCTCTCCAAGCTTCTCCGCACCATTGGTCAGAACCTCGATATGTCTGAGAAGGGCCGCCCTATGATGGATGTCTACTTCCAGCGCATCCAGGGCATGGTCGACATGCCTGAACTTCCCAGCCGTATGAAGTTCATGCTGATGGACGTTGTCGATCTGCGTAGGGCCAACTGGCACTCAAAGGAGACCAACAAGGGCCCCAAGACGCTGGATGAAGTCCGCGCTGAGGTAAGTCACCTGCTACAGCTCGTTCATAGCAAATACTAACGTACAACAGGCCGAGGCTGCACAAGCTGCCAAAGCTCAAGAGTCTGCGCGCGGCAACCAGCGTGGCGGCGGCGGTCGCCCCCCTGTCGGACGAGGCGACGCCCGCAACTTTTCTGCCGGCTACCAGCAGACCAGCAACCAGGTCGGCATGGACGACTTGCGTCGTCTGAAGGGCACCGCCAATCGTACCACCAGCGGAAACGTGACGCTCGGCCCTACCTCCATGTTCTCGTCCCGCAGCAACAGCGGCCGACGTCTCGGCCCAGGCGGTTCTCTCGGTCGTGGCGGCGAGGAGTCTGGTGCCTCCTCGCGCACAGGAACGCCTCCAGTCAGGGACAACCCTTCCCACTCCAATGCTTTCAGGTGCGTGAATATCTGTCCTTGTTGACTGAACCGCTGGCTAACTGACGACAGCCTCCTTGCAAACATGGATGGCGAGCACCCTGCTTCCCCCCCGTCAACCGCTGCCTCGCCCAACGTCTCCAAGGCTGTGCCCGACACCGGCAAGAAGGACGACGAATAGATCTTCTACTTGTTCATTTTCCTCATTTCGGCGTCACTGCATTTCGGCCGGCACATAGACGGGGCGGGGGGTTGCGGTTCACTCGTGCATTTACAGGGATCCCTCGAGATGCGTTTCAAAAGTTGCACGTTTGCATTTTAATTGTTCATGATACCTCTCCGATTGCAGTAAAACATCACCATGCTGGCTTCGTACACATGTGTCAAGGAGGAGGCAAGGCAATTTGAGGAAGGACAGGAGAAAAAGGGACTGCCTGCCAGCAACTTTCTACTGCTCCAGCAATCGATTTCTCTGCAGCACAGAGGAGCTTTTCTTTCTGATATGCTTTCGATACCACCGCCCTACTGTCTGATGTTGTCGCCGCTTGCAAGTATGATGAAACTTGGTATGCATTTTGCTTTTTTGGGGGGAGTGGGAGAGGAAAGATCAGGTCTGCCTCGCGGCTACGAAGAGTGCCGAGTCGCGAGGTCAGGCGGGAGGCTCAGCCTGAGAAGAGAAGGGGGCCTACCTCTTTGGACGACAGGACGGTCCAGCATCTGTGTGTGTACGGGTTGATCTACCAACCTCGTTGATACGGTCCGGACTTGTCGCTCTTACTGGTGTCGAGAGTCCTGTTTATGCGCCCGCGGCCGGTCGGCCACCAAGGAAACAACGTGCTTGATGGTAAAATGGGAAATGATGAGCTGGCCTGGTCGCCAACAGGTCTGTCAATCATTGTCTCCCGTTTGATGCCCATTCTGCGTCTCCATGATGGTTACCAGCTGTCAATGGTATGGCGGGCGTTGTTGGTGGGTGTGTACGGGTTTCCCTTGAAGGGAGAGGAAAGGGGATTCCAACTATGCATCATTTAATTTGATTAACGTGAGGCCACAGGGTTGAAGGTGGTAAATATGTACGTGCTGTTACTTGTTGTCTTCGCCTACTGTTGCCGTGATGCGATGCTTCATGAATCTGGGTGCTTCAAACACTAATGTATGGTTTTCCGCGTTCAATCGAATACAACATGAAATGAGCATTGCAAAATAATAATCGAGAGGATCGTGGTCATCAAAAGTCCATTCATTACGTAGCCGACGAGTCACAATAATTCAAAACGCCTATCCAACGCCAAGCTATGTTTCCTGAGATCGGCTGATACCACAGCTTCGTCGTCCGCCGCGCCCTGATACTAACCCTTCAAAGCCAACTACATATGTACCTTGATCCGTTGCACCCTGGATTAGACGGCAATCAACTTGCTGAAGCCAAGTTTGGAGAATAGCGTATCCATCTGGACCCATTGCCGACCGCACTTGTCTAGGTACTTGTCCACTACACCCTTCACCGTGCTGAACCTTACACGATTGTGCTCTGCCAGCGCCATGATCTTGTCAGCATCCTCAGTCGCATTGGTCTTCGCGCGGTCCACGTCCCACAGACTGGCAAAGTAGACGAGCTGGTTGTAAATAGCCTTCTCCGTGTACTCGTAACGCATACGACCCAAGCAGCCGCTCGCGAGACCGTTGGGACCAAGACAGCGTGCGCCGTAAACGCTCATTTGACGAGTGCGATTACCGCATTGAGAGTCGTTGCAGGCAAGCCACCCTTCGTAGTACCGGGTTGTGTGAGATCGGATAGCGTGCTCAACTTGCGCAACGATCGAAAGTGTAGGAATTATGGCGCCGCATCCAGTACAGAGTATGCCGCTGGCAGAGACGCGGCTCATGGAGCCCAGCAGACCTTCGAATCCTGAGGATGCCTTGCATTTGCGGCAGCGTAGGGAGAGGCGGGCGCAATCGGCAAAGCGCACATCATCAGGGATTTGTGACTCCAGAGGGTGGATCTCAAGATCGTCGGCGGAGCTGTTTTGCTGCGTCTGGAGCGAGCTATATTTGCGTATATCCAGGCCAAGCTGTTCAGCAAGTTGTGAAGTCGACGTGCCAAGGATATTGGCACACAGACGCTCCACAGGCGGGAATATCTGCTTGCCGATATACCATTCTACATCAGGCAGCAAGGTTGTATCTGATTTGAGATCGGCGGGGGCATAGGCTCGCTTTGGTGCAGGCTCAGAACCCTTGCTGTCGCCAGTGATGATGTAGGATATCACATCGCCCTTGCGTACGGTCTTGCCTCGCGCTATGTCACGAAGCGCGACTTGCACCTGGGGCATGGTGTCGCCGTTGGGATACGCTTCCGGTGACTTGCCGAGTTGCGTGTAAATGATGTACTTGGCTGTCGGAACCTGCTGCTCCCGCATTTTCGTAGCAATCTCGCGGAGATACTCGTGGATGTGAGCCACTGTGGTTTCGGTCTCGTTGCCCGACAGAATCTCGTCGAGAAGATATTTCGAGATTTCTTTGGACAGTGCGCAGTATTCACGACGACGCATGTCCAAGCCTTTGACCTCCATCTTCTCAATGAACTTGCCATCCTTTTCGACCAAGTTAATAGCAGCATACTTCTTCTTGGCTTGAAGCAGGATCCTCCGAAAGACATTGTCGATGTCAATCTCGAGAAGCTTGTACTGATCGTTGACAGCCTTCTTGAACTCATGGCCGACCTTGAAAGCATCGCCGATTGAGTCGACATTGGCATTGATCATGACGGAATCAGTGTCACCATAAATGACTTGCAACGACTTGCCTTCTGCCAACTCCTTAGTGCTGAGGAGAATCTCTCGGCCTTTCGATGTGGTTAATTCAGCCAGAGGCCGAGCGTAGAACCGCGACTTGGGATAGCCGAGGCAGCCATACATAGAGTTGGCGGTAAGCTTCAAAGCAAGTTGCTTGATGTCCCAAGTAGCGAGCTCTTCTGGGGACGCCTTCTTGTCCTTCATTAGGCTCTTGACTGCACGACGACGTTGCACTAATGTGGCAATGAGCCGAGGGAAGATGCCTTGGTCCTGATCAGCGGGCACCGCTGGCACCGAGTCCTCGGTGTCTTTCTAAGGAAATGGTCAGTCCACGAGCCATGTGAAGGATAGTGCTCAGACTTACAACGGAGAATCTGTCAACGGTTGTGAAACAGATGTTGTACTCCTGGATGATTGAAGGGTACAGTGAATTGAAGTCCATGACCAGAACAAACTTGTCATAGAGTCCCTTTGCAGGCTCAAAAACAAGTCCACCTTTGTACTTGTCCTTCTTCTTGCCTTCTGCTGACGCCTCCTCGTTGTTTTCATTGTCCGCCTGCACGCGGCTCTTGAAGGATTGCTTGTCCGGGCAAATATACTTGCCACGATGAAACTCGTGCAGCAAAATGTATTCGTTTCGCTCCGCCCGCGTACCTGTCAGAGTGCGTGCCCAGGAGTTACCAGCCAGGTTGGTCAAGACTTTGGTCAAAGGTAGAAGCTGGGTGCCCACGGCTAAAGCCGCGATGTAGTGGGTGTCTGCTTCTAAGTGAGTGACATAGTCCATGAGGCCCTGTTTGTCTTTCCCCCAGCTGTTGAGTGCAACCTCACTGTCAACGTCACGCCGACGGTTGTCTCCGGAGAGATACAGGCTGCACATCTCTGTTAAGCTCCAGGTCTGGCACTTATTCATGACTGATTTGCCCATGTCATTGGCCAGGTCACATAGCAAGCGGCCTGACATGATCTGGCGTTCCGCAAACACATTGCCACCGACCTTGGTGATCGAATGAGGCCACTGGGTTCTTCGGAGCCTGCCCACTCTTGACCACTGGTGGATCTTCTTTTCGTGCAGACGATTCAGAAGCACGCTGTAATCCACGCCCTCAAGTTGGTGGCCAAGGATGAAGTCGGGGTCTGTGAGATCCATTTGCGCCAGGAAGTAGCTGAGTATCTCGGGTTCCGATTTCTTGAGGATGAGGGGGGCGCGGTTTCTTTTCTTCACAAGTTGATCGAATCCTATAGGGAATGCCTGTCCATGCGGGCGCATCACGGTGAACGTCCGGCATGGTAGCTTCTCAGCGGGTGTCGTGTCACTCAAGGACACCTTCTCGTACACTCTCGCACTGATGGCCAGAATTTCCTGCTTGTTGTCTTTGTGGTTAAAAACGGTCCTTAAGGCCACGCTCATGAGTGTCAGAGGAGGCGCATCCAGGTTGTCCGACTCGCTCACCACTGACACCATATCAGGATGCTCAGCGAGAACCTCAAGCTTACAATGGGAAGCGTTTTTGATGGCCCCGAAATCGGCATCCTGAATCTTCAGCCAGCAAGGACCCATGATGTTTTTCCAGAGGACAAATTGCTCGAATAGGTTGGTGTTAGTGCCGAAAACGCGGGAGAACGTTTCGCCTTGGGTGTTGCTGTCCAGCTGAGGCTCTGTTCAGGGAATCAGTAAGCTGTCTTGTATCTTGGGCCTGGCAAGAAAACATACTTGTGTAAGGGTATAGCAGCTTCAGGTACTTTGCCTCTTTTGGCACGTCCGGCAGTTCAAAGGCGTACTTGCGTGTGCACTCCTTGATCTTGTACATGCCGACATTCATCTTGGTCATCATCTCATCGACCTCGGTATAGACATCCATCATTTCAATGTCCTCGCCAGCGTCCTCGCCAGCGAGGCGTTGGGGTCGTGGTAGGAAGAAGAGCTTCCTCAGAATATTGTCAACCTTGACAAAGCAGCTGACATAGCTGTTCGTCTTTTTGTTCAGAACCTTGCCGTACAAGCAGAGGCTGCCATTGATCTCGGTATAGTCTGTCCAGAAAAAGTTGATGCTTCCATCATCTTCTACCGCATCCTGGTGGTCGATCTTGCCAACAGTTTTCGTTTCGGGCTGAGAATTGTCGACCACATTAAGTCTGTCGTTGAGCTTGTTCCATTCTGACGAATCAACAGCTGCCTCGGGCATTTTGGTTGGGAATGATGTGATCTGAGAAGGGAGCTGCGGTTCCTCCTTGATGATTTTCTTGACGACTCGAGAGCCGGCGAGATTCACGCTCGCTGTGGCGATGCCGCCCAATTGAGCTACTTCCATCATGTCCTCGTCCTCGTCTTCGTCTTCGTCGATTTTTGGCTCCTTCTTAATGTGCGCCATTCGTTCAGCAACTTTAGCTGCCGGAGAAGATGGGGCGGGGTCGCTCATCGGTACATCCAGTATGCTTTGAGGCTCGTTGTCGAAAACCGGGGGCATGTGACTGTCATCGTCGTCGTCTTCGACGTCGAAACGAACCGCTGGCACGGGAGGAGATGACGGCAAAAGACCCGCTGTGGACTTTCTCTTCTTTGACGTAGGTTCGGGTGCCGGTGACAGTGCCCTCGCCTTACGACGCTCGCCCGACCTTTCGTGTTTGGGTAGCCTGGGTGCTGGTGCTGGTATGTTTGTATCGACCTCGCCGAGGAGGCCTGCCATGAAATCATCATCGTCCTGTGTCTTCACGATCTTGGGCTTCGCTTGTGGCTTGTTCTTTGTGAAATATTCGCTAATATCGCGGTCGTTGGCGTCCCGCTTTGCTTGTTCCTCCTGGCGAGCCCTTTTGGCTGTACCATGTCAGTCGTGCTTCTTCTGGAGTGTCGGAATATATGTCTTACCAGCCTTGCTCGGGCGTCCTTTTCTGTGAACATCCTCTGCTTCACTATCCGAGTCGTACCGTTGATCTTCACGGTCCCAGTCTTCGCGGCCATCATCAGCGTAGCCCTCGCCATTATCGTCGACAACAAAATCGTCCTCGTTCAAACGTTCTCGAACGAGTTTCTTGTAGCCGGCCTCGTCAACTTCATCAAATACATCATCGACGTCGTCCACCTGGTAGGTCTCGAACGCTTTCTTGCCTGCCTTTCGCAAGGCGGCCAGTTCGGCTAACTTGGCGCGGTGGTTCGGCCTAGGCATGATAAAAATTGTGTAGCAATTTCTTAGGTCATGGAAGGCTCGCTGATTGGGGGTCAGGTTTAGCAGAGAAGCGGGTGCAGGCGAAGCGAGTCGCTGCGTATTAGTTGTAATGATAGTGATTGAGCAGGGAACCCATTAATTGGCGACGCGAAAGGTGAGCAAAAGCGCGACCAGGTTTCGCGTCGACGCGTCGCGTCTGTCTCCCCACCCCTGCACTTGTTAAAGTGCCCTAGACGAGTACGTACCAGAAGAAGTGCCTCTTGCAACCCTTGGAAGTACCAGTCGAGCAGCGCTCTCTACGGACCCACTCGAGCTGTGCATAAAGATGTGTCTCAAGTGCACTCGCGATTAGTGCATGTTTTGCATCGGAGTTGCGCACAGTACAGCAACACGCTCATCAGCGCGTTGGCTATCATCAAACTCCCTCGTATTAGCAACCTTGAGAGATGCACGAGCAGCGTCGCAACAGCCATTAGCATTTCTCTCAGTCGGACGGAGGGACCTTTGTGCTTTCGTGATCTATTGAGAAGCCCAGTTGCCTTCCTCGGAGCAGTATGGTGAATCGCAGCCACCCTCCTTGATCGGGAGCAAGGGGATCGATCTTGCTCCTGCTGCGCTTTCTACCGGGTCGGGGTGACTCTTGAGCATCGGGGCAGGTGCAGGTCACCATGTCGCCGAGGGGTATTGTTAGAGATCTCGACTAAATAAAGGAATACTCTCCCGTCCCCCGACAAAGCAGAGCTTCCATTCGCTCATTCATCATAACATTATAGCTACTACACACTGCGCCGTCCACCGTGTAGCGCTACATCTCATCTGCATCTGCATCTGCATAATGTTCTTCCACTCGTTGTTGTCTCGCCCGCCTGGTAAAGACAGAACGCACACCCTCGCCTAGCGGGCGAGGCCAATGTCGGCCCCTGCAACGCCCGTCAAAGGCGTGAAGTCCTCAGACGACTGTAAAGTCAGCCCTCGGAAGGGCGATTTTGTAGTGCACCATGGTGAGTGACCAATGGCTTGCTATTCAAGCTTCTGACTAAACTTTGAACCATCAGTAACGCCGGCTGCTGCTGTCCGGAGACGAGACAGCCTGAGCGAAATCTTTCGGACTGTGAGAACAAGATTGCAACGGGATCGTTCCTCTACTGAATCCAGCCACTGGACATTTGACTCGCTCTTTAGCGAGTCTCTTGACGATTCTAGCACTATCACAGCAGAATCCTCTCCGATTCGAAATGAAGTAGGCACATCGCCGTTCCCTACTGTGCCTGCTCTGAGGCTGTTGCCCGCCATCTCAGGCCAGACTCCGAGTGATACTCTGTGCAGTGCGCTGGAGAAAGCTGGCTTTGGCAAATTCGACCTCGAAGAGCCAGATAGCAAACCGGTCGCTCAGACTTTGGGGACCTTGTCGAAGCCACCTCCACGGGCAAGTCTGTTCAAGCTTCGCTGGGATCGTAGGTCCAAGTCTCGCGGATCCGAAATTTCACTCGCAGAGCCGAAACCTTGTCGTAGAGCAGGGCATGTCGATGCCAGAAGCATTTTACTCTCATCCAAGAGCAGTGTGGGCCTGGATCGGTGCAGACTTGAGCAATTTTGTCTTCAGCGGGTTGATAGCCAGGCGTCTCGCGTCCCGGCTTATTTCATTGACAAGATACTCGAGGAATCCATTCCGATGCGTTTGCCACACGTCAGCAAATTGAAAGCATCTGGGCGTCGCAGAACAATCCAGCAGTCTCCTAACGAGCCTCGTCAGCAACAGAAGCTTTCAGAGCTTGCTGCCCACGAACATGGCGTTCAGACGCACACGTGGCATCCTTCCGACATTCCATCTGAGCCATCATTCGCGGAGACTGATGGCGATTGCAGTTCTCAAGCTTCGTTAAGTCAACAGGAAGATACACCTTCTGCAGATGATTATACGTTGTCTGTGCCAGGATCCACGCGATTTTCCGAAGATGCTCGACCCGGGCCACTGAGCACAGTTTCAGAGGTTTCATCTTGCGAAGCGACAATTGACTCGCTAGAATCTTGTGAATCCGAGAGGCACTATGGTTAGATGTCATCCTCAGGGCTGCAGACGACAAGTGCTGGCCCAGCCCTTCTCAAGGATAATCCTGAAGAGGCAAGCTACAAGAACATCATGCGAGTCATAACTGCCTCGGCCTCGACCGATGGCCGAGCGAGCATTGTAGCTGGTCTGCACAGCATGGGAGAGCAGATCTCGACGTTCAGGCGCGGCGGTCGGGGAACGGGCTCAGAAGACCAATACGATACCTCCAGTTGCGGTTCACAGGACGCACAGTCACAGAGCACTCCGGTCATGGACATGTGTGATGGACATTGGCTGTAATCGAGCCCAAGGCTTTGGTGGGAAAAGTCTACCATTGGACATGTGCGATTGCTGACAGAGAATCAAAGGAGGTGAAAACAGTCTTTAGTTGTATTGGTATCGTAGGCCGATTGCGCGGTGAGAAGGAAATGACACAGTAAGTATACAACGTACTGTGCCTCGACGACACAATGACTGCAAAAAGTGAGGATGACCCAAGTCCCAATACGCCGCGGTGCTATGCAATAGGTGTTGCCCAATCCCCACCGACCCTCTCGTAATGTTACACATGGCAAGAATTTAAGTCTGCCTCAAGCCGGGCCTTTGCCAAAACGCGCCCTGCTCTTAGCATGTCACTCCTCCACTAAGCGCCGATCGCGATGCTGTAGGCCATCCTTCTTCTGATCCAGCTGAGCTTCTCGCGAATAGCGTGCTCGTGCTTTAGAGCCCAGCCCGCCAGCCGACCCAGAACGGCCGGGTTTGTTCCTGTGGTTCTGCTCCCGAGGCTTTCTGTGAGCATCTCCCTCGCGCGAGTTGGTGGTTCTCTCCGGCTTCTCACGCTGAGGTCGCTCCGGCTTCGTAGGGGACGTGTAGGTGTCCCATACCCATTCTTTGCCCTTGAACATGTGCTCGCCTTCTTCGTGCTGGGGGGCTGGCGAGTTGTTATCTGCGTCATCTCCGTGGTCCCTTTGCCTTTGAATCGCCGATGGAAGTCTGGGCTCCTTCTGCTCGCGGGTGCTGTAGAAGTTCTTGATCTGACGGTTGATGTGGGCGGCGGTGTGCTTGATTTCCTTGAGATCGGACTCGGACAGCATCTGCTCATGCAAGACCTTGTCGAAAGCGCTGACCATGGAACGTGCGAGGGCAATCACCTCGCGCTGGTTGTTGTAGTTGATCCTCTTGCTCACTTCACTCATGGGCTTGACGAGCTCAAAGTGGTGATAGTGGGCTTGGCGATATGGTTCCCAGAGCTTGGACAGGGCAAGGGTGATCTGCTCGCCGTAGACGCGCTTGGCGGCATCGAGGTCACCCGCTGCCGCCTGAGCGCGGATTTGCTTGTGCGTGACCAGGGCCACGCGGAGATAGAGGCGGAGCGTCATCAGATCGGGCTCCTTCATGCGCCGAAGCATGGTGTCCAACACGGCCGTGGCATTCTTCACGGCATTTCGGTTGAGACTATCGCGGACGCAGGTCTCCATGGCGATCTTGAAATGCTTTCCATCAATATACTCGGCGGGCACAATGTCGAGGATAGCAGAAGCGTAGGCACTGGACTTGCTGACCTTGAGCATGCCGAACATACGAAGCCAGTTGTCGCGGTCCGGGAGGACTCCGTAGTGGCTGACCAGCAGGTTCCAGTACTTGATGCCCGAGGTGATTTCGCGTGTCGACGCCAGGGCGGCCATGATGAGCGACATCGTGTTGCGTCCTGGGACGGCATATGTCGTCTTGGGAGAATTGGGCACGGCCAAGGGTGCGCTTCTGGCGATGTCCTTCATGTTCTCGTCTCTCTCCGCGCCGAGTTCCGGGTTCTCAATGAGGTTGGGAATATTCATAGTCTGCTCGAGCAGCTGAAAGACCCTCCGTTTCTCCTCGATATTGGGCGACATGAGCAGCAAGCGGCCCATGGAGCACACGAGCTCCTCGTCTATGATAAGCTTGGCTTCCTTCCACTTCCTAATGATTTCCACCCAGAGCTTTTGAGCCCGGTCTATGGTGGATTGCTGGTTGGTGATTCTCTGCTCCTCTGTGAGATCCGCCATACCATCCGTGGCATGATGGCGCAGGGCGTGCAGAATCGTCGCATATGTGTACGCAGTCGGCGATCGGGTATTGTTGTTGACTGACTGCGCGATGAGGAAGAGGTTGTCCATGTCGCCAGCCTTGGCGCAAACGTTGAGGACGGCGTTCAAATGGGTAGAGTTGGGCTCGATGCGCTTGTCGTTTAGGAGCACATTGTAGTGCTTGACCGCTTCGGCGACGGCATGCTTTGGGTGTTTTGAATTGGCGAGACCTCGGAAGAGAATGGTATACGTCCTCACGCTGGGGAATTGCGCACGCTTCTTCATCTTTGGGGGAGGGTTAGCTCGGGACGTCGGCCATATAGGGGGGGGTTGTCATAGACTCACATCATTGAAGATCTTGAGTGCCTCCTTGACATTCTGACCCTTCAACTGATAATCAATCAAATGATTCCATGCCACGATAAGCTGCTTCCCCTGACTTGTGAGCTTGCGGGTCACAGTGATCGCCTCTTCAAAGGCACCACGGTCGAGCGCTTTCTCGACATAATGTGCGATCGCATATGGGTCATCGGACATGTGCTGCAGCTGATTCTTCACAACACGGTTGAATTTCGCCTTGGCTTTCGTTTCCGCTGCGGCAGGATCCTCAACTTCCACGTCCAATGTTCTGGGGGCATCCCCTGGGGCTGAAGCAGGCTCGGACGAGTATTGCCGCTGCGTGAGTGCTGGTAGAGCGTCGACAGCCGTGCTCCTTAACGGCAAGGCTGTCGCCACAGCTCTCCGCAAGCCGTTTCCGCAGCTCGATATGTTGCGCGACATGGCTGGGTTGGAAAAGACAGTGCTGTCGCCAAAGCGCATGAGGCCGCGGAATTTGGAGGCGACATGGAGCTCGACGGAAAATCGCAAAGCTTATCTTATCGGACGGTCGCGTGTCTGTGACGCCCCTAGCACGTGAAAGGCTTAGTGCGTCACTCGACGCCCTCCATGTGCCTGGTTCCCAAAGAACTTACCCTGCACGTGACCCAACGGGAAGCTTCTATATGCTCAAACTCTTCCCATGATTGCTTTCGGGCACTGAATATCTTGCGAAGTATCCTTCGTCGCTTTACCCGTGCCTAATGGTATTGTGCACTACCTGAAAGAATCAACAACATTGTTCGTCGCAGCGCAGCAAACCAACATGAGCGTGCCCAGAGGTTTCGCAACAGCATCAGTCAGTGTTTTGCAGCTGGACAGTTTGGAGGCACATATGAATGCACGATCCCAATAATAGCAAGCCTAGTGGTAATTATATAATTTCACGAATAAGCAGGAAAAGTCCAACACGGCACGAAAGCTAACATTTGGCCTGGCTGGTAGGTAAAGTATGTTCCCAGACAGGTTAGCGCGGGAGCGACACTCCAAATCCCATCCATAAAATAAATCCCCACGTCGAAAGCCGCAGCTGTGTAAAGCCGGCGCGCTCTCTGTCGCGTACTTCGCCCTATCATCATCACCCTCAGCCCTATAACCATCCGCAACGTGGTGGACGATTTGTATTTTTCTACCACCACACCTAAGACGATTCCTATCCATAACGTCCTGGAAACCGAGAGCCATTGCCCATCATGGCACCCACCAAAGCTCAGGCAAAGCACAAGGCTGCCACCGCTACCAACGACTTTCAGTCTTTCGTTACAAACGGTACGATCGCCCTCCTCCAGTGTCCACCACGTGATTGCGCACCCCGGCTAACATGGCGCCTCTTCCTAGCTCGCGAGCGCAAGCGAAATGAAGACCTCGCGACAAAGATCTTCTCCACAAAGTCCCGTCGCCAGAGTGCTCCCTCAACCCTCAAGTCGCAGAAGACCCCCGGTGGCTCCCTAGCCAGCCGTGTGGGCGTCAAGAAGGTACTCCCTTGCCCATACTGCCCAGCTGTCTCCCTCTCCCGAGACCTATTCTGACCATGGAGAAGAAGCCCCGTGCATCACTGGGCTCTCGAGCAGCTCCGGCGCCCGCTGGCAACGTCAACGGCGAATGGACCCATGATCTACACAACACCGTCAACAACGCCCGCTCACTCAAGTCCCGCATCACCAATGGCAGCGCCAACGCCAAGGCACCGCCCACAGGTCCGCGCGGCAACAAGGCGGCACGACGCGCAACCGCTCTCGACCGCATGGATCTCGACTCGGCCGCCGTCCAGTCGCAAGCCAACATTAGAAGCCCCCCTCAGGGCATATCGATTCGCGGCCTCGCGGGGCCCTTCACCGTGATGGGTCAGAACTTTGCCCCGGGAACGACTGCAGCGGACGTCGAGAGCGCCATGACCCCGATCGGCGGGCCGATGGAGCAGTGCAGAGTCATTAAGACGCAGCCGTTCATGGTGGTGGAGATGGTATTCGCTTCGCGGGAAGGGGGCGAGAGAGTCATTGAGACCTTCAACGATAAGACGGTGAGCCTTTCCCCTAGAAGCTGGGTCTCGTATTTACTGACACTCTCCTTCGTCAGGCCGATGGTCGAAAACTCAAAATGTATCCCAAGATCGGCGGCGGGGAAGCCAGCACGACGGCGACACGCGCATCCAGAGCCGAGGAGCAAGTCGTCGATGGTTCCCACGGCTTCCCCGACCCCAAACAGACCCAGAGGCTGTATAGTGATAAAATTGTCAGCCACCCAGCTGGGAGGGGTCGCGGACGCGGACAGCGCGGTCGAGTGGGGGAATAGATGGACATCTCACTTGATCTGAGCGCCCGTGTGCGAAAAGATGATTGGGCTCAATGGGCGACATACAGGTGCATACACAGGAGTAGGTAGGTAAGGTATTCGGATACCAGGCGTTTCGGGATTCCGCACGTGCAGTCATCAAGCCAAACAGATCTAAGGTTAACTTTTTGTTCACCGACGCCCCCTTTTTACGTCGCGCCATCGCCATCGACATGGGAAATCGTATATATTCGCTGCCTCGTGTCCCTTTACAACAGTCGGACACAGTGTTTGTCGCTATCGACGAAAACGCCCAGGAGTGGCATCAGCCTATCCCTTGCTGTGCAATGCCATGCCATGCCATCCTGATCTTCGTACATACCGATACCCACGCATGGGCACAGGGCCGCCCCTGTGAATCGCTATCATATTCGCTTCATGAAGGACGCTATTAACGATGGTTGAGCCCAGTCCATACAATTCCCAGACCGGTTATTATTCCCGCGACTATCGCAATAATCTACTGATTGTTAGCTGAAGTTCATATTCGCCTAATGAGCACGTATACTATACCCATGCTGCGTTGCGTATAAAGGCCATTGTCTCGCTATACACGTCCGCGATAGCGATATATACGACCTGCCAAACGTAAGTATACTTCTTATAACTATGTTGAAGATGAGACACATACCACGGCAGTCGAATTCCTTGCAAACTATGCCAGGAACTGTAGAACGTGGTGCCCAGCAGAGGCAATCCTAAGCCTCGCTTCGTGAGATAGGCCACGTAATACACGTAGGTTGTAGATGGACGGCCTATAATCGTTCATCTCCGCAACGATTCTTGGTGCCATCTCTGCAGCAATTCTTGGTGCCATCTCTGCAGCGATTCTTGGTGCCATCTCTGCAGCAATTCTTGGTGCCATCTCTGCAGCAATTCTTGGTGCCATCTCTGCAGCGATTCTTGATGCCAGCTTCACAAAGAACTCCTCCAATTCTTCAAGCGTGAGGTCGCCGACTCTCTTTGGGGCTTGGTAGGGTGCCATAGTAGCAGGTTGTGGTGGCAGCTTATAATCGATTGTGGTGGTGGTTACTTGTAATGTATCGAGCGGAATTCGTGGGCAGAGTAAAGGTATTGTTATTGTAAAGTCTAGAAGAGGTGGTCGGAGGTGAGGCTTTATGCCTGGTAAATAACGTATATTTTTAGAGTTTGGTTTAGAGTTTTGATGACAGCGTGGCAGATGATCGTGGCAAGGCCGACCGGACGCATCGCACACTGCGGACCGCTGCGAGTTGGAGTCGGAGCATGGCCTAGCCCCGTTGGCACCCAGTGAGGCTTGGAAGATCTCGTCGCACCAGGCCAGCCTCTCAATGCCATGGATTCTGGTTACCTCCCATGAAGCCTTCCTCCAGTGTTCGCTCCTCCAGGTTTCGTATGAAGTCGCGATTGCTCCGGCTGCCCTGCTGAGTCCTGCTCGTCCTTCGCTGGGCACCCCTCGAAGAGTCCACTACTTGCGATCCATCCGCGGTCGGCGGATAGTACGCCGGACTCGGTTGCAGGCGAATGGGGTGGCTGGGATCCAAGTGGCTAGCAACACGCTGAATAGCGGCCGGGATACCGCTCTGCTGTTGCTCCATAGTCGAGGCACGCTGTCTGTTGGACCGTATGCCCTGCTGTTGGTACACGTTTGGTTGAGGCATGTTGCCATATTGACCGCCTTGCATTTGCTGCGGTTGTTGCGGCTGCTGCTGCGGCATGACCATCTGACCGTACTGGTTCTGTTGACCGCCATAGGCAGGAGGCATGTTGCCGCCGCCGGGTGAGTACACGTTGTTGCTGACATACACTGGCGCCTGCGGGTGAGCCGACGGAGGGTATTGGCCTCCAGGCACGGGTCCATATGCCCCTTGTGCGGTCGATGCCTGGGCCTGGGCTGCCTGGGCCCTTTGCTTACTCAAAGCCTCAGCTTGCTGCTGTTGCTGGGTGCCCGGAGCAGGTGAGCGATTGAGCGAGCTCGATTTCAAGTTCATGGGTGGCACGAATGGGCCTTGGAACTTTTGCTGTGTGATGAAAGGATGCATCTTGGCCTGTTGGGGCGACCACCGCTCAAGCGGGTTGATCGTAAGCAGACCCCTGACAAAGTCGATAAAGGCGATGCGGTTGCTCATCTCTGAGGACGGATTGGTTAGCAATGTCTTGAATCAAGTCCTGATTAATTTTCACTTACCTCTGTCGATCTCGCTCTGTTTCATGTTCTTTCTGGGCATGGGGTACGTCTTGATGATTTCGGGCAGAGTATTGGCCGTGAAGTAACGCTTGCTAAGCTGCTCTTTCGTGGAGTGCTCTCTTGCGTACTGCTCCATACTCTTGAGCTGGTAGTTTCTCCGACCAAACTCATCCTGCCTCTTTTCGAAGAATTCGCCAGACTGCTTGCCCATTTCGAGCATCCAGTTGGGCGGATTGCCCATCATCTCGACAATTCTGGAGACCTGATTGTACTCGGACGAGCCGGGGAACAAAGGCAATCCTAGGAACAGCTCCACCACGATACAGCCGAGAGACCACATGTCAATGGCAGACGAGTAGGGTAGGCCAAGGAGCACCTCGGGAGATCGGTAGAAGCGCGACTGAATGTATGTGTACACCGTCTGGCGCTCGTCGCAGGCTGAACCGAAATCAATGATTTTGATAATCGGGCTCTCAAGATTTTTGAGCAAGATATTCTCGGGCTTCAAATCGCAGTGGATGAGTCGAGCCTTGTTCAGCAGCGCCAATCCATTGAGCAATTGTTGCGCAAATACCCGAACAAGCGTGGTGCTCAAGCCACGGAACTGGTTCTGCTTGATGAGCTCGTATAAGTTGACGCTCAGTAGCTCGAAGACCAAGCAGAGATGCTGGCGGTGGATGAAGGTATCCTTCAGTCTCAACAAGTGATGGTCGTCGTTCTTGTCAAGTTTGGAGTTCAGCAGATCGAGCACCGACACTTCCATCATGCTCTGGTTGAAGTACGCCGTGCGGTTCTTGATGACCTTGACAGCCACGACTTCCTGTGTCTTGAGGTTCTGACACTTGACGACTTGGCCGAATGTGCCTTGACCTAGCACATCGAGGATAAGATATCGGTTCCTAGTGCCCACGTTAATACCGCTTCTCGTAATTTTAGTATTGACGTACTTGTGTCCCGCCTCCTCGGAGCCGAGGATATCATTCACATATAGGATGTAGTCGCTGTCTTCGTTGTCGTAGCCATCATTCTTCGTCCCCTTGCTTGGTTTTGTCAAGACTCGTCGAGGGTTCCGCGATGTTTCGTACTTGAATTCAGGATTACAGATGCGATAGGTGGCTGGTAGATGGCTAGTCAGGGCTTGCAGAGGCTATAAGGTGTTAGCGCAGGAATGGCTTCATTGGGATGCACCACACGTACGCTGATGAAACCTCCTTCTGGGTTCGCTCTGCGAAACGGGGGCTGCTGGCTGTTCTTTGGCCGCAAATCATTAGCGCCCCGGATCTTCCTGAACTCGGGTACCGGTCCTCGCGAAGAAGGCATCGGCGGTGGCGCTTGTCGACGGGGGGATTTGGGGTCGGCGGCATAGGACGCATCCAAGGCGGCTACTGCCGACGAAGGGTAGCCATCGTGAGTTGGCGAGTATGGTGAGAGAGGAGGTAGCTGCTGGCTCTGGCGTCCACCATAGTACGGGCTCTGCATGTACTCCCCTTGCTTCGAAGGAGACTGCCGTTGCTGAGGCGGAGGTTGGCTATACTGCGGCGGCTTTGGCGCGTAGGGAGAGGAGGATGACAGGGTATCCATTGGCGAGTATCGCTGAGCGGCAGAGGAGGAGGAGTGGTGCGACTGGTGATGAGGCCTCATGGGGTACTTCATCCCGGCGTCGTGCATGGCGACATCACCATTGCCGTCGCGAGTCTGCGGAGCTACCACCATTGGAGACGTTGCCGGATTGCTACCAGGTGTCGAGGCGCCGACCGACAGGGTTCCATAATGGTCATATTTGTACCCAGCCGGTGGTGGAGCCGACTGCTGCGGATGCTGGGGCGCGTAGTCGCGGGGCATTTGTTGTTGTTGCTGCTGCTGGTGCGGCATGCCATTGTGTCGCTGGGATGCACCCGGGGAATCAGCATAGGACTGCTGCCACTGGGGATCCATTTTGAGTCGTCGGAGGTGGGCAAGGTCGATAGACAAACTTGGCGAGCTGTAGGCGTCGGTCGTCGACTCGCCCGAGTGGCGGCGGCAGCGTCGTCACTATCGTCAGTGACGAAGCTGGTCTGAAGATGAAGTATTTAGCGCAATCGCATTCGCTCCACGAATCGTCGCAAACGAAGCTGCAAGCAAGCTGGAGCGACCTGTTGCGCGTAGGAGCCGAGCCGAAACGACTCGTGACGGGATTGTTTTCAGCAGCCAGCGACGACAGACGACTGTGTGGCGGCGGTGACAAGCAGGCAGGCACGCAGGTAGCCGAAGCTCAAGATACCTAGGTAGTACTGCGACGAGGGCAAAGAGCCCAGTGATCTGACACAGGCAATGCGGTCGAGGGACCAGGCGGCAATGTTTTTGTCGGTCGCTGTGGTCGGTCTGGGAGCAATCTTGGCTGGAAACAGCGCGAGGGCTTAGAGGAGGCGTCTGACCAAGTCGAGAAAGAAAAGGCTCGTCGACCTCAGCCAGATAGACAGCTATTGGGCTGGCTGACTGGGTTGAGAGGATGCTGCGACGTGGAGGGCCTGACTGGGACTGGGACTGGGACTGGGACTGGGACGGACCCGAGGGCGCTGGTGTCCAGCCTGGCAGTGGGGAACGTCGTAATGGCCGGGCCCTGCTGGGTGGGTGGGCGGGCGGGCGGCTACGTTGCTACGGGCCTGAAATAAAGGCTGGAGGCATCACGTCGTCTAGTGCGTTACATGTGGGATTGGGCAGCCAGCCAACAAAATGGCTGGGTTTTGAGCGTCAGAGCCCAAACATGGACCAAGGTAAAAAGCATCCCCACGCTAATACATGTACTACGATATGATGCCTCGCCTGTGATCTTCTTCCAACCTCCTGAGAGACCTGTCCGAGAAATCTGTCCGAGCTGGGTAATTTTTCGCCACGACTGGAATCGCGCCTCTGCGGAGAACCAGCAACCACCCTGTGTGCTTCAGCAGAAGGCACAGGTTGCGCCCAGTACCTTAGTCGATGAAGCGTACAGGTACCTTACTCTTGGACATTGCTACAAGTAGGCCAAGAGCATCTAGTGACATATCTTTTCGAAGATTTGGCCCAACCTTGCTGGTGCTCTCTTACCTGTACCACAGTCGAGGAGATACAATATGTAATATCGGTAGATGTGTTTTACTAAACCCACAAGAACGTAGCATAGGCTACAGCTGTCGATCCCCTGTCTCCAGCCGCAACTGTAATCCTGCCGGAATGACCAACAGATCTAGCTAGGGAGCTTCGTGGGCCCATGGCTGGTACTGCAAGAAGAAGAGAAGACGCGCCAAGCTCAGGGGCAACTGCCTACCCCCTAAAGACCGCACCACCTGACTCGCAGAATGCCTTTCGCTTTTCCCTGTATCATTTGAATTCGTCAAGTCGTCATCGTGGTCGCATCCTACATCAAACTATAGCGAGACATTAAAGAGAGAAACGTGCGAAGAAAAGGGCTGATGCTGGAGCTGCAGCTACTCGACAGCAACTGGGAATAACATGTGGTAAAAAGAGTAAACACGACAAGAAGTAAATCACCAAAATCATGATAGCCAAAGAGAATTCCACATATATCGAGCAGCCATAATTGTTCTGTCACGACAAGAGAGATGAGACGACAAACTTGAAAGGTATCCGAAGAAAGAGAAAATGTTGATCACTGCGAGTCTTACCCAGATCTTCCTCCACGCACGGCCCCAGGGAACCGTCTGTCTCGTCCAGTCCACATTTCGGTCTGGGTGCTGTTTTAAGGACGGCAATTGCGTCTTACGACTGATAGCCGCTGTAGCCATTGTTGAAGTTCTGTCCCGCAGCAGGCGGGGACCACTGAGTCTGAGGAGCTTGCTGGCCTCGACCAAAACCACCAGCGCTCTGAGGTGGTGCGTACCCCATCGGGGAACCAGGGAATCCGGCGGGAGATCCAGCGTGAGGCGCACCAAAGTTGTTCTGTTGACCGCTGTACTGCGCTTCTCGAAGTCAGTGTTGTCCCACGAGAATATCGCCATCATGCACTTACCACCATACTGCGGGTAGAACGTGGGCGTGCCGGGGAAACCGCCAGGCGTCGCCGCACTCTGAGGACTGTATGGTGAGGATGGGTCAAAGGCCTGAGCTCCAGGAGTCTTGTCCTTGCCCCACTTTTGCGCGGTCAGTCACTGGTAGGCTAATCGCTTGACGAGTTCCAACTTACGCTGCACTTGAGTGGTCGCCCGTTGACATTGTATCCATTCATCTGGCAGATAGCCATGGCGGCGTTTTCGTGTGTGTCCATCTTGATGAACGCGAAACCTCGATCCGCGTGGAAACGCGACTCCTGAACGAAGCCAAAATTCTGGAATAGAGGCACCACTTCCTGAGGAGTGGTATACGGAGTCAGGTTGCCGACGTAGACGGTGGTCTGCCAGTTTGGCGTCTGAGCCTGAATAGCATCGAAACTACCAACGCCATTCGAGGGAAACTGATGGTGGCCGTACGGAGTGGTGGGCGTAAGTCCCATGGCCTGCATGGCCTGCTGCTGCGCCATCGAGGGTTGGCCCTTTTGGTTTGCCCAGTTGCAGCGGATCGCCCTGGAACCCAACCATTCGCCATCCATCGAACTCAATGCCTTCTCGGCCTCGGGGCGATCACGGAACGCGACGAAGCCATAGCCCCTTGAGCGACCTGTTTTCATATCCCACATCACACGGGCTTCCGAGACCGAGCCAAAGGCGGAAAAAGCTTGCATAAGGATTTCATCGTTGACTTCGTTGGACAGATCCCCGACGAAGATGTGAAAATGGCCAGACGTATCCTCTTTGTTCGAAGTAGTAGACTGATACGCCCAGTTGACTCGAATTTCCTGGCAAAGGTTGTTAGCACAGTCTGGACTGTGAGCTTATGTCACGATCGTACCGATTGGTGTACTCGACGCCCATTGAGCGTCTGCATAGCGCGCTCGGCAGCTCCAGGATCATCGTACTCAACGAACCCATAGTTGAAGCCCTTGGCCTAGACCCATTAGTACAGATCAGAAAACCTTTGATGTATGATCTCAACGCACGTTCTTGTCGGGGATGATCTTGACATTCTGAACATGGCCAGTAGTCTCAAAGATCTGTCGCAAGACATCCTCAGTGACTCTCTGGTCCAACCCTCCCACGTATAGCGCCCGCTTGTTCGGTTCTGGCGCGGCGCGTCGAAAGCCGCCCCCGGAAGTTGGAGACATCATGGCCGAATTGTCGCCTCCTGACATAGGGGAGGTGAGCGCTGTCGGGATCGGATTGGTGTTCTGGGGGATATGAAGAGGCGGGGGCGGAAGTTGGGATGCGCCAGGCTGCCCATTCTGACCATTGTCGAAGCCCTGCGCGCCTGCGCCGGGTTGCGACCCATGAGGAAGCTGGCCGGCCGCCGAAGGAGCGTTGTTCTCAGCCATGATGGTATGATGATGGTGGCGGTGCGCAAGCGAAGCGTGTGCGGCATGCAGCTGCGTATGTCTAGCGCAGTATTCGTTTGCTTACGCGCGTGCACGAGCTAGGAGACCTGTCGTTTAAGAGCCGACTAGCCAAAAATTCGTAAAGTAAAGGTCGGTCGTAATCGTGGACAAACACAAGATCTGGGAGCTTGGCATAAGTGACAGCAAAGACACGCCTGATGATGGTTGAGAGATGACAGGAGACGGAAGAAAAGCTAGAAACCAGCAAAGCAGAACAAAGGATAAGGAAACGGACACAAGAAGGACCTGGCCCTGGAATCGCAAGATGCCCTTTTTCTCAAAGTATGTTCATGTAAGAGTGGAGGTCACTGGTCAGAAACTCCAGTCAACATGAGCTCGAAAGGCGGACCGCACCAGGAGTGCCTGATGAGGGGAAATGCCACCAGACCGCCCCTGTAGCATCATGTGATTGGTCACATCTGGCTTCAATTTGAATTGCCCTTTCTCCAGGACACCTGTATGGCTCACCGAGACGTCGCCAAGGTCCCAATCATCTCTTTTCAGTCGAGTACTGACGATTCAAAGTTGTACTGCTGACGATTCCTAGCTCACTGGGGACGCTGGGACATCCCAAGCGCCTCGACATGGGGACTTGGACCCTGATAGCTGCTAGGGGTGAGACAGCCTGCTTATCGATAGAGGCTGAGGGTCATAGGGAGGCTACGTAGGATCAAGTCTAGCGGGATCAGTGCGCTAACCGCCCCACCAAACTCCAGTCACGGTCTGGACACCGTAGCCGCCGTGCATAAAGCCCGCCTTATGCAAGTCGCCCGAGGTTGTTCCGGTCCGGGAGACACTGGAATTGGAGCTGGAGCTGGGGCACAGTGCAGCAAGCCGCCGCTGGCAATTATAATGGGGCCGCGACTTCACGTGCAACCACCGTCAGCACGTTCTGTTCAGCAAACACTACTTGTACGAACACCTTACATGGTATATCATTCACAACGTGTTTTCATATTATTTGTCCACACTTCCTCAACAACGCGCCATCGACCCGGTCATCACCTTCTGCCAGACCTTTGGTCGTCGTTGACGAGAGCTGATACAACTTTCAATGGAGCCTCAAGTGAAGGAGTCGCTGGACGCGCTCCAGAACCTCTTCAACGATGTGGTATGCAGTCACTTGGACTCCTCTAGAATGCACACACTAATAGTTTGCGCAGCTCATCCAGACGGGGAAAGCGCTTCGTGCGCAACACCGAGAGGCCCAGGGCCAGGTGGTCGCTGAACCACCGCTAAAGTTCCCTGAAACCCGTAGTCTATTCTCACAGGCTTTGGACAATCTGGAAACCGAAATTGTGTGTCTTGAACTTGGGTTGGCAAGAGTTGGAAAATCGCTGACTTCAGCAGGTACAAGCAAAGTCTGTCTTTCAACGCGATATCACCCGCCTACAGACAGACACCACCCAAACTGTGACCCAGCCAGAGCCAGTCCAGCCCCAGACCAAGTCACCCCTCTTAATAGATGCTGAATCTTCGCCACCAGCCATCAAACAAGATGTCGACATGTCTAATCAAAATGTCAATAACAAGGCTGTGGCCCCTTTTCCGGATATGGGTATGGACTCTATTGAGCCAAAGACCGAGGAGATCAAGGATGAGCCGAAGCAACAGTCTGAATCTCAAGCGAAATTTGAGGCTCCCCCAGTTGCTCCCATGTCAGCAGAGAACCAACTCGAGTGGACTGTCTCGAACCCCGGCGAGGCTAAGCCTGAGAAGACCGAGGAACCCACCATGGGCGAACCGACGCCTGCTGACTCTGCAGCATTCACAAACATGGAATTCACATTGGTGCCAACAGACAGTGGCCCGCAGGGAAGCAACAATGGGCAATCCCAGGGCAACGATGGAAGCACAGGACCGAACGCCTTGGACGGGATCAACTTTGGGGATTTTATGCCACCAAACGAGCCGGCAAACAATAACAGACAGCCAGCCTTCGATATAAATACGGTCACGCAGGGGGGTAACGAAGCAAACAACGCCACGGAGACCTCGGCGCTGGATGACTTTGACTTCTCTACTACTGGCCCCGCACCCGATATGACCTGGGACGGCGATGGGCTGGATTTCGACTTCAACACTGAGGATAACACGTTCAACGACCTCATGGACAGCCATGAAGCTAATTACGACGGTGGCCAGTCAAACGGATATAGCATTGAAGGGCAGAACGATACATTTCATGCCGACTTCCTGGACATGGAGTCATCCAACGGGTTTTAGGATGACGCCTGGTGAACTCAATCGACGGTATATGGAGTTCAGAACGAACAAACCAAAGTCATTCAGAGACAAGGCCGACTATGGGCCTTGTGTTACGTTCCACATCCGACCTAACATGCCTTTGAACTTATCGTTACGCCAATCCACCCAATTCCTATCAAGGGCAGCAAAAAAGTCCTCACGGTCGATGATGCCCTCTCGAACATAATATGAGCCGGCAACACTCCAGAGAGCCCAGTCCGCGTCATTGTTCTCAAGATACTCCACCAAACACTCGAGATACGCATGGTCTTCGTCGGACAAGCCGTCATTCGGTCCGCCGGTCATGCCTACGCCGAACTCTGAAAGCCACAGAGGACCCTGCTGCTCAGTACTATCAGCAAGTACGAACCCGAACAAAAAGCCGTACTGCGCCTTTTTGATAGCACAGCTTCCCAAGTTCGGCGTGTTGACAGTGAAGCTGTACACATGAGCGTCCCATACATTCTTGCCCTCCCAGTCCTCGGTCGGCATCCTCTGCTCGCGCAGGGCGCCGAGATTGTTGCCTCCGTCAAGACCACCGATGGAGATCAGCAGGTCAGGGTTCGCAGCATGAACCAGGCGAGCCGCGGCAGGCATCTTCTCAAACCACTGTTCGCCGCCCCAGGGGATCTGGATGGCCTGGGCGCGAAGCTCGTTCCTAAGAGACATGCCCACAACACCCGGACGACCTACCGACCACTTTGCCATCGCCTCGAGACCATCAAGCCATGGCTGCGTCTCAAAAAACTCGCTGTTTGCCGGGACGTAACCAGGAGCGTCCTTCCACCAGCCATTGCCGTCCTCAAGGTTGCAGCACCATTTTGCCTTGCTCACGTGGTTGTCCAAAAAAGTCATGAGCCCCCTCTCCCAGAGTGCATCCTCCACGACACCGAACACGTCCAGGCACGAGGCCTTGGCAAGGAATGGATTCTTCCCGACAGCCATCTTGTACTGATTTATCAAAGCTGCCTCGTCAACGCCGCCTGAACTTGCGCCAATCCGGAACGATTTCTCAACGTTTACTTCAGGGTGGAGAGCCATGTCAACTGAGAATGTCAGGCGCACACAATTGAACCCGGCGCTAGCAATCCAGTCGGCGATGTAGTTGACGCTCTGCTTGCTCAGACCTTCGGGAATGTTCGGCTCCATGTGCCCCGGCCAATTGATGCAACGAAGCTTGACGTGAGCGCCGTCAGTGTCCACGATCCATCGTCCCGAGGAGCTCAGAGGCAAATTTGGCTTCTGTGCAAGGACATTCGGCAGGGCCAATGCCCCCACCGCGCAGGGCATCAACTTCATTTGGGTCGCACGTTGTATCTCGCGTCGAACATGTGCAGTGGAAGTAGAAACGCATACAACAAACGCCGAGGAATGAACGACATGGATGTAGATATCGAGACGATCGCCTGTACGTCCGTACCGTAGCTGATTTATTATGCTCACCAATAATACACCTAGTGGAGCAATCACGCCTCTTGGAGCATGACCTGCAAGACGCTCCTTACACTACAATCCCAGCATCAACTTCCCGGTCAACCTGGAAACGGCACTCACAACGGCACTCGACAAGTCAGAGTGAGCATCTGAGCCGTTCACCACTCCTTTCCATGTACGTGATGTTCCATTAGCACGTCGCAAGTCATCCATTAGGGTCAATGCGATCATCTCAAGGTCACCAAAGTGACGGCTCGTTAGTGTCCGCATCTTCTCGACATGGGTGCAGGTCCAGATGTAATGGAGCCAGGATTGATTGGCAGTTGGGAGGGACATGCGCATTGAGAACGCCACTCTACCCTGCTAAAGTTGCGCTGCCTCGGACATCCAACCACTAAGAAGGATATTCACAGCGCCAGTGTGGCAATCATGGTGATGGGGGAGGGGAAGGGCAGGAGGAGAGAGTCCTGGTCGCTGCGGGGCAGGGCTGCTGACTGAAACAAATGACGGGTGTCGCCGCCCAAGTTGAATGCTTTCAGGGTGTCAATCGTGACTAGTAGATTTTTAGTGTCACTCGTCCGCACAGAAAGTCCTGACGGACATACAAAGTGTGAAAAAGAGGTGCTAGTGCACGTACGCATGTGTCTGTTCTGATGGATTACTAGTTGTAGGTATAAGGGATATACAATATACGGGATAAGTCCCTGTGCTGTGTCGAAAGTAGGGAACTCAACGTGTCGAACGATCGCTGTTTCTATCTGCCCTGTCCAGCAGATGTGCGCCACTCAACTCTTATTAGCTAGACCCCTCACAAGGTGGATTGTACAAGCACGTCTGTGCCATACGAGTTGGGTCGGTGATTGTGGTGCCACCGACCAAGCGACAGGGTCTAGGGAAATATAAAGGCTGACATGTAGTAAGATGTCGCAAAGTCGCTATTTTCGTAAATTCGTAAAGAAGCTGAGCTCATGTGCCCCAACCATTAATTAGTGCGCAAGCTGCTGCTGTCCTTCGGCGGCAATCCGAGCCTCGATCTCTCGCCTTTTGGCCAAAAGGCTCTTGAAAGCACCGACGCATTGAACGAGCGCCTCTTCGTCGTGTGTCGCAAATTTGTAGCTTTTCTCTTCGGTGATGATTTGTAGGCAATTTGTCTTGCTCCTGCTCATCGGATCTATGTCCACAACATCGACTATTGCAGATAGACGGAGGATCCGCTGTGCCGTGTATTCTTGCTGGTTCTTGTACAGGATAAGGTTACGAGGGCGCAGCACTCCCCACAGATGCTTCCACTGCCGGACGCCTCCCTTGGTTCGTAGATGGTAGAGCCAGCCTTGCCAAATGACGCGATCGGGATCCATTTCAGCGGCCGCCGTGCTTTGATGACTTGAAGACCGGTGCAGAGGGCTGGCGCGAGGATATGAACCGGCCCCAATGGTGTCGCTCAATGGCGGCGCCCGCGATGCGCTGGCGGATAAGCTCTCGAAAGATGCGGCCGGTAGACGCACAGTAGCTTCGTTGTCGGAAAAGTCGGAATGAGACGCGAGTTCGTTGCCAGACAGCCCCGACAGCCCGGATGACTCCATGTGTGATGACTTCCTCCGGCGAGGCACAGGAATCGGTATGGACGGGCTGATCGGCTCGGGCGTGCTTGATAACAAGAACTCATCATGCTCGCCCAGCTGCCCTAACACTGCCGAGCTGCCAGGTGTATCTCGACGAGCTGCAGGGCTGGCTAAGGACATTTCTTCCTCTTCTTCCTCGATGCGCGCCTCCTTGCGGATCAGTTGTACCCATTCTTCAGCCTCTTTCTGCGTGGGAGCCTCGAAGTGGAAGTTCTTGGAGGGCGAAAAAAGACCAAATACGTGTTCGCGCTTGTGTTTGGGATCTTTGAGGAACGCGACAGCAGTCAGGTCGTTCAAGTAGATCTGATGTCGCAGTTTGTCCTCCTTCTCGTCCTTGTATATCGACAGTCGGTTGGGGCGCATGACAAGGTAGATCGACTTCCAAGACTATAGAGTGTGTTAGCGACGACGAATCGGACTAGAGGGAGGCTATTTAATTTCCTTGGTCTTGCGCGTACGTCTGCGGAGCGATCCGCTCTTGAGGACACGGTCGACCGCAAAAGACCCATTCTGATTGACCGGCGTCGAGCTTTCGGTCTCTGGGCGATTCATATTGCGAGGCTGCTGTTCTTGATGGCCAGATCCAGGACCAAGCTTTGCGGCGATGCTGCGAGGCTCTTCGTGTCGCTGGACCTGGACCTGAACGAGGCTCTGTGCCATGTCAAAGGACTGAACAACAGGTATAATCAGGTAGGGCTGGTGATGTCGGTGGTTTAAAGCGTGGCGCTGACTGTTTCAGTATGCACTCGCGTGTCGTGTGCTTTGAGTGTCACACTGTATGTGCCCAGACAAACTGCAACGCCTTCTGATCATACGTGCGATGCCTGTAGCGGTGTCCGCGGGTCCTCGCATTCGAGCGGCCAGAATTGTTGACACCTAGATGTAGAAATAGACGGAAGGCGCCGCTGTCGATGGAGCTTGCGAGGCGGTACGTTTGCGTGGTGGGAACAGTGGTCGACGAGGCAGTGACAAAACAAGCTTCGGGTTTTGGTGTCCAGTTGTTGATGCAGAAGGCACGGTTCGAGACAACGGGAGAGAGTGGGAGACGTCCCGGGTTGATATGGCGGAATGTGAATGATCAGCAGACGCCGGGTGGGTGTTCGGGACGCTGGCGTAGCGTCTATTGCACGACCTTGGCCTAGTCTAGAAAACGAATGGTGCATTCGCCAACTAGATAACTGTCCTTTGATCGGAGTCGTTTCAGGATTTGGCTGAGACCATCGAGTGGCGTTTGTGATCTGGAGTGCCGAATGCATTGAGCTTGTCGGAATGCAGCTTCCACTCGTTGAATCAATCGAAGCCGCTAGACTAGGACAGGATGACTGGAGTCTCACCAGAGCGTCTCGGGAGGTGGCAGGCGCTATTGACGTCACCAGCCAATGAAATGCGTGCATCACCCCAGTGGGATACCTCTGGCCGTGGTTAGGGGCTGCGCTGAAAGTGTGATCCGCGTGTAATTAATTAAGGGAGATGTTATCAAGCATACCACATCTGTTATTGAGCATACCAGGTGGGGCCAAGTGTGGCGTGAGCTGCAGCAACCCCCTTTTAGCCGTAAATCCACCGTAGCGTAGCTTCAACTTGACGAACCTGTACATATTACCTTTGAGGTTAATTGAAGCTATCGCTAACTTTGATTATGGCTAACAACGCTGCCCTGCGGGCGTTGTTCGGCCAGACGTACCTTTCCTTCGAGGCCGCGAAGGCCGCCGCGAAGGCCGCCGCGACCGCGATTGTAAAGACCGAAGGCCGACCCAGACTTTGAATAGCAGATAGAACAGTCAGACCTCGGGCTTTATAAGGCTGCCGCGGATGATATATAAACGACGGCCTTGATCGACGAGATAGATATGTTCTTGGCCGAGAATTAGGTCAACCTTAGCACTATCAATAGGTACGCCTATTTTCGCATCGCTAGCAGCCTTATCGCGGCATCTGAATTCATTCCATTGATACACACAGCGTAAGTAGCAACATCCCTCGAACGCAGCCAAATTTGGCTGCGGGGCAGGGAGTCGTTACGCCACAGCGTCTGCCACACTTGGCCCCACCTGGTATGCTCAATAACAGATGTGGTATGCTTGATAACATCTCCCTTAATTAATCAATTAAACATCATCATCAGACACTGTAAGGATACAATGGACCGGATTCCTCCTTGCTGAGTCCTCTTTGATTTTGGGGAGGAAAGATCAGGAAGTTAGGCCCTGAAGCAGCTACTCTCCACGTCGTTGCAGTGCTCTCTGCTACATCCCCAATCATGCTGCTAAAGAGCATCAAATGTCTAGTAATAGGTAGCTTCAAACCCTACATTATTGCCATAGTTCACATGCTAACATTGGGAATCCCTAGGGACTGCAGGTACACGCGAGTAGTGCGGAGCGATTCAGCTAGTCCTTCGCGAGCATTAGACGAGAGTGACAGACAGGTTCCCGCCCGCGACGATACTACGTGTAAACCCGACATTTTGCTGCTAGTAAAGCGGTGGCTCTCAAGCACGGATCGCGTTTGATAGCTCTGGGTACTTTACAACGCTCACAATACCGACATCTTTCTCGGCCAACCTAGCATAGACCCAAGTAGTGGCAGAGCTAATCTTGCCCACGCCATTCCCAAACGTAACCACAGCAAGCTCCTTATCACCACACACAATTGGCGCGGATCCCGCGCACTAAGAATACGTACCTTCCATGAATGTTCGGTAAGGTACGGAGTACATGCACGATGCATCGTAAGCGACCAAGAGCTTGGCAGCTCACGAGGAATGCGACTCTCTTGGCACGGAACATCATCCGTCTGCGGACATCGCTCACGGGGCAAGCGGCGGACGCCAGGTTAGTCTGCGGGCCTCTTAGCTCAAGGCATATCCATTAATAAGGAATACATAGTAGTATGATAGCCGCATCGCGTGGTCATGGTTCAATGCCTATCGCACACATGCTGCATCATAACATGATTTTGATTGAAGTCCAATGCATGTGGCTGTGACCTGGCTTCCGGCAATATGCACTACCACTAGAATACTGGGCCCTGGGTTGCGCGATCGGCAAATGGGAAGAGGCACCTGTCAGCCAGGCCCGCATATCGTTCAACAAGGCTGATTTTAATCATGCGAGGCCCGTCTGCCTGGTGTTGGGCAATTAAATATGCGCCTGGAGGCTGTTCATGCTTCAAATCCCACTTGCCGCCATTCTTTTCCGGTCCTCGGGCGCTGTCCTATTCATGCCTTATCTTACAACCCCTTAAGAGTGTGATTTTGGCCCTTGGTCGTGAGATGTGCTCTCCGACACCATCGTATCTTCAACCTCCGAGCATTAAACATAGGCCAAACTATTCGTCGCCCGTGCGTGATCTTTCCTAGCGCCCAGTTAGCGGCGCCCTGAGCACCATGGCTACAAGCTACTCTGGTCCGACCCAAGGCGGTGGTTACGACTATGCGGAAATACACCATAGCGCCCCGGAAGTCGTCATGGCCGACGACAGGCACGCGAATGCGCCAGAAGTGGTCAACGGCGAACTTTTCGCGAAGAATGACAATTTTACCACTTGGGACAATCAGTCAGGCAATCCTACACAACAACCCTCTCACGCCACGAGGCCCTGGCAAAAACGACGCCGCTTTTGGGCTGCGATAGCGGCGGTGGTAATATGCATTATTGTCGCGGCAGTAGTCGGGGGTGTCGTAGGATCCAAGAACAGCGAGGGCGGCGACTCAACGACACCGACACCAACAGGAGCGGATGCGACTCCAGATAGCACCTCAGCCTCGTCAACAAGCATGGCAGACACGTCTCCAACGTCAACGACCGACACCTCGACGTCCACGGCTCCCTCGGCAGAGCCAACATCAAATATCCGCGCAATCGTCATACCATGGAGTAGTGACAGCTGCTCTGGGACGAAGCCAGCTGGGGAATTGTACATCGAAGACGACGATTGCTATGAGCTTCCAGGTGATTCTATCATTATTGACCATTTTGCTGAGGGCTGTGGATGTAAGTGGTCTTATCGTTACGCCTCTTTGCTTTTCCCTCTGTAGCACAACGAATAAAGCTAATGAAACCGCTTCATAGTAAACAAATATAAGGGGGAGGATTGCACCGACAAAGGGTTTCGACACGTTACGGAGAAGGCATGTTTCCCCAATGACGATTATGTCTCGTTCAAGATTGCATGCACTTAAAAGGGAGCAACGCCGGCCGGAACAAGGTCGGATATGTGGGATTTGCTCGAGATGCCGGAGGGGGCACAAATAAATTTGATATCTCTCATCCCTTCCTCGCACGTAGGATCCTTGAGGATTTCGGCCCATTCACCAAGACCATTATCTATTTCGACTCCATCATATGGCAAAGTTGAGGGGGTGATATGGGAGCGAGGCACCGCGCCAAGCACCTGCAAGTGTGATCGATCTGCCGGCGCCAGGTAAGAATCCCTGTGGAAATTTGGCCTGATTAAAAGTAATTGTGACTGCCCGAACTGTTTGAGCCATCAGACTCCGAGTTGCGGGGACTGTTGGAGCGACCGTTGGAGCGACTGTTGAAGCTCCTGGCAATTGCTGCACCAGGATCACTCTGCTCAGGAGTAGCAGGATCGCTCGTAATATTGCAGGCGATGCCAGTGTCTCTGCCGGTGGATCCCACGGTTTGGCCTATGAGCCGTCGAACTGGCGGCAGGTCCAGAATCAAACGGGCACAGAGAGCTGGCACGTCTTCGTACGATATGAAGGTCCCTTGTCCTCTTTGATGTGTTTCCCACGACGAATATCTTCCATGTTTGTGCCGGGAAGATCGTGTCCCACCCGGAATAAGAATGTGCGCGGCGTTGATCTTTCTCTCAGCCGGTCGATACATGACTATTACGTCGTGTTCTTCTCCATTTAGGGTATGAAATACTAGCTTAAAGGTAAGAAATTCTCGTAGATTTCCGGGTGCGTAGCTATGTGGGAGTCATCTAAATGTAAAGATCCGGCTGTCCAACTAACTAACTTAAGTTAACGTAAACCACATGCGAGTGGCCCACCCAAGCGAGTGGCCCACCTCCATCACCCATCGCGTACGAAAAGGTTGATCAAGAATAATATAACAAATTAAATTATAGATACAATAAATAGATTGATAGCGTAAGTCTTTATATATCTTCTGGATAACTTCGCACGTTATGACCTGCTTTGGCGTATCTACTATAGCGTGTAGGCTTCGGACTGCTTGGTGGTTGAGGGCGCCTCTTTGTGCGCTTTGCTTCCTGAATCTGTTTATTAATTTTCTTTTGATTAATAAGATCTTTCCTATCTTGTATAGTTAGTGTGCCTCTATACTAGAGATAGCTTTTTTTAACCCCTCGGCGCTTACTTAATGCCTTATTTACTATACGTAGTGACGTGTTCTTTATTTATAAGAGGACTACCTAATATATCACTACTATAGCCCCTTTCGTTAGTTAATCTAAGGTATTAAGTATAGGCGTTAGAGAGCTATTCTAATAGATAGAGATCCGAGTCTTGATATATTCTAACTACGCGCTAGCCTCGTGCGCGTTTTACGGCGTCTTAAAGATCTAAGGGTGGGTAGTCTTAAGCAGATCTATAGGAGGAGTTAGCGTACGAAGCTTTATATTAAGTTTCGAAAGAACCCTTTCTAGGTCGTGCGGTATAAGCCTTATGCCTTTAAATCCTCCCTAGTTATTCTTTTCGGTAAAGGTATAGAAAAAGGCCGTACGAAATACGCGAAAGAAGTTAACCTTTAAAATATACGTAGTATAAGCACGTATTAGATCTTTAACTTATCGCCCGTACGTTTGTTTAAGTAGCCTAAAGTAGCTAATATCGAGGGGCTAAAGAATATAGGAAGAATAAGCCGGTATATAGACCGTAATAATCTTCTTCTCCTAGTAAAATAGCTCGAAGTTAGTTAAATAGTGACTTTTATAGCTATCGAGGATAAGTATTCGATATACGCCTTTTATACGAGAGCTTATATAGTAATTAAAATACTTAATCTACTCGAGGCTAATCTTATTAGTTATCTAGCCGTTATTAGTCATAGCGATAACCTAATCGGCCGGAAGGTTAGTCCCTTCGTACTAAGTTAATAGATAATACTTTACTACAAGGATAATAAAGGGAGGGATAGCCTAACCGCGCGTATTAACGCCTTAGATAATAGTTACCTATTCACTATTTCCGGGCTAGGATAGTCTAGCCTTAGTACGACCTTCTAAGGTCGTGATAACTATACCCGCGAAGATAATACTTATTATAAAGCTAGTTTCGTCGAAGTTATAGATATCGTTATCTAGGATCCCGTATTTAGCCTATATATTCCGTATAAGCGTGAACTAGCCCTTAATAAGTCTCGGATCTTCGTATTTAGCCCGCTAGTGGTTATATTTACGAACCTAGCGCGTGCGAAGTTCTTAGTAATATTTAACGAAGTTTAAAGCCTAATACTTGCTAGCGGGTAGCGCGTCCCGTACGCGTAGAAGTTAGTTAGCTATATCTTTAATACCATAAAGTCTTAGAGGGAACGATCGCGAAGATAGATCGATTATATACTAGATAATCGCCTTTTCTTCTAAATTAGTTAAATTTATTAAATTCGGCCTAGTTTCTGCTCGGACCGCGAGGCCTTGCTTTCGGTGACGGAGTGTCGTACGAGGTATATTATAAACCTTTGTAACGTGCCGTATGCTTAATGATAGGTTTTCTTCGATAGCTTTAAGGGCTAAAAGCACCCTAGATTCTTTCGGAAGCTTATCTATATTAAATTGTGGTGATAATTGGCGAGGAATGTTAACGCACGCGATGGGTGATGGAGGTGGGCCACTCGCTTGGGTGGGCCACTCGCATGTGGTTTACGTTAGTGGGAGTGTGTTTTAGGTACCCTACAGCTTGGCCAGTGGCAAGCCAGAGCTAGCTTAGATGTATCCGGTCTACTCCCGTACGGTCATGAGCCATCTCGAACCCAGCAAAAAGAAATCCCAGAAGAGTAACACCACATAAGTCAAAACATCCAGCGTAAACTTGATCCTAGGCAAGAGCAGCCTCAAATCATCCCCGCCATCCCTCTGCCGGCCATGGAGGGGTCGAAATCTCAGCCCTGCAAGAAATGCAAGAATGAAGATGCGCCTTTCAACTTTCGCAATGCGCCAACGTGTCGGTACGTACTGCAACCTCGTGGTCTACATAATCATGTTACTGACTATTGATAAAGTGATTGCTACATGCTATACATAGAACAGAAGACTGCCAAAGGTCTAAGAGCACTTCACACAGACATCCGCACGTCAACTCTTCCAGAACCCCGGCGCTATGTCGCTGGACTCTCCTTTGGCGCATCATCCAGCGCGATGGTATGCGCCCTCGACAAGCACACGCATCGGGAGATGAGCAAGAAGTCAACGTCATTATTCGAAGTGCTGGCGGTTCACGTCGATACCGACCTGTCCGACCATCACGGTCAGACACCGGCGATGAACATGCTCAACCGCTATAGAGAGAAATTCCCAAACGTCAAATTCCAGTGTGTTCACCTGGGCGAGGTCCTCAGTCTGAAGACGGTGGATTGGTCGACCTTGCCAGGGCTCAGCGCGCAAGGGACGCAGTCAGCACGCCTACAGAAAATGTTCGACACTCTGCCCTCCGTGACCGCCAAAGCCGACATACTCCGCCTGCTGACCCGTCACCTACTTATACATGTGGCCATGGCGCAAGAGTACGGGGCTTTGCTGCTGGGATACACCACCACCGCGCTCGCGAGTCTGACTATGGCAGAGGTCGCCAACGGCAGGGGGTTCAGCGTGCCGTGGCAGGTCCAAGATAGCCGCTCTCAAGTATGCACCTACGAGGATAGAAAGGCCGTGTCGAAAACCGAGTTCCCCATCTATCACCCCATGAGAGAGACTTTCAGAAACGAAGTCAAGATCTACAACTCGCTGATACCGTCGCTTGCAGAGATAGTGCCTAATACTGGTACGTCACCGGGCGTGGTGTCGCACAAGGACACGAGCATAGACGAGGTCATGACACGGTACTTTGATGGTGTCGAGGAGTCACTCTCGGGTATCGTGGCGAACGTAGTGCGGACCACTGGCAAGTTGGCTAAATTACGGGGAAACGCGCAGTGCGGACTCTGTGGCGTGACGACGGACGAGCAAGGAGATTCCCGATGGGCCGGCGAGCTGGGGGAGGAGGAAAGCAATCAGCAAGCAACGCGGTTATGCTATGGCTGTAAGAGATCCATCAACGGATAAGTTGAACATTAACCCCTCTATATTTATCCCAGTCTTTTCGCAGACCTCGAACTCCCAGTGTATGCATGTGTCCTCCGCGTCAGGCATAGACCGCTTATGCTGGGCTCCGCACCATGCATAAGGCGGCGAGAAATGCAAAAAGGCCCGACAGACACCTCGCCATAAATGAACAGTATATACAAAAGAACGGCCGGTTCAAGTGACGCGACCAGTCCGCCATCAAGCTGTCTTAGCGTTGGCCTTGGCTTCAGCCTTGGCCTTGTTGGCCTCAACAACATCAGGAATGATGAGCGTCTCGACCTTGCGCATCAGCTTGTTCGTCTGCTCCGCCAGCGAAAGCGTGAGAATAGTGTGTGGCAAAATTCGGGCGAGGTGGGGGAGGAAGCCCTTGTAGATGGCGAAGAGACCTTCGGTGCGAATGGTCTTGAGCGCGCAGTCCAGGACGCCCTTGTAGAGGTTGCCGTTCTGGTTGTACAGGCGTGACATGATTGTGTCTGGACGAGTCAGCTCAAATCTCATTTTCAACCGCGCCAGGAAGCTCACCAGGAGGGTGCATCACGCAGCAAACCACGAAACCACTAATCGCACTGCTCGTCAAATGCAGGGGCGCTCCCTCTTCCATGCCAGCGTGCTTCATCAGCCGCCTCTTCGCAAAGAAGTAGGTGGGAAGCTGCACCGAACTGCCGAAGCCAGTCCTGATCATGGCCGCGCCAACACCACGGTACAGTCCCCCGAGTCCCTCGCTGCGGAATATTTGCGACAGACCGTCGATTGCGTTGCGATAGTTGTGCTGTGTCCCCATGGGCAACGTTTTGGAGAAGCTCTGCAACCGTGTCTTGACCAGGAAAAAGGGGCTGCCCGCCGCGGCACCAATCATGCCTGACGATGCGCCGCAGAACATGTTAATCGCCAGACTCTGCTTCCTGTCGTCCTTGAAGAAGAAGCCCGCTAGCGAGGCGCGCATCGGATCGTAAAACCCTAAGCGACAGCCATTGAGGACCATTTGGTAGACATAGGCGCACCCAAGACCACGGTATATGGCACGGACACCTTCGCTCCGCACGATGACGCCGGCGCCGTGTAGCGGACCGCGATAGTGGAGAGGCTGGGCCCCTTTTTGCTGTAGTTCACCCTGCAATTGCATGCTGCGCGCAAGTCAGCCTAGGTCGTTGGTGCCTGAACATCCTCATGGTACACACCGAATCTTGACCGTCTCGAACGGGTGAGTCGCCGTCACGGCACCGCAGGCCGCGATGCCGCCGCCGATGAAGGCGCTGGTGGTTGTCAGTGACGTGCCGCGTTTTGCGTCGGAGCTTGAGAATTGGGTGGAAGGTACCCTATTGTTGTCGACATGGTTCCCGCGTTTCGCAGAGCGCGCACTGTATCGGTGATTCCCCGCGATCGTGAGCCAGTCGTCGACTATTCGCGCCCGTCAGTAGGCTCGACCTATTAGATCCCGGTCGGTGAGGGTAGAGAGAGTCGCTCAGAAGGATGACCGGTTCATCCGCAGCACTGCTTCAGATGGCACGTCAGAAACCATGTCAATTCGCTCGATCATAGGACTCACAAGGTGGTGATTCGTAAAAACACGATTCGGAGGAAATATTTGCTAGGCCATCTAACAAGGGTTGTAAGAAGAAGTTCTGGTAGGCCTCGGAGGCAGAGCTAGGCCGGAAAACGGAAGCCCTTTGGTAACCGCGTCAAAAGTTTGGACAGTAAGCCGTAAGGCTAGAGCCGAGATCGGCCTAGGGGATGAGGGCTCCAGTTCCCACGACTCGAGCCCAACTTGGTCGAGTAATGTAGCAATGCTCATTTGCTGGCGTACGTAGCTGACTTGTTGGCTCTGTAACCGATTAATTAAAGCTTTGACGCGGCTGGGCCCACGGTTGACTTCACGGCCGACACGGACATTGTTGGATTCTACAGGTACCTACTAAGCCGCTCATCTACGGAGCTGGATGATGCGCTAGATTTCCGTGCGTTTTGTGCCGAGCTGCAATTCTGGCTTCTAGAGGCCAGGCAGGTATTCTTTCACCAGGTCAGGTTCCAACAACGAGCAGCCAAGGGTCAGCGACAATCGATGTGTGGTGATTTCGACTACGCGTATCAATTACCGTGCCTGTCCGTCCGAGGATAGCCGTCATGATCTACCCTAGACTTGGGCTGTCACCTTGGGCACGACTAACGCTACTCGCGGTTCCTTTTTGACAATTCCAGAGTTACTCTGCTTGGTCTGCAACATATCACGTACGACTGATTTACAGAGCTGAGAAGCTGTGTTGAAGCTGACAACCCTATAAGGCTGTACTCATCATTTTGTCCAAAATACAGCCCTCTCCGGAGTGGGCAGTGTGCCACGTGGGACCGGCATACAGTTCTGCGCGCAAAAAGGGCTATATAGTAGCACAAGATTCTTTTCAATCGATTGTACGAAGAACATTCTGGTTCTAGATCTCGTTTGTCTTGTCTCGCGCACCGTGCCAGCTGTCGCTGGATCGATCTTGTGCAAGGCCTGGGGAGCATCCCGAGCCGACCCCACATTGACCGGATTTCATTTGGAGATGATGAATCCGCAGAACGACTCGAACTCAGCCCTGACTTCCACGAGAAAGGCGCTTGAGAGGGTGATTTGTTGCCAGCGACATCTACAAGCAGCCGAATTGACAGATTGACCATCTTGCGAACGCACTTTCCGCTCTCAGTCACCGCTCGCGACTGCGACAGGACCGCGACGAGACCGCGACAATGGCAAGCACGCCAATGGACCTGGATCGACCAGAGCGCCCGGCTTCAGCAACCTTGAACATCCAGAGATCGATACCAGGTCCCAGTGGCGCCAGTACGAACCTCAGCGAAGTGATTGCCAACTACAGGCCAACAAAGGTAGCACCGAACCCTGGCCCGATGTTAGCCCTCGGCGCGCTCACGCGATACAGTTGTTCAAGCGCGAAGACCTCAAGGACGGCAGGGCCATACCTCAAGTCCAGTCGATCGACTACAACGATGACGGCGATCTCCTCATGACGTCGAACGCCGACGAGACAATCCAGTTGTACCACGTCAAAGAAGGGCGCCACGAGAAGACGTTGCTCAGCAAGAAGTACGGCGTCAAACTTGCAAAATTCACACATACCAGCTCAAGTATAATATATGCGAGTACGAAGCAAAATGACGCGATTCGATATCTTGCGACACACGACAACTCGTTCATTCGGTATTTTGAGGGACACGAGGGCCCCGTAACATGCCTGGCGGTGCATCCAGGCGAGGACACATTCGTTTCGTGCGCGCAGGACAACACGGTGCGGATATGGCACACACAAACCAAGAATTGGCAAGGACAGTTGAACCTCAAAGGAGCAACATTGGCCGCATGGGATCCCTCGGGCAAAGTGTTCGCCGTGGCATGTCCGTCGGCTGGGACTGTACTACTCTACGACCACGCCAATTTTGATAAGTCGCCATTTGGGACAATTGATGTGATTGAGCAATGTCGAAACATTGACACGGCTAATCTGAACAAAGGCTGGACCAAGCTGGAGTTCTCCAATGATGGCAAGTCCTTACTCATCGGCACGAGAGGTAATGGGCACTTTGTGCTCGATGCATTCGATGGGACCCTCAAGGCATACCTGCACAAACCCAACGGAGGCACGCGACGACTCGTGCCTGGAGAAGTCGGGTCCTCGAATGGGTCCGGCGGTCAAGGATCGCCGTTGGACAGCAGCGGCGATTGTTGCTTCACGCCGGATGGACGCTTTGTGCTCAGCGGGAGTAAGAAGGATGTCTTGGTGTGGGATACCCGCGCGGCACCCAACGAGCACAAGGTTCTTGCGCCGACGTATACGCTCCCAGATAAGAGAGAGGCAGCTGTACTGGCGTTCAACCCGCGATACAACTTTTTCGCGACCGCAGACCAGGAATTGCTGTTCTGGGTGCCTGATCCCAACAGCTGATGGCTAGCGCATGCGAGATGGAACAAATAGACCCGAAGCTATTACAAGACGGCTAAAACAAATTGGTAGAAGATATATAGATACCCATGGAATTGAATATCGGACCAGCCCGCGCTGGCAACGACATAAGATGCGCATGGACATGAACTGCGAAGGCGAAGAATTTACAAGCACCGAACAGTAGAACAACTCTTGATAACGATAAATCCGCCCTTGCGATTCAGAGATTCGGTGTGTGCAGGAGGATCTAGCCTTGAGTGATATCTGGGGTCGACCTTTCTAAAGGTGAAGGAACACCCCTCCAGGCACCTCCGAATTTCGAGCCCCACCACGAATTGTCCGCCCCAGATTCAACCACCAGGCAGACATCCAACATCACACTTTAGCTACTTGCGCATTCACCTGCAGTCGCTACATGATCCTCACCACTACACGACGCATGAGATCTACTGGATGCAGCAAGGCCATTGAGTGGAAGACGTCTTCGCAGCCATGCCCTACTTCAAAACCGCACAAGAGTGGCTTGACCAATCCAACCTCCTCTTGCAAGCCCGTCCGGCGACCGTGAGTCCCCCCTTTCCTCCCTCTGCGGAACTTCGAAATCGTACTGCTAACATGGGCCCAGACACGCATCACAACCCGATATTCCATCAAGCCAGCGCGCACCCGGAAGTCGAAAACGGTCGAGGAGAGCGCCACAGACGATGCCGCCGCGACGACGACAGAAACCAAACCACCGCGGGGCAGCCTCGTGATTAAGACCTACGACCCCGAGAGCGGCGTTGTGCTCAAATACCGCACCACAAAGGCGGCCGAGGTGTCGCGCTTGTTCCAGTCGAGTCTGGGACGTTTAGGCCGCGGCATGGCAGCCATGCCGGAGCCGCCTGTGGAGGAGGCGATGCCTGATGCGCCGCCGGCTGGAGCGGCCGCGGAGGGAGCGTCTACGCCGACTGGTACCGCAGGTCAACAACAGACTGGAGGCGGCGGCGGTGGCAAGAAGAAGAAGAAGGGCAAGAAATAGAGAGCGCTCCAGGATTCGCGACAATAAACTTTTTTTTAATTTTTTTTTTTAAAAAAAAAGGCTACTTGCATGCGACATATCACAATCTGAAGAACATGGAAACGTGCTCAGTTCACACATGATGTTCGCGTTATCATAGCATGTACTCTAAAACCGGAGTATTCAATCGTCATCCATCGCAAGCGTGCCGGTTACCCAATTCGTAAATCAACACCAGAACGCCATGGGGATCGCCGTCTCCCTGCTGTACCTGTAGACAAAAGCAACCCTCCTCCGCAACAGAGCGACCTTGGCTCGTCGCACCGCAATGTACAAACGACAACAAATGGGTATATACGAAATGACAATCTCGTGTCAGGAAAGTGCGCGATGCACTTAGAAGTCATCATCGAAACTGAAGTCGCCTCCCTCCTTGTTTTCGCTTGACCCGGCGGCAGCCTCTTCTTTCTTGGCTGTGCTGTTCATGACACCAGCCTTCTGGTACTCACCGACACGCTTCTCGAAGAAGTTGGTCTTGCCTCCCAGTGAGATGTTCTCCATGAAGTCGAAGGGGTTGGATGAGTTGTAGATCTTGTCATTGCCAAAGGCAGCCAGGAGGCGGTCAGCCACGAACTCAATGTACTGCTTCATCAAGTTGGCGTTCATGCCAAGGAGAGCGCAGGGGAGGGCCTCGGTGAGGAACTCCTGCTCGATAGTGACGGCGTCGGTGATAATAGACTTGATCATCTCCTTGCTGGCGCGATTCTTCAAGTGCGAGTGGAGCAGGCAAGCGAAATCAGTGTGCAGACCCTCATCACGCGAGATGAGCTCGTTGGAGAAGGTCAAGCCAGGCATGAGGCCACGCTTCTTGAGCCAGAAGATGGACGCGAAGGCACCACTGAAGAAGATACCCTCAACAGCGGCGAAGGCAACAAGCCGCTGGGCGAAGGTGGAATCCTTGTCCTGAATCCAGCGGACGGCCCAATCGGCCTTCTTGCGAATGCAAGGAACTGTTTTGGTCAGTAAATGTTCCATGGTTTGGGAAGCCAGGGTACATACTGGTCTCAATGGCGTTGAAGAGGTACTGGCGTTGAGCCTGCTCCTTCACGTATGTGTCGATCAAGAGTGAGTATGTCTCGGAATGGACGTTCTCCATCATGATTTGGAAACCGTAGAAGCAGCGAGCCTCAGGGATCTGGACCTCACCGCTGAAGCGCTCGACCAAGTTCTCGTTGACAATGCCGTCCGAGGCGGCAAAGAAGGCGAGAATGTGGGAGATGAAGTACTTCTCATCGTCGTTGATGCGGTTGTTCCAGTCGTGGAGATCCTTGGACAAATCAATCTCCTCGGCGGTCCAGAAAGAGGCCTCAGCCTTCTTGTACATTTGCCAGATCTGTAGGGTAAATGTTAATTCACACCCTTTTAAGAGACGCGAAACCACTTTACGCGTCAAGACGCGTCACATACCTCGTGATACTTGATGGGGAAGAGGACGAATCGCCCGGGGTTCTCCTGGAGAATGGGCTCGTCACACTCTTCGGCCTTGATGCCGGGAGCGACAGCAGGCTTGGACTCGGTCTTCTCGACCTTCTTTGTATCCTCAACCTTTTTCGCTTCCTCGACCAAGGCCTTGTAGCTGTCCATCCGCTCGGACAATGTGTTCTCGGTGGCGGGGTTGTTTTCTTTGTCGGCATTCTTGAAATCGAGCTTCTTGACGGGCGACTCCATCTTGAAAGAATCAATTGCGGAAGCGGCCTGGAGATGGAATGTTAGCGGGCGGCGAGAGTTGGCGTGGCAACGACGTCACTAACCTGCTTCGAAGGAGTGAGCTCGGTGGCCATTGTGATGTGAGTTGAAGAACGTATGAAAATGAGAGTGTCTATCAGAGGAAGAAGCGTGCAGAGTAGTCTTTTTGAAAGATAATTGCAGAGGCAGTGGTGGTTGTGAGCGCGATGGTCGAGATGCCAGGCAGAGGAAGCACGCTTCGGCTTTTGTAGAACAGAAGATGCGCTGTCACGTGTGGGCGACGCGTCTGGGTCGTGTTCAAGCAGGCTGGGGTCAGTGACCAATAGTGGTGCCGGACAGCTCTTGTAATTGGAGACTGCATGCCAGGTACGGCCGATTCTGACGCCGTGCAGGCTCGGATCCCTGTCCCTTTTTCACTCCAACCCCCTCTCGAGGCTACACCACTGCCAAAGACGCGACTTTTCACGCGTCTCAACAAGCAACATGCTCCATCGAAATGAAAGCGATGCGTGGGCCGAGACGTCATGCATCGTCTTATCAATCAGTGACCAGCCGCGAACATTGAAAACAGAACCCACATGGCGCGTCTTTGGCGGCTCACCTAGGTACCTGCAGTGTGTGCCCAGAGCTGCGATTCTCATCAGCATGGCCTGTCATCATTATTTAATCATTGTGAAGAACCCAACCATCCCAAGGACCCGCCCTGAGCAGTGCGTGGTTTCAGGCTTCCAGGCTTTCAGGCTGTGTTCAACCTTTCCAAACCCTGGCGTGGTCGTGACCTAGGGTTCGAATTGATCACTCTGACTCAAGTGCTATTATTGTGGTCCACCTTCCGGCCATTGTATTACAAACTCAACGCGAAAATCGAGCCGAGATGCACTAAGACAGGTGAGTAGAAATGACCCGGCCACACCGGTATATCAGGGATCGCAAACATTAGGTCGTTCTGTTTCTATCATGTATGGACGTAGCAACTATAACTTGAGAGCGTAGGGTATTTGTCCCTCAACATCAATGCCAACAAAATCAAATCTCAGTAGCTTTCAATCTTACGACTCAGAACTCCACGCACGCCTCTTAAGTTAACTAAAAACATATCTACGGAAATGAATGATCCTCAACATCGAAGGCCTCCACACTTATGTGGACCAGCTAACCCGCAAACAAGCCTTCCTCGACGCCCGAAGGACATGCGCTCGAGGATCGCACTGGTGCATTGGGTGTCATCTAATGTCTGAAACCCTTAGTGACGATTGCTACGGCGATCGTCTCTGCGAGCAGTCGAGCTGGATGGTTGGGCCTGTTCGATATCAGGTGCTGGGTCTCTGCCACGTCCGAACCACCCAGATCGGCTCTGCTGAGTCTGAGCTGGGGGAGGCTGCGTCGGTGCTTGCTCTCTCGTCCGCGAAACAGACCGGGTTGAGTTCTGGCGTGAAGGAGGATGCGAACGCCTGCCTGGTGTGGCGCTGTCCTCGACATCGTATGCCTCGGGATCGCTGGGGTCGACGGCAGGCATTGGCAGACCGCTCTGTCGGAGCTGTTTCTTGCCCTTCTGGCGAAGGTGATCCTCAAGAACAACTGCGTTGCGAGTATTGGCCCTGAACATTGCGTCGGCAAGGTCACCCGCGAAGGGCACAAGTCCGATGACAAAGTCAATGATGATGTTGAACATCATCTTAGCTTTGAGCCCGCTGGGTAAGCCGCCTTCAATCTGCATGCATGTCTTCATGACCATGATGGCCATAAAGGCGTCCAGCGCATCACCAATGCTAAAGCTTGTTAGCACGAGTTCACGCAGCGCCGTGACCAATACTTACAGAGGCACGATCCCGATGACGCTCCCCCAGCCAAATTTCACTCCGAGAAAGGTGAAAAGACAGCAATCGAGTCGATATGCGCGTCGCTTGACCTTGGTCAGGACCTGTCCATCGTGTTCTGAGATGCCAGGTGGCAGGGCCTTCTTGCGTCTCTTGACCTTCCCAGGCTTTCCAAGCTTTCCATCGATTCGGGTCGCCGGCACGGTCTCAAAATAGGGGTCCTAGAGCTTGTTAGTCATGCCTCGAGACACAAGGCGAGTACATACCTCCTTCCCAAACTTGTTCTGTAATGTCTCCCCTAGGATCTTCTTGCCGATAAATTTGCCGACAAAAGCAGCCATGGTGGCAAAAATATTCTTCAATCAACGGCTTGAGTGAGCGAGAAGTGATTGGAGAGGTAATTGTCTGCGCTGGCACAAGGGTTTTCGGGTTGTGGGCGGTTGGGCTCGCGGGTTCTGTTTGTTTCAGGAGGCGCTTTGCCTGCGCGAGCTTCTGAGGAAATCCAAAGGGATGTGGCGAGTAGGGCGGGCAAGAGGAATCTAAATACGCGCTGACGATAAGGGAGCTATGCGCTTCCTTTCTTTCACCGCCAGGTCAAAGCTAAGGCACTACGAGGGAAGGGGTGCTGGGTTTTCTTGTTTTATCATTCCCAGGTTTCAAGCGTCACCACACTGCATTGTTGCGGCTGCAGCTCCAATGATGTAATGACCGGCATTCAGGGCCTGGGCTTGCATGCCAGCTGGCTCAAGTCGTTAGCGTGATGAGCAGGTGTGGCTAAGTTGGCGGATCATGACTGGTCAGCCACATTTTGTTGAGGAACCAAGTTCGCACAGCCACACATCCAACGCTTCCAGAATCCAGACTGTGGCTAAGGTACGAGCTTGAGCGTGCGTGTTCACGGGTGTCAACAGGCACGACTGAGGCGTGGCGCGAGTTGACTCCCTGATCTTGATATTTCATTTTCGAACATTTTCAATGTCTATCACGAAGCAAGAGAATGAGGGGCTCTCTTTCTCCGCCAAAGTCAGACAAGAAAATCTGCGTTGTCGGAGCTGGAGTGAGCGGACTCCGAGCTGCTGGTCTGCTTGCAGCTGCTGGCTTCCAAGTCACAGTGCTCGAAGCACGGGATCGCGTCGACGGACGCGTGTGTCAGAGTTCTCAGCTTGGGGGCCACCCCGTGGATGTCGGGGCAAGTTGGATTCATGGGTTAGAGGGCAATCCGATCGTGGCCCTCGCAGAAAGGACACAGACCACGACAATCCCCTGCGATGCTGTCAATTCCATCTGCGACTCACAGGGCATATGGCTCGACCGAGTGTTGGCGAGGGGATACTATGAAGAAGTCTGGGAAATCTTGGACCTGGCCATGGACAAGAGCGGGCAGGAGTTTGCGTCACTTTCGGACACGGCGAAGATGATGGACTTCTTCCGCGCCGAGGCACAGAGTCGGCGCTCGACACAAGGCAAGCAGCCCGATGACTATTACGAGACTGATGTTGCAGATCGTTGAGATGTGGGGGGATTTCATGGGCGACGAGTAGCCTCAAGAATACGTGGTTGGTAGACGACTTGGAAGGGGTATGCTACAGGTCACACTACAATACACTAATCCGCAGGTGATGCTGACATGCACCAAGACAATCTGCTCGTTGCTTCGACGTATGCGGACATCCTAGAGCGTATATTCTCCGCAGTCAGGGACAACGCCATCGTGAAACTGAACTGTGAGGTTACGAAGATTGAAAACAAGTCAGTTGGCACGGTTGGTATCGAAGCAGCGGGCAGGACTAAAGGAACGTTCGACGATTTCATGGCCACAGCACCTTTGGGCTGGGTCAAACGCAGCGACAATGTTTTCGTGCCGCCACTAGGGGACAGGATCAAAACGGCCATCCGCAGTCTCGGGTATGGAAGCTTGGAAAAGCTGTTTATCAGATTCCCCGAAGCATTTTGGGACGACTCGATACGGCATAACAAGCATCCGTCGGTCCCTGTCGAGTCCCTCTTTCTCAGCCCAGCGTACGCAAACGACACGAATCCCGCAAGATGGCGCACCGAGATCATATCCTTCTCAGGCTTACCGCAGCCGCTGTCGCAACCCTTCATTATGTTTTTCGTCTACGGACAATGGGGACGCCACATCACGGGCCTCGTCAGGGGCATAAGCCATGACTCCGAAGAATACTATCGAGTCGTCGCCGAGCACTTCCGGTCCTACTACTCCAAATTCCGACCCGAACTCGGCGAGGTGTACGCCAGCGGCATACACATCTACAGACTGGCAGGATGACACGCTTGCGGGATATGGGTCATTTACTAATTATCCTGTCAACGCTGGAGACTGCGCGGAGCACTATGAAGTGCTTAGAAAAGGCATGGGAGAAGACCGTGGCATTTGGTTCGCTGGTGTACACACATCGCCGCCTCGGGGGCTTGGGACAGTAACTGGGGCTTATTGGAGCGGCGAGGAAGCGGCAAAGAGCGTAGCGAAACGGCATGGTGTTATGATAGAGGTATGAACGATGCCTATGAGCATGGATAGTAGGTAAGAATCTAACAATGATAATCAGGGCCTGCTAGCTTATAATTACGTACAAAAAAACCTCTGCAAGCGCGCCATAAGCGCTGTGTAGTCCTAGCTGCCCGGGACATTTCACTATCGTCTCTGTTTCCTTAAGGTAACCTTCTCACGCTACTCTTTGCGCTCTGCCGCATCGCTACATGTAGTGAAAGCTGCCATTGCAGCACAAACTCCTTCAGGTGCAGCCGTCCCTGTGGCAGTAGGGTTTCATCTAGGCCAGTCTTATGCGCAGCTCGCTTCGACTTACAAGTCCCACAAATACTACGACTTAGGCACGGCTGCGCCACATGCACACGTCGCCTTACTTTCAGCCACAAAGGCCGGCCGCTCGGGCGCTGACGTTGGCTTGCAGAGATCTGTTTGTCCATTTATCGCGACACTGGGCTCGTCTTGACCAGCTACCAACACAACCACACCCTTCCGACCCAAAGCGCGCCACGCGAGCAGCTACTCTCCCATCCTCTGTCTCACCGCCGACGACATCTTTCATTTCTTCACCCATACTAGCCGGAGCCGCTCTCGCACCAGGCCTCGGCCTTGCGCTATCGCGAAACATTCCCCACCATCCCGAAGCTCTCTATCACAGCCATGTTCAATATCCCTTCACGGATACGCGTCGCATACATTTCATCAAAGTCCTAAATCGACGCCGTGCAGTCAACACCTCCTTTATCAAGGCACACTCCAAGCTACCACATGATGGCCGGCAAAGCAATGCAGCTGGAAGACTGTGCGTACCATATCCTCAGGTTAGCAGTTGCAGGGGATAACTAACGAACGACAGGGCTCGACGATCTGTGCGTCCGCTTCATCATCAATCTTCCCCAAGAAGATCTGTCCAGTGTCGCTCGAATATGCTTCCAGGTAGAAGAAGCACAATGGTTCTACGAAGACTTTGTCCGTCCATTGGACCCCAATCTACCCAGCATGTCATTGCGGACATTCTGCCTCCGGATATTTCAACACTGCCCAATTCTAGCATCTTTTCCTGCCGAGAGCCACGTACGCGCTTTCGAGGAATTTCTGCAATACAAGACTAGGGTGCCGGTTCGAGGCGCGATTATGCTGAATGAGCAGATGGACTCGACCGTCCTCGTCAAAGGTTGGAAAAAAGGGGCAAACTGGAGCTTCCCGCGCGGCAAAATCAACAAGGATGAAGCCGATCTGGACTGCGCAGTCCGAGAAGTTTGGGAAGAGACAGGACTTGACCTGCGCGCTGCTGGCCTTGTTCCCAAGGAACCGCCCAAGGCTCTCGAAGTCACGATGCGTGAGCAGCAAATCCGCCTATATGTTTTCAGAAACGTCCCAATGGACACACATTTCCAGACACAGACCAGGAAGGAGATCAGCAAGATCCAGTGGTACAAGCTCTCAGAGCTACCGGCCTTCCGCAAAAAGAACCAAGGTCAGGATGCGGCCAACAGCACCAATAAGTTTTACATGGTCGCTCCATTCTTGTTCCAGCTCAAGAAGTGGGTAGCGACCCAGAAGAAGATGGACGCTAGGCAAGCGGGCATGCTCTATGACTCGCAGCTCAACGCGAACTTCTCTGTGGATGAAGCGCCTACGGAAGAAGATGGATATCCTCAAGAACCGCCGCCGCCACCGCCTCATTACCAGCATGATGGTGTTCCCAGCGCCATGGCTGGTGCCACAGGCGACCTGCAGAGACTGCTCAACGTACAGCCAGCCACGCAGAATCCCCAGATGCAGCCGAACATGGAGGATAAAGCCAGTGCTTTGCTGTCCATTCTTCAGGTCAAGGACACAGCTTCGGAGGGGCAGTATAGGCAGGGGCAGGACCAGCTGTCGCACACACAATCGGAAATGGCTGCGGGCGGCGCGCTACACCAGCACAATCCTCATCATCACTCGAGTCAACACCAATACCATGCGCATAACCATTCGGAACAGCCTCCTCCGGCTCTGCATCTTCATCAGCATCACCATGGGCCAACTTTCACTGTTGCTCAAGAACCAAACCAACATGGATCCCAGCAGCCTTACCAACAAAGCCAGGGCCTCTCGTCACAAGAGCAGTCGCAGCAGCTTCTGCAGCAATTCTTCCAGCAGGGCAAAGCGCCCGCTCACGATTTTGGTGGCACTCCTCGTCAGACTCAACCACAGCCTGCCGCCGCTCCAGCTGCGCAGCTGGTCCACCCTCAGCCTCTGCCTCCGCAGATCCAACGTGCCATGTTCAACAAGAGCACGTTCCAGGAGAATTCTTCCCACGCAACCCAGCCCCAAGCCCAAGCGTCAGTGGCCAAGGCTGGAACTGGCCAAGCCGCTTCAAACCCTGGCCCAGCTCCTGCCCACTTGAATGGTCAGTCCATGGCCTTGCTCAACGCGTTCAAGCGAGATGCTGGCATCTCACCCCAGGCGCAACATGAAGCCGTGCCCGCGCCTGCGCCGCAGCCGATGCCGCCGCAAGCAACACAGCAAGCAACACAGCAATCGCTCTTTTTCAGCAAATCCACGTCTCGCACGCAGCAGCCTACAGCAACATCTCAAGTGCCTCAACCATCGGAACTCGCCGGCTCGAAACCCTCAGCACAGCCTGATCAATACCGTTCGTCCCTACTTGGGATGTTCAAGACTGCGGAAGCGTCACCATCACCGAAACCCATCACGTCTTCCGCACAGCCGGGTGTTCATGCCGCTCAGAAGCAAAGCCTCCTCGATGCACTCCGTGGCGGGCCTCAAGAAACACAGCCCCTGACCAAACCAACACCGCCTCAAGCGTCCGATCCAAGCACTGTTGCATTGTCCAGCTTTCTCACCATGAAGCCTCGCGAGGAGCAGAAGCCTAGGCATGCCCAGATGCCTCCTCCACAGGCTCAACCTCAGCAGGCACAGCCCATCCGTATCCTCCAGCGAGGCCAAGCCGCCGATTCAATCAACTACGCACCTCCCATGCAAGACAAGTCCACTTCGCGCTCGCCCTACGCTGTCCAATCTTCCGCGGGCTCTCACCATTACGCTACTCCCCCAGTGGCGAGTGCCCAACCTTCGCCAGCATCATCACAGCGCCGGCCCGAGCCATCGCACGACCAACGCCGCCAACTTCTTTCGCTGTTTGGGGGGATGCAGCAACAACCTCCTGCGCCGAGTTCAGGTCCGGGTGTGGCCGAGATGGGATCCGGCCAAGCTTCTCCAGCCAGAGGCGGCACAAGCACGCCAATGTCTCCAGCTGAACAGACATTCCTACTTGACTATCTCCAATCCGTCACCAACACTGCCTCACGCTAGGATAAGACACGCTTTGATGGTTCACGGGCCAAGCTTGTCAACTACTTTATTTGATAGGAGACCTGATTCATATTTGTAGCCGCAACTAGTATTATTGGCGGGATGCGCTCTCCCTAAGTACACATGGGCTGCGGATAGCAACACCACCTATGATGGTTTATGGATCTGGTAGTTGGTTTGGCGAAGCGAAGCAAGCGATCACAATAGCCATACAACACCTCTTACCGCTGTGTCTCTAACATTATGAGAGTGTGAGCAAGTTTGCATTTTGTTCTGTGAATAGTCTAGAAATGCCAGCCAGCCCTGAAACAATGTGTTGTTTTTGAGCTACTTCTCTCGCACGATAGCTCGTCAAAACCCGGCTATGTCGAGCAACGCGAACCTGTTTCCGTTCGCGAAGTCCTTGGCACCGTCTAGACGTGGTGGTATGGAACACTGGGAGGGGGTTGTGCGCTCCAGTGGCTGTGCGCATTCGTCTGGAGCGAAGTCTATACGACATCCCTTGTACTTTCTGCCAGATTTTGATCAGCGACTTGGCCCAGGACATCCGGGTCAGACTCACAATCGGCTCATCATACAGGTCTTCTTGGCAAAAGACGCCGCGAAGACAGAGTTTGTACTGATGTAACAGCCACCCTTGTTGAACTCGACCTTGATCACGACGAGGTTGTGGATATGATCGAGATCATCGCGGATTGCCTTCTCGCTCTTTTCATGTCTATACCCACGGATGACAAGATTGCGCGCCCCACCGTTCTTGATGCGCCATGCTACCATGCCGGAGAGATGATACTGCCGGAGGTTCCATGAGACCTTGACCTGGTTCCTTGTGAGCTTCGATCATCTCCAAATGGTTTGAATATCTTACTCTCTTCTGCTCGATGTTAAGGTCATTCTTACAAACAAACCTGTAAAAGTCTGCTGCGTCACTCCCGTGACAAAAGGAGACAGTAGCCCTACGATCTCTTTGTCGTGCAAAAACATCCACAAGCTTGCCACCCCGTACTGCTGCGGTGATTTCTGCATGCCGAGTGCCTTCGGCAAGATTGGACAGCTGAAGAGTGTGCTGATCCACACGATCTGGATGCTCTGGTGTGTCTTCTGGGCTCGACTTTTCCTTTACTAGGCGTTCCTGTGACCAGGACGGCACGTCTGGCAGGAAGCCCTCATCCTCTGAAAGGGTGTCTGTGTTGTCCCACACAGGATCTTCGCTTCCTCTGTGGAGTCCACGAAAGCCACTCTCATCAGAAGACTCGGAACTGGCTGTTCTCTTCTCGTGGAAGCCATCTACGTACTCGGTCTCCGATGTGGTGGTCGGCGTGTCTACGGTGGGAACGGACGGCAAGCTGTTGCTGAGAAGCTATTGAAAAGACGTCAACACAACGGTCATGAATACAAGGCACAGATCTAAATTGGTGCAGTGTGATGGGCATACCACGATAGCTTCGTGTGAAACACCGCCTTGGATCAGGTTTTGTTTGAGACTTCCTAGAACAAATTAGTCAAGTCATGCGCAATCCTCTCGAGAAAGCCCCAACACACCATACTGTCGTGATATGTGAACGAGCGTCTCGTATTCTTCTCGGTGTAGTACGATGGTATGTGCGCCTAGCGCAAGCGCTTCAGGGACAGCAACGCGCACGTCTGCATCGTAGGCGATCAGTAGTAACTTTTCAAACGAAGATACAACAAAGGCTTCGAAGGGAGAAAGCACTGAGAAATGCCTGGTCAGTATTGAGTGCTTAAATCAAGCAAGTGCTCACCTTACTGTCATGCTGGATGAATCTTGGCAACAAGAAGACTGGAAGCCTGTGTAGCTCAAACAGGATCCAACTCCAAGTTCTTGGTGCAAGCAGTACCGATGCCAACCCTGAGGCAAGAACAAACGGCAAGGTATGCATTCGGTGGCGTCAAGTGCTTGTTTGCCTCGCCTGTTGGCGCCTTCCCCCGCCATCTAAGTTCAATATGCCTGGATCAGAGCAGGCAGCAAGAAGCCGTGGTATCTGGTGCACAAACTTCTGGTCTTCTTCGTCCGTAACGGTGCTATGCTGGTGGGTGCCGTCGAATGTAACCATCAAGAGAGGGAGCATTTTGGAATGGGCGGTGGCTAACATCGGTATCCAGGAGGAACTAGAAGACGTCGCGTGGCATCTATGCCTCGCAGTCTCATGTCGTTCTCCAATGGGCTGGCTTGTTTGTCATCAAAGAAGTACTTGGATGTCAAAGCACCAGCCCATTCCTTAAGGCGTGGGTTGGGGAATGAAGGTCGACTAGAGGTGTTCGCTCACTGGATGAGAGCAAGCAAACAACACACTGCCCCTTTGAGCACCACAGTATCGTTCACGGCCATTGGTGGCTCTACAAGCATTTATGCGATAGTCGCAATTGTGTCTGTTTTGTATCTAGAGGAACCAAAAGCCAGGCGCAAGATCTTCGAAATAAGTGTGGTAACAACTGGCCCTTGCTTGTGGTCTGTCTAGAACTTGACTCAGGGCGAGCCATTTGACATGACAAGACACAGGATATCAAACTTTTGAACCCAGAAGGTTCGGCGAAGCTCAGGACGAATGAGGCCTTTGGGCACAAATCATTCCCATGACGTCGAATTCTGATTATAAGAATCGTCGTTGCAATTGGGTTTGACGAATGGAGTACGGAGCAAGCGGGACACTGCTATTTTGGGAGCATCCAGGCGGGCGCAGCACGGAGCAGCTTGAGAAACACGAGATCACGTGAAGGGATGCCCACCCACTTGCTGGGCCGCCTCTGGGCGTGTTGATCGCTTGACAGGGGTTGTTCATTCAGGTTTTGGGGCCAGGAGCTGGACTCAGAGCGTCTATGTCGTTCCTCACGCCAGCTTTAATGGTTCTGGCAATATACAAAGAGTCTAATGAGCTACGGTAGTAGAGAACAACACTAAGATCAGTCTGCCATGGTGCACAAAGTCAGCAATTATCGTATGGGCATGTCACGACAGCTTCGGGTCAACATCTGGACCACTGTAAACGTCGTCGGGCTAACCAGATTGGGCCACGCGGACTCACAAATGCCCCTGCCGGCTCAGGCCGACCCCGAATTCTCAGGCGTGGCCCGCCAAGCAAGCAACCAGGTGCAGCGCCCAGTCGAATGGTCATTCGGGGCCCCCTTCTCGCCTTTTTGCTTGAAACCACTACATTCTTCCTCCTCGTCCTCTTTCTCGTTCAGCGTGTTGTTTTCATCCATCCAATTATTCCTCGTCTCTCGCTACTGAGCTGTCTGGCTTCTTTCGAGCCACCAGTACTACCTCTCGCTATTCAACGACGCTCGCTTTCTCGCCCCGATTCCTGTTATTTTAGGTTCGAACCTTGGGACAACATCACAACGAACGCCTACCGCGCACCTGAACCTTGGTTGAACGATTACGCCCAAACGAGATTGTTCATCTTCAGAGCCAAAATGCGCGTAACACCGACTGTGCTGCAGGTTGCCGCCTGCCTTTCCTCACTCGCACCACTAGCCTCGGCGTGGCCAGGGTGGCTTCCAGACAGGGACAGCTTGGTTGCTCGCCAGAACGACGACGAAGACTCCACGTCGGGTACGTAGATTTAATACAGAGAAACTGACACTGGCATGGAAGCTGACTCGATTGTAGCCGCCGAGACTGGTGCACGATCAACAGCCACAGAAGCTGCGGAGACAGGCAGCGATAACGATGACAGCGAACCCACAGAGACAGATGGCGGCGGTGACCTCAACACGGCGAAGCCTACGAGCAAAGGCGGAAAGGATGCCAAGGAAACGGGCACGCCCACAAGCGAGAGCACGACGAAGAGCATCCCCGCTGATGCGGCCGTGGGTGGCGTCAACATGATGACGCCTGATACAACGGCTGTGGCCACCATCCTGTACAAGATTGGCGACTATGTCACGCTAGGATGGAACTACACGGGCATCCAAGAGGAGCCCACCGCCGTCGACGTCCTCCTCTCCTGCTCGGCGGCGAGGGAGACGTGGACTTTGACATCGAACATGACCTGGGAGTCTGATGTGGCCTACATCTGGGACACCAACGACCAAGCCGACGATGTCGAGAACCCGCTGGGCACCAACATGTACACGCTCATCGTCAAGGATGTGGATGCTGAGATTACCGAGTTCCCCTCCGCTGGGAAGCTCGGCGCCGATGCGTCATTCAAGTTCGGCATGTACCACAAGCAGGCCTACGTGCCGTGGGACGAGTGGGAGTGCAATGGCTGCGACAAGAAGGCGGCCGCTTCTGGGATGGGGCAGTCGCTGAAGCTGGCTCTCACCATGTGCACCTTGACCGCGGTCACACTAACGGGCTTCGCCAGTGGATGGGGTCTGTGATGCTCCGTACTTCTTTTGCTAGAGCGATTAATGTTGGGGAAAAGGTGTTGGACAGGACTTGGCATGATTATTCCGACGGCGTTTGTTGCATTTTTGAGTACCTAGCTGGGACCGGTCAGGGGTGCATAACGTGAACTTTTGGATATAATGGTCTGGTGGTTCCGAGATACAATCATATAACAAGTAGTCGTTTCACGACATGTAGCATGATTTTCGACACATCGAGTTCCCATGTGCCTACTACACCATACGCAAGGAGAAGCCAGCTCCGCGTTCCTCCTTGTCGCGTCCTTGCAATATTCCTGTGAAGTCGGCATCGCCAAACGAGGCAGCCTCTCCACGTCCAGGGGCATGGGGCTCGTGACGCCTCCGCCTCTCCTGGCCAGCCTTGCTCGGGAAGGTTGGAAACATGGTCTCCGGTTTCGGCTTGGGGTCCTGACGAAAGTACTCGTGCTGGAGCATCGCCTTGGCCGTGGGTCGACGCTCCGGGTCCAGCGACAGCAGCTCGTTCAGGAGGCCAGCGCCCGCGGACGTCATGTTGGGGAAGCGCGCCCGTATGACGGAGCCCGTGGTGAGGGTGTTCTTGGGCAGGCGCAGTGAGCGGGCGTTGGGCAACCTTCGGAAGCCAGGCCACGACTCGTCGGTCGGCACGCCGCACAGCTCAAAGATCTTTGACATTTGATCGACCTCGTTCTTGCCCTGGAGCAGGGGCTCCCTCGTGAGCAGCTCGCCAAAGATGCAGCCGACACTCCACATGTCCACGGCGGCGCCGTAGGTCTTGGTGCCCAGGAGCAACTCGGGGCTGCGGTACCACAGGGTGACGACGAGGCTCGTCAGCTTGGCCGGGGGCGGGTCGCCGATGTAGCGGGCCATGCCAAAGTCGGCAATCTTGAGCTGGCCGCGGTTGTTGAGGAGGAGGTTGGACGTCTTGAGGTCGCGGTGGAGGATCCAGTGGGCGTGCAGGTAGGCGGTGCCGGCCGTGAGCTGGAGGAGGAGCTGCTTGATCTCGGAGGAGAGGAAGGGTTCGGGCATGTCTTCGAGGATGGACTTGAGGTCGTGCTCGACAAACTCGAGGACGAGGAAGATGGAGTTGTCGAGGCGGTGGGTGTCGTCGCCGACGACGACCTCCTCCATGGACACAATGTTGCGATGTCGACAGTCTTTGAGGATCTGAATCTCGCGTAGGCCCGTGACGGGCAGCCCACTCCGATCGTTGGGCTCGAGCTTCAGCCTCTTCAGCGCGACTACTTTCCCCGTCGTCAGGTCTGTGGCGCGCGCCACCCAGCCGTAGGTGCCTTCCTCAATGTCGTTCAGCTTGTCGTAGTTCTCCACGCTGCGCGACTTGTTCCAGCCTCCGGCGTCGAAGCGCAGCAGTTTGGGCGGCGCATCGTCGTCGAGTTCGGGGGATAGCCGTCTTCGTTTGCTGGGCCGCTGTTCTGATTGCTCTTCGTCTTGGGGTTGTCTCTGGGCGGCGGCGGCGGCAGCAGCAACAGCTTCCTTCTGCTGCTGCTCGAGCTTACGCGCCTTTTCGGCTTTGCGACGCCGTTTCTCTTCCTTTTCTTTGGCTAGGCGGGCGTCGTCTTCGGCGGATGTGGCCCAGCGGGAGGGCGGCATTGCGACAGATCGAGGAGGTCAGGAATGATGTGTCTGAGTTGAAAAGCTAGTCATTCTGCGGTGGAATGTGTCGAATGGGCGAATTGAGCTCCTAGCAAGTGGTGTGGCTGTTGATGTCACAGCTCCCATGGTGCCTTGTCACTTGTTTCCGTCAAGGCGTGTGAAGGTGTGGGGCGGCGCATAATCGTCACTGTGAAGTCCATGTCACGTCTCCAATCCTCATAGCTTCCTCATCTCACCGCAAAGCCTGGACACCTATACATATTGAGCCGACTGAGCAAGAATCACGGGCAGTTCTGCATACCAGCAGCAACAGTGTCCATTTCCCGCATCCTCCCAAGCGACTCCGACTGGAGACCATGTTGCCTGGACCACCAAAATGATGCGCTCAGCCTCTGCCATCACGAGGAGCATCCGCCCTCTCACAGCTCGCGGGCCCTTCCTAGCAGCGAGCAAGCCGATCCGGAGCTTCACCTGCACGCGCATACGACGGCAGGAGGAGCGACAATGGTCCACGCCCCTCGCCAAGCAGCTCTTTGAGGCCATCTCCCTCACGGGCCCCGTCCCCCTATCATCCTACATGCGCATGTGCCTCACGGGCGACCTGGGCGGATACTACACGGGCGCCATTGCCGAGGGCCGGGACCAGTTTGGCGCCAAGGGTGACTTTGTCACGTCCCCCGAGATCTCGCAGATCTTTGGCGAGCTCATCGGCATATGGTTCATTGCGGAATGGATCAACCAGGGCCGCCCCAAGAGCGGCGTGCAGATCATCGAGGTCGGCCCCGGTCGGGGCACGCTCATGGACGACATGCTGCGGACGATTCAGCGGTTTCCCGCCATGGCGGCCAGCATCGAGTCCGTGTACATGGTCGAGGCGAGCAAGGAACTGAGGGAGGCGCAGAAGACGCTGCTGTGCGGTTCAGACGCCGCCTCGAGCAAGACAGACGCTGGGTTCGAGAGCAAGAGCAAATACGACGGCAAGAAGATTGAGTGGTCCGACTCCATCAAAGCGTTGCCAGTCAGTGAGTCTTTCTCGTCATGGTCTGCCTAGCTTGTCTCCCAGAACTAACGTAGCAAAAGACCCCAGCAAGACCCCCTTTATCCTGGCGCACGAGTTCTTTGATGCGCTCCCCATCCACATCTTTGAATCCACCATGTCCACCAAACCACCGCCTGGTCCATCAACCTCCTCTGCTGCCGCCTCCAGCGAGAAGAAGCACGAGCCCACCCCCGAGTGGCGCGAGATGCTCGTCTCGCCCACGCCGCCGGAGACCACCCACCAGGACCTCAAGACGCCCAAGCTAGAGCAGGGTGAGCCGGTGCCCGAGTTCCAGCTGATCATGTCCTCGGCGCCGACGCGCCACTCACGCTACGTCCCCGAGTCGTCGCCACGCTACCGCGCCCTCAAGGACACCCCCGGGTCCGTCATCGAAGTCTGCCCCGACGCCTCCATGTACGCCACCGACTTCGCGCACCGCATCGGCGGCGCGCCGACGGCGCCCAAGGCGACACCCAGCGGGGCCGCGCTCATCCTGGACTACGGCACGTCCGACACCATCCCCGTCAACTCCCTCCGGGGCATCCGGCACCACAAGCGCGTCAACCCCTTTTCGGCGCCGGGCCTGGTCGATCTGAGCGCGGACGTGGACTTTCTCGCCATCGCCGAGGCCGCCATGCAGGCGAGCGAGGGTGTCGAGGTCCACGGGCCGATACGCCAGGGCGATTTCCTGGAGTTGATGGGGATCCGACAGCGGGCCGAGATACTGGGCAAGGGGGTCGGCGAGGAGGCCCGGGCCAACATTGACAAGGCGTGGAAGAGGCTGGTGGATAGGGGCGCCGGTGGTATGGGCAAGGTGTACAAGGCGCTGGCCATCCTGCCGGAGAATGACGGGCAGAGGCGGCCTGTGGGCTTTGGAGGCGACGTCCGGGACAAGGTCACGGCGGATGCCTGATGTGTACGAGTTGTATCAAGGCAGTGTTGGATATTGTGCTATGTATGTATAACAGAGGGAAAATGTAGAAATTGATCCCAACATGAAAATGACTAAAATAGTACCCTGTGCAACGCTTCCTCAACCAACCTTGCCGTCGTCCATCGTACAACAGGGAAGCCCGAGATCCCCTGTGCGATCCTAACATAACGCCTCTATCTAGCGGCCGTGGCGCTCCGCATCCGTCTCTTCTCGCAGAGAGCTCATTTCGATTTGACGAGCTTGGCGTCCTCGTCACTCCCGTCGTCGGAGAACTTGTCCTCGTCCCCGACCGCGAACAGGGTCTCGCCGTCGACACTCTCGCGCGGGATAGCCCTGTGCCCTGCTGCACCTGAAGACTGGCCAGGGTTGGACAGGCCAGCGCTGGGCATGCCGTTCCCGTGCTGCTGCTGCTGCTGCTGTTGTTGCAGGCGGTGATGCTGCTCGTCGCCCTTGCCAACGGCCGCCTCCTCGTCGTCCGAGTCGTCTGGCATGCCAATGTCGCCAATCTCAAAGTTGCCATCGTCGTCCTGGGCAATCTCGTCGCTCATGGCGAAGCGGCGGTTGTTGGCGGTTGGGCGCCAGATGTAGGCGACAAAGGCAATGTCGGCAAAGTAGACGAGGTTGAGCCAGCCGTCGAGGACGAACCAGCGGGTCTTCCAGTGGAAGGGGACAAAGTCCGGGTCGCCGACGGAGGCGAACGTGAACGAGTTGAAGAAGAAGAAGGCGAAGATGACGAGGAGGGAGGCGAGGATGGCCCACCAGAGCTTGCGGTACATGGACTCCTTGACGTGCTGCTTGCGCTCGCGGAGGTCCTTGAGGGTGGCGTTCATGGAGTTGAGGGTCCAAATGTAAAAGGCGGTCAGGGTGGCGGCGAGGGGCAGCACAATGAGGAGCACAAAGGGCCCGGCGGCCTCGGGGGAGATGAGCAGGCTGGTGACCGAGTAGACGAGGCCAAAGACAAAGTGGGCGGCGGCCAGCCAGCGCGCCCAGATCATGGCGCGGCCCAGGGTGTGCTTGACGACGCCGTAGCCCATGCAGACGATGAGGAGGAGGAAGAAGGAGAAGGAGTTGCGGGCCGCGTTGAGGATGCCGACGATGACGAGGAAGACCTTGGACCCGACGTTGGAGCCGTTGCGGTTCTGGTAGTCGTAAAAGGCCCAGGTGAGCAGCATCTCGATGACGAGGAAGCCGAGGATGGCGGTGATGTAGTTTTGGACCGGCACTGGTGATTGTCAGTGGGCGCAAGAGGGGTCAGTATCATTCATATAATCTTACAGATGTCCTGCCGGTGCTGGTAGTAGAGGAATCCCCAGTAGCCCGCCAGCAGGGTGTAGACAATGGTCATGGCGCCGTAAAAGGGCAGCTTGGGGATTTGGGTGGCCGCCAGCTCGCCGTAGGCGTTGCGGAACTCGACGACGGCCGAGTACTTTTCCGTCTTCCAGGGGTCCGTCACGATGCAGTAGTAGCCCGTCTTCTTGACCATGTACTTGATGGGCTCCGAGTCCTTGAGGTGGACAGCCTTTGTGACAATGGTCGCGCGGCTGTCGTCTGTCGCGTTGGCGGCGAGGATGAACTCGCCCATGTGCTTCTTGTCGCAGAGGCCGTCCTTGACGTAGTCGTCGTTGCAGATGGCGAGGCGCTGGAGTCTGTCAGCCCAAGTGATCGCCGCCATGAGCCCGTTGTCGGGGCTGGTGGTGGTGTTGCTCACGTTGCCCCAGCCGTCGGGGTCCGGGATGCCGACCAGGTCGCGGTCGCGCCACTCGAAGATGACCATGCTGGTGATGGGGTCATCGCCCGAGTCCTTGGCGGCGTCGAGATACTTGACGAGGATGAAGGGGTCGACGGGGCCGCCCCAGGTCTTCTTGCCGTACATGCCTGGACAGTGGTCAGTCCTCCGCGGTGCGCGATGCCCTTACAATTTGCCTACCGGCGCAGTATTGGCGACTCTCGTCCTGTTCGTTCTTTCGAGTGTCAGCCGGAGCTAGGAGCTCATGTGTTCCGGAGGTCGCATACCATGAGGATCTCCATGGCCTGGGCTGTCCAGAGGAACAGGCCCGCGGCCAGCAGTCCCATAAGAGACTTCATCGTTTTCAAGACGGCCTACGCAGGCAGTGTCGAGGTTGGACGGGTACTTGGAGCTTTCGATCGAGGTCGTGGTGGTCTGTCTGGTGGTTGTCGCGAAGCACTGGAAGAGAGGACAGATACAGGGGCAGCGGGCAGTAAGCAAGCCAGGCCAGCTCGGGTTGCGCAGTCGTCGTCAATGTCGCTTCCGCGAGACAGATCCTCCCAATTCGCCCTTGAAGATTGCAGTCGTCGGTCGGATATCGAAAGACCGCTGGGTCAGCGTGTTGATTGTACAGGCAGCAAGCAAGATGATGGATGATGTTGGTCCGGATGCCGCGCGGAGCATGCACCAAGGTGTACCTACCTACCTAAGGTACGGGGACCTACCTAAAGTACCTACCTACCTCAAGGTAAGGTGAGGTGCAGGTAGGTGACGCTGCGTGCTGTAGGGTAGCCAGGCAGCTGCAGGTGCTAGCGAAATCCGAATATATTCGTCACTTGTCCGTCCATCCATCCATCCATCCATCCATCCAGATCCAGGGCCATCATCACCACAACGGCAACACCATGGGCAAGGGAACAGACAAGCTCTACGTGCGTACCTCAGCACTCTCTCCTAAACGCAGCTGACAGCCCTCCTCCAGATCACCCACTCCGAGTGGTCCTCGTCCGACGCCTTCTCCGCCAGCGTCGGCTCCAACGTCCGATCGTCCACCAACGCGCCCTTTCGCCGCCTGCCCTTCAACTTCTGCGCCGCCTCCCTCCAGCCCTTCAAGAACCCCGTCTGCACGCCCGCGGGCACCATCTTCGACGTCGAGGTCATCTCGTCCTGGCTCGACAAGCATCCCCACCAGAACCCCGTCGACGGCTCCGAGCTGCACCGCAAGGACCTGATCCGCCTCGAGTTCGCCCGCAATGCCGGCAGCGACAGCCTCGGCGCCGGCCTGAGCGACGGCAAGGGTGATCTCGTCGACCCCGTCACCTTCAAGGTCTTCACCGACAACACCCACATTGTCGCCATTCGTCACGGCAGCTATGCCAACGTCTTCGCCTGGGACACGGTCGAGCGCATGAACATCAAGCCCAAGATGTGGCAGGACCTCGTCGACGACCAGCCCTTTACCCGCGCCGACATTATCACCCTCCAGGACCCCCAGAACGCCGCCAGCCGCAACCTCGACGACTTCAAGTACCTCAAGGAGGGCCTCGACGCCCAGCGGACGAGCGAGCAAGAGGAGGAGCGCCAGGCCGGCGATATCAACGCCGCCGCGCTGGGGAGCATGGGCGACAAGGTCAGCAAGGCCAAGGCGGCCGTGGACAAGGCGCGGCGCGCGCGGGAGACTGGGGGCGACGTCAACCGGAGCTCCCACTCGGCCGCCCTGGCCAGGCAAGGCGGCGCCGCGGCTGTCGCGCGGAAGCCCATGATCCAGGACCGGAAACTGGCCGCCAACTCGGCCGCCTACACGACCGGCAAGGCCGCCGCCAGCTTCACCAGCACGGGCCTCACGCCCGAGACGAGCGGCGAGCGCGCCCTGCTGTCCGAGGAGGACTACATGCTCAAGCCCAAGCGCGTCCTGATCAAGGGCTACGCCCGCATGGCGACCAACCTCGGTGACATGACCATTGAGCTGCACCCCGAGTACGCGCCCAAGGCCGTCTGGAACTTTGTCCGGCTCGCCCAGCGGGGCTACTACCGCAACATCCCCTTTCACCGCAACATCCCCAAGTTCATGATTCAGGGCGGCGACCCCACGGGCACCGGCAAGGGAGGGCAGAGCGTCTGGGGCAAATACTTTAGCGACGAGTTTGAGGGTCCCATGACACACGCGGCGCGCGGCACGCTGAGCATGGCCAACAAGGGCAAGAACACCAACTCGAGCCAATTTTTCATCACGTACAAGGCGACGCCGCACCTGGACCGCAAGCACACTGTGTTCGGGACCGTGATCGAGGGCCTGGACACGCTGACCAAGCTCGAGGCCACGCCCGTCGACGGCGGGAATCGGCCGACGAGGGACATTACCATCAAGGACATTGTGGTCTACGTTGACCCCTTTGAGGAGTTTCAGAAGCAAAAGAGCAAGAAGGAGGCAGAGGAGGAGGAGATGGAGAGGCTGCGGAGGGAGGGCGGCACCGAGGACGACAAGACCACGTGGACTGGGAAGCGGATCAGGGGCGATGGCACGATGGACAGCGGACCGGCCGTCGGCGTGGGCAAGTACCTGGACGTGCGCCGGTCGAACGGGCAGGACACGGCGGCGGACGCGGACGAGGAGGAAAACAACACGTGGGACGAGGTCCAGCCTGCGAAGAAGAAGGTCCGCACGGGTGGATTTGGCAACTTTGACAACTGGTGATTAGATACCCCCCCCCCCCCCCCTTCCTGCGGCAGAGGGACAAATGGCACACGGCGTTTGGTCGGCAAGATTGTTTTATTTACGGGGTATGTTCGCTCACGTCTGCTGCTCTATCAAGAGCCGCTTTTATGCTATGGAACGCAAAAGGACACGGCCGTCACACGGTGAGCGGCAGACACTCGTCGGAGATCTCGGGCAGGCTGAGCATGGGGATGCCCTCCCAGGGCACGGTCTCAACCTTGTCGAGCAGCAGCTGCTTGACCATGCGCGCCTGGTCGAGGCCGGTCTCGGTCCAGATGGCGTGGAGCCTGTCGATAATGTACTGCCTCGTCTCGCGGGTGCACGAGCTGGACATGCCGAGGGTGTAGAGCGGCCAGACGATGGTGTTGCTCGCCGAAGCGAGGGTCATGAAGCGCTCGGGATCCCCGCGGCCGTCGTCGGACTGTGTCGGGTCGAGCAGGGTGGCGCGCGGCGAGGTGACGGGCGACTCAGGCGTCCGGTTCCGCGCGGGACGACGGGGCGAGGGGATGGGGCACGCCGAGGGGATGGGGTGCGGGGGCCGGGTGGCGGACACAAACTCGAGCGTGCCCTTGCTCTGGCCGTCGACGTCGGGCTTGGCGTCGCGGGCGCTGACGATGCCAAAGTGCTGGGGCGTGCTGGCGATGACGGCCTCGCCGAGCAGCTCGAGCATGCGCATGGCCTTGACGAGCATGACCTGGTGGCGCATGGGCGGGACAGAGGTGCGGGCCATGCTGGAGCAGAGCTGCTCGAGGATGGTCTCCTGGACGAGGATGCGCATGGTGCGCATGCCGTTCCAGGTGGTGGCCTGGGCGAAACCCGGGTAGATGTGGCACCAGCTGCCGAGGATGGCCGAGTTGGGCCGGTTGACCTGGGCGCAGCGGTAGCGCCAGGACCGGGGCATCTCGCGGACAATGTCCTGGAACTCGGCCTCGACGTCGCCGAGGCGGGCGACAATCTCGTCCGTGTTGGCGAGGGTGCCTTTCTTGATGTCGTAGCGGATCTGCAGGGCGCGGCAGATGGGCTCGACGATGCGCCAGGTCGGGTCGCGCGTGTTGGTGTACTGGCCCAGCTCGCGGCGCAGGTCGAGCATGGCAGCGGGCATGGGGAGCCCCCCCTGGATGCAGCTGATGAGGACCGAGTGGCAGAGCATGAGGAACATGCGGAGGCCGGCCTTGGTGGTGAAGGGCAGCGTGCCGCGGGCGCGGGTGAGGGCGGCGGCGCCGTTGACGTGGTCCTGCCAGGCGCGCATGGTCTGGGGGGTGCGGCCGGTGATGAACTCAAAGGTGCCGAGGATGAGGACGGAGAGCATGGTGCTGTCCTTGACGGCGGTCTCCGGGTCGCGCAGGGCGTTGTTGGTCAGCTGCAGGGCGGTGCCGTAGCTCTGGCGGGCCTTGATCATGGTGTTGCCGCAGCGGGTGACCTTGGACAGGCCAGCGAGGCCGACGGCGGCCATGCTGGCGGTGACGCAGTCGACCCGGTGCAGGTCCGAGTTGGGGGGCTTCCAGACGTCGTACACAAAGTCGTAGTTCTGGTAGCAGCCAAAGTCGACGGCGACGTAGCGCGAGAAGAAGAAGGCCGTCCCGCGCTCCTGGAGCGACTTGGTGAGGGGGTAGCCGGGGGCGAGGCGGGTGAGGGCCGAGGCGGGTATGTCGATGGTCGCCTCCGAGTCGTCCGACGAGTCGGCGCCGGCTGAGGAGGAGCTGGGAGGGCCGGAGGATGGGGTGAGCATGGCGAGGAAGGACGTGGCCTTGACGGGGCCCGGATTCGGGGGTGGCAATGGTGGTAGTGTGAGAGTCGTGGGCTCCTCGAGCTTGACGGGCGGCTCGGCGACGCCATCTGTTTCTGCGTAGTGTGTAGATGATGATGAGGCTGAAGACGAGGCTATGGACGCCCTTTTGACATTATGTGTCGTGACGGACGATATTGACGATGACGAGAAGGCTCGTATTGATGACGCCGACGGCTTGGGCGCTGCTGCTGCTGCCTCCATCTTCTTGATGCCGCCGCGACGGTTAGTCCTGGTGGCCTTTTTGATGACATGGTTGCTCTCATCGCGGAACATGAGGTCGACAATGTTGCGATAGCCGGGGCACGTCTGCTGGCGACGCTCGCACTGGCCGCATGTTGGCTCCTTTTGGTCGCACTGTCTGTCGGGTCAGTTGGGGTTTGGCCGGGCAGTACAGTAGTACACAGGACGAGGACATACGCGGACCTTGCGCTCGCGACAGGACGAGCAGCCCTTTGAGGGTTTGCCGCAGTACACCATGCTGGATGTCTCGGGCGGGCGTGGTCTCAGATAGACATGGAATGGATGGTGATACGCGTGACTCGAGTGAGTGGGTGGGTGATTGAGTGAGCGAGCGAGCGAGTGGAAGCTGGATTGAGTCGAAGCAAGCAAAGGACTCTCTGATGCTGCCTCGTGGTCGTCCTCACTGGTGACGAGTGCAGATTGATGAGCCCCGTCCCTCTCTCGCTCTCTCTGCGCCGACCGCTGCTGACTGGCCCAGTCGATTGACGAAGATTGGGGAGGACAAGGGGTGGGAGGGACAATGTTGAATGGATCTCCCCAACTCCAACTCCAAGCGTGGCGTGCAGATCCGCAGAACCTGTCAATCAGGGACGCACTACGTAGCCCAGCAGTAGTTCGTCACAGCACGTACGTACCGTGCTGTACGTTAAACTGCACTGGTATTACTTATTCCCGGGGCTGCCAGTGGTCGGCACGCCACGAGGTTGCTGATCTCTCGGTTTCACGTGGTAGCAAGGGACGAGAGCAGGCGATCCGGATCCTGTGTGTGTGTGTGTGTGTGTGTGTCTGCTGTTCTTCTCTCAACACCAGATCCCAATGATTGGCAAGGACGCGAAGATATGAGGAACAACCAGCAGCGATGGACAATCGTCGACGAGCGAGAGGACCCCGGCGCTGTTGGGCTGGCGTGGGGGTCTAGGGGAGAAGCGAAACAAAGAGAAGCGGCGTGCTCATCAATCTGTTCACCGGTTAATAACAAATTCTCCCAATCAATCGACTTGTTTGGATACCACCCCCCGTCCAGTCCAGTCCAGTCCAGTCCATTCCAGTCCCGAGCAGCCATGTGCAGCGATCGCTGCATCAATGATCATCCAGCCCCAGAGCCTTGGCCTTGGCCGCCATGTTTCCCCAGATGCTCCGTACTCCCGACACTGCAGACACGGATAACCTTGGTTGGTTTTGGTCCTCGGCCTACCGATAAAGGCGATAAGTATCAGCCAACTGCTGGCAGATCACATGCGAGCCTCGCCTTGCCTCGCTTGAGTCCTAGACGCGCAAATCATAATTCGCCTGCATGAAAAGGCGCACGCCAGCAGGCCTAGCGCGACGGCATCTGAGAAAGCCATCCGCATCAACGGGACGCTAATAATCAAGGATGCGGATCGACCGGTTGCTGACGGGTGAATGGATGCATCGCCCACGGCCCAGCCCAGCCAGGGTTACATCACATACACTCTTCTCTTCTCCTGCTTTTCAGCTTGCAATGCTGCCAGCCGTCGTGACACACTGGTAATAAAGACTGTTTCTCTATTGATGCATGCTTAGCAATATCGCGGGCCTCGCATATGTACACTTGGCCTCTGCACTAGGTAGGTAGTAAGCAACGAGCGTCGCACAGTCGCATCCAAAGCTACGTCCCCCCAACCTCCACCGTTAGCACCTTGGGATCCCCATCGTTCAGGAACCCGCTCTGGTCGCCGCCCTGGGACGAACCCACGTCGTCGTAGGGGAAGGCGTACCCTCGACTCTCGGTTGTCGTCTCGTGGCACACCCGCGCGTAGTGGTTCGTGACAGCGTCCTCGTAGTACGTCGCCGCGTCCTCGCTCTCGGGCTGCCTGCTGTTCTCGAGCAGCGTCGAGCGGTTCAGCGCCGCGGCCAGGCGCGCCCCAATGTTCAGTCGCTCGTCCGTGACGCCCTCGCCCGCCGCGAACGGACCCGTGCTGCAGGAGAAAATGTCCCTCGCCGTCGGCTTGTCGAACCCGAGCCCCGGGTTGTCGGAGAACGTCAGCTTGCCGTCGGCCCCGACGCGGCCCCTGACGTCGCCCCAGGTGAACTGCGTGTTGACCGTCAGGTCCTCGCTGCGGTACTTGTCCCAGATGGCGTCGACGTGGTCCTTGTAGTAGTCCCGGAAGAGGTCCGGGAAGAGGACACCGGCCGAGTTAGGGCTCAAGACGCGGAGGACGTGGCCCCCCTCGCGGATGATCAGCTTCTCCCAACCCTGGCCGTCCCGGCGACCCTGCGCCTCGAGGCCGTCCGCGACGCGCGCCAGGCCATCGGCGGGCATGCCGTCCACCCGCCTGATGGCGCCGGCCCGGTTCTCCAGCTGCAGGGCGATGGGCAGGCTGACAAAGTCCACGTAGGACACGTTGACGTAGATCTGGGACTCGTTATACGTGAACTCGCAGAAGCCCCAGTCCTTGCCGTAGTTGGCGTCGGACGTGTTCGTCGCGCTGGGCTCCACGAGCGCCGGGCCCGGGTTGAGGAAGAACTCGAGCGGCGTCTCACGGCTAAACCAGAGGCGCGCGCCAAAGATGCGCGGCACGGTGACGGTGCGCGACTGGCCGGGCCCGCCGACCACGATGCCCGTGTCCTGGGCGAGGGGTTGGAGTTCCTTGGATGGCGAGCCGGGGCGGTACGGCGACTGGCCATCGGCTCCGAGGATGAAGAGCCCGCTGTTGTCGCGGCCGGTGATGTGCGCGTAGAGGGTGCCCTGGGCCTTGGTGTTCTTGAGGACGACCTGGATGGCGTCGGAATTGGCCTGGGTCGTGCCAGTACCACCACCAGCAGCTGTTGAAGAAGATGACGCAGGCGCCCCTGCCATCGTAGCGGTCTGTTGTGCCTGGCTCTTCTTCCCGCTAAGTCTGCTCTGCGCCGATTCACGTCTCTTGCGGATGGATGATTTGAGGCGGTCCATCATGGTGAGCGACCTTGTTGGGAGTGGGGTCCTTGGTACCTAAGGTAAACACTACCAGGTACCAGAAGGAGGAAGGAAGGGGGAAGGAAGGAGAGACTATCGACAGCGCCTGCCTGCTCTTAATCAAGCATGGCCCACCGCCAGATCCAGACTTGGCCATCGACGAGCGCGACGACGACTCATATACTTCCAGCATGCCTATAGCAAGGTACTCACTCATAGTCATGGCCATGTCGAGGCTGACCTCTCGAGCCAGGCGACCTCAGCGTTGCACTCATCGTCACCATCTGACCCCGTCGCTGGCAGCTCTCCTGGCACTGAACAAACGTGCCTCGCGACGATCGCAGTGTATCTTACGTAGCATCCGGTGCCATTGTGGGCAGCAACAAGCTGTCCATGTGTCGATGTGATGGATCCTGTCCTGCACGATTGATTGTGCATCGTGAGCTAGGGTGGATGCTGTTGAGGAAACGGGGCCCCCCCAAATTATGAGTGACGCCATGATCCGCTGCCTTGCTTTTATGACTCGCACCTCTCACCAACAACCAAGTTGCGCTCTCAATCTCCCCTTGAGCTCCATGAGATACTGTTCACAAGTATCAACTGGAATTGCTTCCAATTGCTAGGTACGTCAACTCTACTTAGGTCACAAGGTTCAGACCAGAACACCTAGCCCGCCAATGTGGTGGAACCCCGCCTTTCCCCATCATCTACATCTCCCAGCTAAAGCACCTTCATCATTGATTCATTCATGAATCAAATTAGGTAGCCTCGAAACAGGCACATGGCCATAACGACGCCTAGCAAAAGCGCTACTCCATGTCCCCTTCTCGCGCTCGCTCCATCCTCCGCATCGTCTCCTGGCGTCATCTCGAGATCACCCTCCCTCGTCTGTCCCTCTTCGACGTCCGGTATCACACACGACTGGTCGCCATCCTGCACCACACGTCGCCGCCGTGCCCTCTCGCTCCGTCCTCGCGTCCGGACGCGACGAGTTGAAGCACGCCTGTACATAGCGCACCGCCAACAACGCATCCTCCCCCGATGGTCCGCCTGACCACTGGGGATCCCCGTTGCTCCAATGCTGCAGTATGAGATGGCCCCCCACCAGTGGCACCCCCTCGCCCTCCATCGCCGCGAGGGGTCTGCTGTCGGCGTAGAGTACCACCCGACCGGGTAGGTAGTCGATCCGGTACGCGTGAAAGGCCGCCGTTGGGTCATAGTCGAAATGGATCTGCTGATGCATGCCCCCGATCCCTGTCCCCGGAGCTGGATCACCAGGTGCACCGGGTAGATCTGCTTTTCCGGCTCAAACTCGCGCGTGAGAAACTCAATGTCGATCTCTTGGAGGTCATTGTAGTACCAGAGTTGTACACTTGTCATCAGCCCAACCGTTCGTCCTCAGGGGCGCCCCCGGGCCAAGGACCGACTCACCCAGAAGAAAGCTGCACATGTCCCTTTGACCTGAGGAATCTTCATACCAGCGCGGAAAATACCATCGTACATGTCCAGCCGCGCCGTGTCCAGCTCCGCCGCGGAGATCGCGTCGTCAACGACTCTAGCGCCCACGCGCAACCTCAGGCCTTTGTCGTGGCTCGACTCGGGCGATGTGAAGACGTTCTCAATCCTAAAGGCCTTGCCGTATGCGCCTCGACCCTCAACAGCTGTCACGTTGAATTCCTGCCGTATCCAGTCGTCCGCTTGTCCCATCTCGGCAATCTTGGTAAAGTACGCTTCAAGCGAGTCCGTAAACACCATCCTGTCTGGAGTCTGCCCAGGGTACAGGACGGTCCAGCCGCAGTCACAGTGCCCAGCGCGGGCGAAGCTCGCGAATCCCAGGGCGAGAGAATTGAGCAAGCATTTTGCAAATCGAATTACTAGGCGTGGTGGCCGCAGATAGGCCTTCGAGTCGTAGCGGTAGTGGGCGAAGGTCACTAGGTCGGAAATGTGTGCGCGAAGAGTACTTCGCCTGTCACTTTGCTGTGATCTGCAGATCCTGTCTCATGGCACATAAGCAGCAGGCGTTGAAAAAGTAGTCTTCCGAGGCTGAGTCTGCGCCTGTTCTCCAGATGGGAGTGAGCTGAGAGACACGATACCAAGTACCCAGGCGTTACGTTACACCAAATCCACGTGTCGCAGCATGAAACGGGACTCCAAGCAAGGCAACGAACGTCATGTGGCAGAGAACAAGATTATGATTGCATTTGATGCTGATATATCTATACACGAGTGGATGGGCCCTGCCTCCCCTCACTTGGCGCGGCCATCCAACTCTTCATGACCAAATTGAAAGGAGCAAAGCAAGCAAGCTGAACGACGACGAACTGGAGGAGAATGAGTCCCACGGACGACGGAAAGAAAAGCGCAATTGATGAAACTGTGTATCGAACAAGGTATCAACCAGAGGAGCAGAGAAAAAGCAGAACAGAGCCAGAACCAACCGAATTCCAAACCAAGCCAGCAGAAACTCAATAGAAACGGTGCGAGCTATGACGGGGGCGACGCCGCCGACAATTAATAAGAAAAGGAGAGAGAAAAATTCCCGACGCAGTAATAAGCCCATGTTGTTGCCCCTTGATCGGGGTGTAACAGAGGAAGCAGAAAGACAGCGTCGCCCTCGATGGACCAGCCATACATCCTGCCATAGGACCGTCCTCAGCTCGCGTTGCCGCTGGCCTGGGTCCAACTTCCCCTGCATAGCCACACAGCCGTATTAAATTTCCCGTTTTCCCGTGTATTGCCAAAACATAAATGCAGACGCACGATGATCCGCTCTGCCCCGGACATCGTCAAGGAGATGAGATGAATGAAAAATAGACTGTAGAAAGGAGACTCGAGCGCCTTCCAAAGACCCTGCGCGCCGGCACGAGAAGAGGAGATGCCACGCAGCAAAGACAAAAAACGAAGAGAGGTATATGCGCAAGGAAATCGCAGTAGACAGCGCCAGGTTATCCCACATCTGTCCGCGGCGGTAACTCTAGGAAAGCGTCGTTCAAGTCGTAAAGTGATTATAATTGGTTTTAGTACACGCTGTCCTCGTCGGCCCCCTGCGAGATCATGGAGGGGGTCGACACGTTGGAGGACGCTTCGAGGTCGTCGACGTAGCCGACAAGTGCCTGGGAGTGGAGCTTGAAGGATTCTCCCAGGCGACGGGTGATGCCCCACACAACGACTTCGTCGAGCATGGAGCCCCAGAGCCTGGCAACCACAGAGCTGAGCTGGGACAGGTAACGCTCCTCAACATCCTTGACGAACAGCTGGCGGACCTGGTTGTACATGGCCAGTTCCTCGCGCGTGGCAGGCTCCTCGTCGTGTTCCAGACGGTAGAGCCAGAGCGAGAGGATGATCATGAGATCCAATCCACACAGCGGGTGCTCGACACTCCAGTTGGTCGGAGATGTTCTCGCAACCCAGCGAACGCCTTGGACGACAGCCGTCTCGATGCAGTTGTAGCACTCCTGGATGACCTTGAGCATCTCACTAGACCGCTTTACGCGGTCACGGGCGTGAGACATGGCAGCAGCGACCTCGTAGGGATCATGGTAACGCAGAGCCTCCTGTACGGCCTTCAGGTCCACTTCCAACCTGGCACGAGCATTGCGATACAAGGCCTTGGCGTTGAAGAGTAGAGGGTGGCCCTTGTGGGGGGCACTCAAGGGAACGAGGACGGCCTCGGGCTCACACAGATCCAAAGACTTTTCCCAGGTTTCCAATGCAAGTCGGAGCTTGTACTCGGTGACCACATCTTGAAGGGCCTCGGGGCTGCGCTTGTGGTACCACACCTCGAGGAAGAGGGCATTGATCATGACACGCGTAGCGAAGGCACTGTACCTCAAGGCCTCGCCTTGGAAAAGCCGGTCGTGTGATTCCAAAAAGGTCGCTGCAGGCGATTGCTTGTAGTAGTCGGTCCAAGTGGCTTCGTCCACGGTGGGCATGTTCCAAAGAGCCTCGGTCGAAGGCAGCTGCAAGTCCTCAAACTCATTGAACCCCATGGCCGGCGTGTGGTTGTAGGTCAGGGTGAGCAGACCAAAGAAGATGTACACCGCGTAGTATGTTCGGCGGCAACCTTCATCCTCAACCCACTCAGCCTGGCTCGGAGTCGAGCCACTGCGCGCATCTTGGCGGAGCTTGAGCTCGTAGCGATTGCCCGCAACCATGTTGGCGAGAAGACTCTTGATGGAGCACGCCCATTCAAGACCCTTGGGATCACCACTCCACGAGGCGAAAACCATGTTCAGCATCGTGGCCTGCATGGTCCACAGTGGGCATTTGCGGGAGCTGAAGTTCTCCTTGTTCTGCAAGAACTGGCTGACGAGAACCTTGGCACCAATGTGGAGCATGTAAGCTTGGTCTTGGTCGAAAGCATACAAGGCGCCGATGCTCAGGACCGCGAGGAGCAGGGGCGGCGAGACCTTGGTGGGGCTGAAGGAGGCAGGGTGCAGGAACGGCAGATGATGGTGGAACAGGCCAAAGTACGTGGACAAGTAACGGTTGATGGAACCCAGGCCGGGCAGGCGGAACCCCTCGGGAATAGCTCGCTCACTGTCATTGCGTCGAATGGTGTCGAGGATGATGTTGCGCTCCTCATCACTGGCGACTTGAGGCGTCCTGAAGCCTGCTTGTGATGCGTCGAGTGAAGGGCTCTGAGGCAATGGGGTGCCGGCTCCAGAGTTCGGAAGCGAACTGATCATAGATTGCAGAGCAGGCACAAGGTTGGGGTTCTGGCCTGCGATGGGCGGGAGCTGGTTGGCAACGGCCTGGGCATGCTTGGAGTGCTGGGCCTCGAAGGAGCCGTTGGACGTGATCGAGTGCGAGTTTGGCTCCGAGACAGATTGAGGCATGAATCCATCCCACTGTACTTGGGGCAGAGCAATGGCGCCAGAGGGGTAGGTGACACTTGACTCCATCATCGAGGTGTTGTGACTCGCGTACGCCATGGAGGGACTCTCTTCGAAGGAGCTCTGGTTCTCGCGCGCGGAAGCGGTAGCCTTGTGATGGAGATCGGCAACGAGCATCGCCGCTGCCTCAACGTCAAAGATGCTGTCATTGCCCTCCATTTGCTCGAGAGTCGAGGTGTCCAGCTCGAGGTGACTTTTAGAAGGCGTTTCCACATTGCGAGTTTTGGTACCAGCGCGGCGTTTCCCATCACTGTGAAGGGGAACACCTCCATCTTTGGCGTGGACGGTGCGATCATGACGAAGGAGGAGGTCGCGACGCACGAATGTGCTCCGACATTTCAAACATTTGAAGGGTCGCTCCTTTGTGTCTAGGCGAGGTTAGCACGGAAGTTTGATACTGGACAATGAAGTAGGCCACGGCACAGCCTGGAGGGAAACTTACGTGATCGCTCGTGACGACTGCGATGTTCGCTCCTGCTGAAGGCTCGGTGGCAGAACTGGCATTTGTACTTTCGTTCCGGGGCCAGAGAGGCCTTGCGCGCGGAAGGGGTCGAGGCCGCGGGCGGCGGGAGAACGGCTACGCTTGCACCAGGCATGACGATGGTAGTGTCGCGTCTTTGTAGGCTGCGCGCGGGTGGACGAGTCAACGGTAGATTGAGTGGGCGCGTTGGCACTTGCTAGAGTGGGTGACCGATGGTTGAATATCGTCTTGCGTTGACGCTCTTGTGTCTCTCGCTGGATGTCTGTTGTGTCTGCTTTTTCTTGACTCCCAACTCCTCGCTCGCACGCGCACCCGTGGGCTTTACAGGGTGAAAGTGGCGGTCTTGTTCGTGAAGCTGGTCATTGGGTGCGATTGTGTACTGAGCATGGAAAGGTGTTTTGTTTGTTTGATGGGTTTGGAGAGAAATGAGGCTGTTACAAGCCTTGCAAGTGAGCCGGATGATGAAAGCGCGTGGTGTTGATGGTGGGATGATGGAATGGAGGAGAGTTGGGAAAAAGTGAGGAGCAAGCAGCAGTCAAGAAGTACAGGACGAAGGAGAGAGGGGGGGGAGGGGACTCGGAGGGGGGAGCTTCGAAGTGCTCGCAGCGGACCTTGGACAGGAATCCGGAGGGGAGCAGCAGTGGGAAGGAGCGACAGTCGGGTGCAAAGGCAGGCAAGTGCTGGCCGCTGCCACGTACTGTGCGAGCAGCAAGACGGAGGGCGCAGGAGCATCCCAGTGGGTAGCTGCTCGCTGTGGCCGCTGGCGCGCGACCGCCGGCAATGTGAATAGTGGGCTGTGACTGGGTTATTTTGGGTAGGTGTGCTGGTTAATTGGGGGGCGCGACCACCAACCGAGGGCGACTGGAGGATGGTATGAAAAAGGAAGGGGATCAAGGGATGGGATGGCGCCGGAAAAGAGGGGAGGGGGTGGCTGAGGAGGCTGGCTAGCAACGTACCGAGCTGGCGGGCGAGCCTGCCAAAAGATACTTGACCGGGGGCTGATGGATCCCAAGTTCACGAGGTCTCACACAGTGGCCATGTCTGGGCATGGCACCCGTGCTACGGATCCAGAGTATGATCACAAGAGCCCGCGACGAGCAGAATACTGATATGATTACACTGGACATCTTCAGAATCCAGTATGAGTGTGCTACGCTCAAGTGCAATATCAGCTAATCGCTTCCTCCTACAGTGGTTACGATGCGTCCCAGCCGGGCAACGGACTTCAGTTTTGGAGGCATCCAGTCCGGGCTGCTGTGCGTTGGCACGACGGCGGGGCCATCAGCTTGGGTGGTCAACGGGCTGTGCCAGACTTCAACCTCAGGCCCCTAGCGGGGTGGAGGGGTTGCACCAATTGGCCATGGGTGGAGGGGAACACTGACCTTGCTTGAACTTGAATGAGGTCGGGTGGGTTTGATAAGGGTGGGCGGGGCGCCGCTTGAGCGAGCTGAGGCGGCATGATGCTGCATCGCCCGGAGAGGTGTGTACTTCAATGTACCTGCCGGCCGACATGCGTTGCTGTCAGGGTTGCCTCTGCCACTTCCGGTGAGCAACCAATGCTGACTATTGAGCAAGGCTCTTCACGGCATAGCTGAGTATAGTTGTGAGAGCCAGATCCAATATTCATGCCATGTCTTAGGCGCGATGTATTCGGCAGCACAAGTCGTAGCTAAACATAAAGGTACTTCTACCGGCGGATTGGCGTGTCACAAAAGCGGCAAGGGACCAGACGCGCTCGCAAATGTTGCTGGGCAAGCCTCTTTTGGGTGCGAGAAAAGGGGGGCGCCTGAGACAGGGGGTCCGAGGTACATCTGGAGGTGTCGGCTCGCACCATCCTACCAGTCCAGTCGCCTTGCTTCTGGGGTGAATCAAGCGATCCCTCGCGCCAGCATCGTGCTGTAATTAGTTGTGACACGACAGCATGAACACTTCTCACCTTCCACCTCGAACGTGTGCACAGGCATGATCTTGCGCAATGAGTGTTCCTAATTCAGGCACTCGAAATGCTCCCCTTGCCCTATGCTTCGATCGTCTCTTTCATGTATGTCGTCGTCATGGCTATGGACGTCACGAGGAGGGGGAGCTCGGCCAACTCCAACTCAAACCGCGGGGAAGCTCCAGCATGGAAACCCGTCTCCTCATCAGTTCGGATGGCAGCTCGCGCAGCTCGCGCTTGGTCGCTTTGAAGAATATTGTTTATGATCGACGCAGCATTTGTCAGTCAGTCTCCAGTGCAATATGCAGTGGCAGTCATGTCTTGTTGGACCTGCTGATCCGAAGCAACGCAAAGCTCAGCCTTCTCCCGCACTTTCCTTTGGTGGACAGGCTTGCTTCCGTAATATTCAAATTAAGTGCGGGAGCGCGTTCCTGTTCCATCCCGCGTTTGTGCACACTGTGACTATGTGCCTGGCAGACGGCAGTCATCGCTCTCCATCACCGTGCGCACTGTATTCATCGACACGGCTCGCCGCTTGAAGCAGCACTCTGTGACGGCGTAATCTCTCTGTTCATTTCACAAAATTCCCATTCCCGAACAGAACGGGTCATGATTCAAAAACTGTCTGTGTCATCCTTGCCCCTTGCGCTATAACATCAGTGTGCCCCGTCCGGATAGCTCCTGGCTCTTCCGTAAGCCAAATGGGTCCTTCAAGATCGCTCCCCGACTCGCTGGGCGCGGTCCGTCCCAATGGGCCAATTGGCCCAATTCTCCTCGTTCGCCTCAAACGCGTGGAAACGCGCCCGGAAGGCTCCCGTAATTTGACATGAGTCTATCGCCAATTCGCCATTGCCACTTTCAGGGGCGGGCTTCCGACTTTGGAACGGCATTGGCGCTTTGACGCCGGACCTGCCGTATGGCACGTCTACTTCTAATGTCCGAACCTGTCTCACCATCATTGCACAAAATTATTGCTGGATAGCCTCGCAAGGCCTGGCGACGTCGTGCAGAACTCCTACAGGGTGACCCACTATCGTGCTCCGCCTAGGTAATGCGATGGTATGCTTCCCGCCAGCAAGCATCTTCGCATTATGCAGTGCGATTATGTGGACTTTTGGTGGAAGCGGTGAAGCAGAGCTGGTTCTGTGTTGACACCGCAACTTGAGTCTTGTGCAAAGCAATGCCATTTGCGCGGGTGGTTTGAAACACATTGAACCTGGCAGTTCAATGTATAGCCAGTCATGCTGCTGGTCTTCTAGAAGCAATACTAGGCGAACCTCGATGAGAAATGGAGAGAGGGGTCAGCACTATCACTCATAATTAATGACAAACATAATACCAGGTGGCAGGTATCAATATTAGTTGGTGCCTCAAGAAAGGATCGACATGACAGAGTCAGATCGGGCACAGTCTATCGGAATTCGTGACATTCCAATCTTGAGCATGGCGGCTTACGCCCAGTGTCTACGCAAGCTATTCCCGATTTCCACAGGACTCGCGGCATCCACTGTTGTTGATGTGATCGAACAACGCAAGGGCAAAAGAAAGGTTCGCAGATGGTCATCTTGATGAAGCTGGTCACAACTCTCAAGAGCGCTGCTCTGAAACCACCACAAGCCGGGAGGTAGTAGCCTTATTCGGGAGTGCCAAACTGAGCATTGCACAGAAACATCAAACTCCCTTTCTTCGCAGAAGAAACGCGGTGACTTTGTTAGGCAGGTCCCTTCATGTGTCTTTCGTTCGGTTGCGCAGCCTGAATCAAGCAACCGTATTGGACAAGGCGGTGACTCGCACATCAAACTTTCCCACAAGATAGTGTATCCGCAACCTTAGCATGATGAATCGCGCCGCTATGGGTAGTGGAGGCGCTCCGATCGTGAATGATGATAGGTAGGTTTCATCAAGACCCAAAGCGATCCGCTCACGACAGCTTGGTCTCTTGCAGCATGTCGGCATGCTGGGCGCCGGAGGCGGTGTCGAACATTTGCATCGTAATTGCTGGTGTTGCTGCAAGTTGCTCACCGCAACGTGAGGCAAGTCAGGCAGCGAGGTTTCTGGCAGAGCATCATCGCAATGCTTGTCCTCGAAAGTGATAGGCGCACGTCTACCGCTGGGGTTTGCAGGCACTTGCGTGCATTAGGCTAAAGCGGGCGGGTCCGCGGCAGCGAGCCGGCGAGCTAGGGTGCCAGGGGCTGGGGACGCAGTCCAGTCTCCACGTGGGCTTGGTAAGAAATGGATCTTGATTCTTGCGCGAGTCGATTGTACGGAGCACCTTGCCTGGTATGGGAGGGATTCGATAGCATAAACGCACAAGCATAAACAACAATGACCTAGAAAATTCCAACATGCTCAGTAATTAATCACATGCTACTCTTAGGCTAGGCTCTATACCGTACTAATGGCACAGGTAAGTGTTGCCGCACTTTTCCCCAGGCTGATAGGAAGGTACACAAGTCACTGGCAGCAATGCGACAAGAGTGTCTTTTGGTTGAGCGCAGAGAAACAATATCTTTATGATGCACTTTCATGTTAGATTCTCCGGCGCTTTCATTTGGCGTCTGGCCAGATTGTTGTGACTGTTTCTTTCGTGAAGCTGTCATCAAAAAGGTTTTCTCCTACGGCTTGGGTTGGGCCCAAGACAATCAGGATGTTTGCACACCCACGAAACCGCTTACGGGTGGCAAAGGAAGGATCAAGCCCTCCCGCATCCTATTTACTCATAATTGAAAGCCAGCACGCCCTCATCGCGACACAGTCTGGCATGCGTTTGCGATGGAGTAATCGGCATGTGTTGTAGGGTAAGCTGCATCCGATCCAACGGGATAAGCACCAGGTCACATTGATGTGGGAACAAGCTGAAACCTCATGCATCTTCAGCGACTCAACTGCTCGACTCAGCATCGAGCTGACCGCGGTCATTTTAGTTTTGAACCATACGTGTATGAAGGAACGGGCCGTTGGCGCTGACACAACCGGCCATGACCCTTGTCGCCCAGTATCGACAATGACTCGTACGCTTTGCGATTGCTGGCGCCATAGGCTAAAAACAACTCGCTGGTCGTGGAGCGAGGATGCTCACGACTCAAGCAAGGAGAAGTTGTCCTGATGAACCAGATCCTTTGGTTGAGCTGTCGCCAATCCAGACTCAGTATTTCACATGCACAAGCCTACAAGTATGGCTCGCTGTCGGGTCTCCAGCAACGTCGCAGCGGCTTGCGGTCGGACTTGACTGCCAGCCCGATACCCTGGTCAGGGGGGCCGCTCACCGAGTGGGAGAAATCGGAAAAAGGACAGTGAGTGGCAGCTGGGACTGGGAGGGAAGAGAGGCTCCGGTCAAGGAAACGTCGCGTCAAAGTAATGTACATGCTCAGGGCGGCTGGATATCAATAAAAGCAGATGATATTGTCCACCAGCTTACGCGAGGAGAAAAGCCATCAACAGCGCGCTTCAGGTCGATATTCCTCTGCCCCTCAGTGTGCTGATCGGGGTACGTGGAGGACGATAATGTCCGGTGATCATCCGGCGCATGAATCAGTGCTGTTTGCTAGAAATACATTTACCTAACAACTAGCCTCATTAGGGCCGAGGATGTGGGAGAACTCACGGCAGGTCTGGACAGTACTGGAATTACTGAAGGATCTGCTCCTGGAAGATCGAGAAGCGATTACGCGGGTTGCCAGACTGGGCTGTGATAATACAGCGTATTAATTACTATAATCAACAAAGTAATACAGTACCTATACCTCATATTGATTGGCACTCAAACCAGAAAGAATTCGCCGCATCGCAGCTGGACTGGATGTTGATGAGAAAACTCATGTCCACTGACATTGCTGGCGGTAGCGTACTTAGGCTGCCCGCTACCACCTGAAAGTAAAAGGTAGCAGGCAGGGCACCTTCAGTGGTGGTGTGTGCTGAATCCAGTCCAGTCTGGTCGGCGGGACAGGGTTCAGTCGTGTGGTGCAGCGCAGCCCCTCCTGCCTGCCTACTTTTCCCTCATCAGCCAGGCAATTCTTAGATCCAGGCTTTTACTCTGGCATCTAGCTTTCCCTCGCATTCAGCATTCTGTGTCTTGTCTGGCAGCCGGCTGCGCGCAACCAACAGTCCGACGGAGAGTAAAAATTTGGGTGTGCTAGGCAAACACGCCGATCCACGACTGACCCTTCGAGACCGTCGCCCGAGAGCGACGGAGCGAGCAGTGACGGGGGTTGACTATCACACTACAGACGGAGGTGCAAGGTCCGCCGTCAGTCACATTTTGACGAGCGTCCAAAGCGACCAAACACGCAGGCAAGCAGCTTCGCGAGCGACAAGCGGCGGACGAAGACAGCCGACAGGCGACATTATCCCACGCCTCTCGTTAGACCCTCCTCGACTTGCTCCCCCTAATCGAAACCCGCGTCCACCCCTTCGCGCGATAGCTTCTCACACCAACCGAGCCGCTCTTTTTCGCGCATTGCTACCCTGGACCGATTGAATTCGCAGTCTAGCAGCATACAAGCACATACGCCAATTCCTCCCTGCTTCAACTCAACGACTCAACTTTCGTGCAAAGGTCGTTTCACATCCCGCCGGTTTCTGCGACACGACCCTGGCGCACGGCCCTCCGCGACTCAAGTCAGCCCCTCCAACCCACCTAACTCATCGAACCGACGTTGGCACTCGCAGCACGACGGCCGTCTGCAGCGCAAACAATATACTCCAGCACATGCACTTTCTGCGACCGCTGTTGCGACTATGAACGGGATCGTGGGCACGGCGCCGCAGAGCACCACGTACGTTCGTGCATTGTACGACTACGAGGCGGACGACAGGACGAGTCTGAGCTTCCATGAAGGAGATGTGATTCAAGTTATCACACAACTCGAGAGCGGGTGGTGGGATGGTGTGATTAACGGCGTCCGTGGCTGGTTTCCTAGCAATTATTGTCAGCTCATCACCAGCCCGGACGATGTCCCTGACCCGATTTCCAACGGCCACCACGAACTATTGGAAGAGCGTGCCGAAGAATTGGATATCTACGAGGATGGATACGACCAAGATGAGGACTCTGAAGGCGAAGGGATCAATGGTCTGCCAATGGAAGGAACGGACTTTGGCGACAAATCGAGAGCCGACTTTTGGATACCGCAGGCCACACCCGACGGCCGACTGTTTTACTATAACATGATGACTGGCGATCGTAGCATGGAGCTTCCACTCGAGTCGCCCGTCACAACCAACGAAACCGGGCCGCGGGATCGCATGAATGCGCATATACCTGAGAAGACTCGCCCGCCCCCTGAGATGATGGCACGGGGAATGACGCAGGACGAGGATTACGACTCCTCTACCTCGGTATCGGAAGTTGAAGGCGATGCTGCTAGGCGGGAGCGCGCCGGCAAGGTCCCACGTGGCTCTGTCAGCAGTGTCCTGTCCCCATCCACGTCAATGGACTCGATCAACGGCATCCCATCCGGCCCTCGGACCCGGAAGGGCGCTCACTCGGCCACTCGGCCGCCGGCGCAGACACCGAACATTGCATCTGCTACATCGTTCATCAGCACGTCATACAACCAACCAACCACTACCACGGTGCCCAAATCGTTCTTTGACGATGGAGCCACCCCTCCACTGACATGGAGCGTGCTGGTCACGAACATGAAGCGTGCCATTGAGCGGTACCGCGAAGCCATCACCAACGAGAACAGAGCCGAATACGTTGCTCGCGCGGAGGACATTTCTGATCACCTTCGCCTGCTGCTTTCCGCTGGTTCCGGGACCACAGACAACCACTCTGGGCAGCCGTCTATCATCTCGACCAACAAGGCACTGTACCCTCACTTTCGTGACATGATGTCGAAATTCTCCAAGCTTGTCATTTCGTCTCATATTGCTGCGGCAGACTGGCCCAATACCGAGTCTGTACAAAAGTGCCTGCAAGAAGCCGATGGCGTACTTTTGGGCGTCTTCAGCTACGTCGAAGTCGCCAAACAGCAGCGAGGCGAAGATATACCACGACTCTTTCCCGGATTCGTCATTGGCAGCGCGGCCGGCGGAAGTTGGAAGAACAATGGGCTGAGCCTACAGGATCCCATCACGGCGGACTTTTTCGAGGACGAGGAGGGCGCCACGGAGCCGAGCAAAATCCTGGACGGAAAACTGCTCTCCCAAATGGACGAGCAACGTCGGCTGCTCGCGGCCAGCCTTCGGGAGCTGGACAAGAACTTGGTCGCCCCGGAAAAAACGATTTCGCCTGTCCGCCATGAGATGATTGGGAACAATGTGTGCTATTGTGGTGGTAGGGTCGTGGATGTGTTCAAGCCTTGGATATCCATGATCGAGTCCATCGACCTGTCCGTGCTTGGCAACACTTTCCAGACACCCCAACTCGCCGAGTTTAGCACCAACAAGCAGACCCTATACGACAATATAGCAGACCTTGTGCTCGGTTGCCAGGCTGTGGCAGGTCCATTGGCCGACGAGTGGGCCGAGGTGCGAGGCGAAGCTCTGGAGAGCAGGATGGACTATGTCAGGCAGTGCGCCAGGGCCTTGGAGACCAACTCTACACATGTCGGGTTTTCTCTGCAGCTACTCCAGGAGCAGGTCCAAATCAACCTTAATCAACATCACATTGACCCCAGGGGCTGGGACAACCACACAACCCGGAACCACGGCCTCCAGCGCGTCGGGACAATGCCGGCAGAGCGACCTCATCACCGCACTGAGTCTAGGGCCGCAGAAAGTCGCCCGCCCCTGCTGATGACGCAGTCCTTCAGCGAAGGAGACGCGCCGCCAACCAACTTTCGAAAGGGTGACCAGTCCAAGGTCAAGAAGATCCTGGGCGAGGATCCTTCGCCGCAGATGGGACTTGGCCCCACTGAGGATACCCCTGAGTATTTACGTCTCGATTACGAGAACGAGGTCACCTGGGAGTCTAAGGATGGCAAGGCGACCGTCCGGAGCGGAACGTTGATGGGACTTGTGGAGCAGTTGACACGCCACGACAAGCTTGACTCGAACTTCAACAATACCTTCCTCCTGACCTACCGATCATTCACAACAGCGCAGGAACTATTCGAGATGCTCGTGAAACGGTTTAACACGCAACCTCCCCCAGGACTCTCTCCTTCCGACTTTGAGATCTGGAGAGACCGCAAGCAGAAGCTCATTCGCTTCCGTGTTGTCAACATCCTGAAGAGTTGGTTTGAGAGTTTCTGGATGGAAGAGTTCAATGACGAGTCTCGCCAACTCATCCGGGACGTGTCCGACTTTGCGCAACACACCGTGGCGGCGACGGAGACTCCGGGCTCCGGACCGCTCAAGATGGTCCTCGAGCAGCGGTTGAGTGGAAAGGAGGCTGGCGCCCGCAAGATGGTGCAGACACTCAACCAAAACACCCCGCAGCCCATCATGCCGAGGAATATGAGGAAGCTCAAGCTTCTCGACATTGATACTACCGAGTTTGCCCGACAATTGACCATTATAGAGTCGAGACTTTACGGCAAGATCAAGGCATCGGAGACCTTGGCCAAGACTTGGAACAAGGACAAGGAGGCTGAGAGGGACATTGCACCCAACGTCAAGACACTCATCATGCAGTCGAACCAGACCACGAATTGGATAGCGGAAATGATCCTGAACCAGAGCGACGCGCGGAAGCGTGTTGTCGTCATCAAGTACTTTGTACAAGTCGCTGATGTAAGTTCAATGTCCAGTCTTTGGGAATGCGGGGTCAGGCTAACGAGTGAAGAAATGTCGAGCTATGAACAACTACTCGTCGTTGACCGCCATCATCTCGGCCTTCAGCACAGCGCCCATCTCCCGCCTCAAGCGGACGTGGGAGCTTCTGCCTGCGCGGACGGCGGCCACGCTCGAATCATTGCGAACGACGATGGGGAACACGAGGAATTTTGCCGAGTACAGAGAGCAGATCCATGCCGCCAACCCCCCCTGCGTACCCTTCTTCGGTAGGACAATCACCACCAGATGATAGCTGGCATTGGTCATGTTGCTAACGAGCGTGACTAGGCGTGTTCTTGACCGACTTGACCTTTATCGAAGACGGCATACCGTCCATCATCAAGAAGACCAACCTCATCAACTTTGCCAAGAGATCCAAGACGGCAGAGGTCATCTGGGACATTCAACAGTACCAGAATGTAGGGTACTCTCTGCAGCCGGTACCCGAGCTGCAGGACTACATCTTGAGCAACGTGCATGTTGCGGGCGATGTGCATGAGATGTACAACAAGAGTCTGCAGATCGAGCCCCGCGAGCGAGAGGACGAGAAGATTGTGAGGTACGTAGCTTTGCGGGATCAGCCGTCCACGTACGGCGCCACCATGTTTCATTGAGGAGGGCATGCGCGGGTATGAGTTGTGTTGTCTTACAAGCAATGAGAAGACGCCGCAGCCCCGCGTCGGCTGCCAATGTGTCATGACTACGAGACCAGATCAGAAGCTTACTGTGCCTTTCATCTTGCAGGGTTCTAGCCGAGTCGGGTTTCCTCTAAAGCACCGAACGCACGCTTTGCGCACGACGCCTCCCCGTCCGACCAATTGCGATCCGTGGGAAACAAGCTTTCCTGAGGGGAACGGGAGAGGCCTACCGGCATCCGGGCTTCACCCAATGCATACCCAGCGAGCTATCGACCGTATCAAGTCGCTAGTCATGGACCGGGTCACGACAAAGAGTCTGTTGGGCAGCTGGGCTTCAGGCGCGCCCGCATCATGGGGGGCGGGTCGGCCAGGCTCCCCAACTTGCGTGCCACATGGCACGCGACCGATCAAGTGATAGCGGCCGCCGGATTCGAGCCTGGCAAAGAGGCCTAGGCTTGGCCTGGACGTGGGGTGGTTTGTTAAAAACTTGAAAAGGCAGGCTCACCGCCGCCGCGGGACAGAAATGCTGAAGGACCACCTATCATCTTTGCGCACAGTTGCATGGATGGCGACTATGGAGCATGGGTCAGGCACACGGGTAATTTGCATCGCGTGTCAACCTCCGGACATTTACTTTGCCGTTGTCGCGAACCATTCGACCGGCAGCAGGCTAGCAGCAGCATTGTGCGGGGAGGGCTCGGGCATGATTTGGATATTCGGATTCTCTCTTCCGGTTGAGATTTAATTTCACTACTACATAGACCGGTACCATGCTCTGACGAGCCCGGACGTAGCAGCACAGCTAGCACGGTTCATGACTTGAACGTATAATGCATGCACGATTGAACGAGGACCATGACAAGGATGAGCAACCGTAAGTGATGCCTGTGTGATAGAGAGAGAGAGAGACTGATAGGAAGGGGTTGCCGGCCCGCATGAATAGACGTGCGGCTGTCGCACAGCTAACCTGGTCTGAGGATTCGACAGGACTGACTGATGAATAACCGTGGTATTAGTGCCCCAGGTCCGGGTAAATTGGTTCCTGCAATAAAGGATAAGATTGAAAATGTCAGAACGCGGGGAAGTCTTCCCATGGGATCCATTATCCCTGACTTGTTGGCCCCTTGTCCCTAGTGTCGGCGCACACACCATCACACCGGTTTGGTTTTGAATTCAGAGACGTGTTTCAATCTATTTTATATGCATCGCTTCATTAGAGTGCGTGAAACAGATTACTAGCTCACGTAGTTCCCTTACGTGCTTTCGCAACACCAAACAAGGCAAAAAACAAAAGAGGGTATAATGAAGACACCACCTCCTACTACCTCCGTTGGACCACTCCCTCCTTCATCACGTGTACGTGCCGGTCGGCCGCTCTACTAATTAATTAGTGTCGGTTCAGCTTGGCCTTGATCCGGTCCTTTAGGCTCGGCTTGTCTCTTCCGTCCTTGCCCTTGGAGGCCTTGCTGTCCGAAGCGCCGTCTGTAGCTTGTGAGCCGGAGGGTGCTGCGGCAGGCGATGAGCCTTGCTCGGCGAGGCCTAATTTGTGGTACATTGTCAGCATCTCATTATTGTCTCGAAGACCCTCTTTTTTTTTTCCGGCGTCAAGCCGACGAGAAGAACTTACGGTCGGCCTCTTTCCCTGCGCCAGGCTTGGTGGCGTCAAAGTCACCGCCCTCAGCGGCGAAACCTGTCGCGTGGACAACCTCTCCCTTTGACTCGGGCTTGTTCTTTTTCTCCTCCGTTTCCTTCTTGTCCTCGGTATCCTTCTTGTCCTCGGTGTCCTTCTTGTCCTCGGTGTTCTCCGTAGTGGGATTGTGCGCGAGACCGGCATCGCCACCATGCTCCCTTGCGACCTGATCCACGGGCTTGGGGCTGGGACCCTTGGGATTGACGTGTTCCGCTTCCTTGGTTGAATCCTCCACCTCCGAGGCGTTAGGCACGGCGGGGTCGGCACGCGGGTGGTCGCCGTTGTCGTTGGTGGTCGCTGGCTTGTCCGAGGTGGTGGTGTCAGTGGTAGTGGGAGCCGTGGTCGTGTCCGTCTTTTCTTTGGATGCCTTGTCTTCGCTTAGAGTCTTCTCGAGCCTCTCCTGGCTCTCGCTGTCTGCGGCTCGGTCAGTGGGCTGGAGATTATGGACATGTGGGATGACAACTCACCCAGGTTGCCAGCATCGTAGGGCTCACCCTGGCCGACATCGCCCTGGGCGCCCGAGACGGGCTCCTTGTTGGCGTCGGCGCCGCCAAAGACGGCCTTGGAGGCGGCCGTTGCGACGTTGTTGATGGTCTCCATGACTGTCGTGTGGATGGGATGCTGCAGCGGGTTGGAATGGTATCGTGCGGTGAGCGTACAATGTAGATAGCTGTACAGGAACTAGGATAGATCGCTCCAGAGGGAATGAAGCAACTTTAAATGCTCACAATCTCATGCTGGGTTAGTGTGGTAGGCAAGGTACCTGACCTTACGTACAAGGGAGGGATGGATGGAGGGTCTGACGTCGTTGGGGTCCTGTCGTCTCTGCCAGTGACGGCCAACCTGCAGATGGAACGGGTCCGAGGGGTTGGCTACTTGAACGGGTAGACGAGGCCCAGGCCGAGTACACTGCTGACTCGAGGATTCTTGTTCTTCTCACTGCTACTGCTTTGTATTTCAGGTACCATCTGCGCTCGTATACGGTCTCGAGACATAGCTCGCAACATAGTCCGCCCCTCTCCCCTCTACCAGACTCAAGCCCATGCGGAACGTGGCGGAACGGCGATGAGCGATGTGGGGAAATCGCCAGCAACAAATGACGTTGATCTCTGGATCTCATGCAGACAAGGCAACAACCGACTAGGTGCTCCGTACAGCACGGGGTTTGATGGAGACTGGAGCCCTCTTGATCTGCGTGCGGTTGGATCTTGATTAGGACCTGATTAAATCTGATGCCCACTGCGACTGACGTCATTTGAGTTTTGGCGACAGGCTCCATATCAGCTCAGAGCCCCTCCACGCAAGCCACATTGTGGCGCGAGCCGAGCCTCCTAGAGGACTAGGTCGGCTTCGCACGGATCGTTTGTGTCTTTTGAGTCGCAGCTTGGTGCAAGCATCCATTGGCCGAGGCGTTGCTGAAAGTGCAATACTACGCACCATAGGCACGGAATGACTGGCTACATGTACTGAGCAGCCCACAGACCTCGTGGGTGTGTTGTCATCCGAAAGGTCAGCTGACTTGGATTGACCACTGGCATCATGAGCCGTGGCCATGTGGCTCGCCCAGTGGGCACGACGTTGGCATCGGCCAGGCCCGTCGCAGCGACCGTGAGCATCTGACTTGACCTCTCACTACATTCATGAGGCAGACACCGCCAGGATGTCGAAGATGGCCTGTCCTCGACCCTCAACGTCAAGTATCCAAGATGAGGACGACGGTGCTCTTTGCTACTTGTGCCATCGTTGTACAAGCAGGCACATTCTGGAGCCCACAGAGGCAAGACCTGTATCGTCCAGAAGGAGAGATACAGCGGCGACTGCGACCACCGAAAGCTGACGCATTCCGTCATGAGCTGAACCAAGAGCCCGAGCCAAACTTTCCTCGTCGACCTGGCCACCCGCCAACTGGTTTCATCGCGCTAGGGGACTCGTACTCGGCGGGCATAGGCACTGGCTTCAACGGGACTGAAGATGCCTGCAGACGTGGGCTTCACGCGCACTCGATGCTGATCCACGAGGACCTGGTCCGCAGCGAGGGTGAGAACAAGACCTCCTTCGAGTTCCTGTCATGCACCGGGTCGACCATCGCAGACCTTCTTCGCGACGGTGAGGCAGGTCAGATTGGAGAGTTCAACACGACGACAAGTGCGGACTTTGCGCTGCTGTCCATCGGTGGCAATGATCTAGGCTTCTTTGATATAATGAACAGCTGCATCTTCAGGTTCTACAGCTTCTACTCCGGCACCTGCGAGGAGGCGCTGGCGCGATCCGACGAGCGCATTGTCAGCCGCGACTTTGAACTTGAACTACAGCTCGCCATCACCGAGATTCTGGACCGGGTGCATTGGGAGAGGCGTCCCTGGTTCACAATCACAGTTACCGGGTACGCGCGGTTCTTCAACGAGGACACGGCCGAGTGTGACGACCACTCGCTCGGCGTGTGGTGGCGTGGCCCCAAGTTGAAGCGTGCGCTCCGTCGGAGGATGAACCAGATGGTCCTGCGTGTCAACGACAATATCCGACAATCTGTGGACGCCGTCAATGCGGCCTTTGCCGAGACCAAGGTCCTATTTGTGGACTATGATCACGCATTTGAAGGGCATCGGTTCTGCGAGCCCGATGTGATCGAGCCCGACTACAGTCGAACCGAGACTTGGTTCTTCTTGGTTGGGGGTAAAGACAATGCTGAGGGGCAACATGCAACACCCATCGACTTGGCGCTGTCTTCTCCTGAAGCTGGTCTCGCTGAGCTTCCTACCCCCTGGGCCAGTACAAGACCATGCTCACGGGCAGCAAGAGTGTTGGTAAAGGGGCAAAGCGATGGTCTGTGTCGGAAGACAGTGGACGCAGACCACGGTGCACACCCTGAAGACATGCGTTATGTGCCCACGTCTTACGGGCAGACATTTCACCCCGTGAGTCACCAAGACGTGCTGCGAGACCATGACGGGTTTACTGATCTCGACAGAGAACCAAGGGTCACGAGGCCATCCGAGATGAGATTTATAGACAGTGGAGAGGAGCATTCGGTGGGAGGTGAGATAATCATAATCAGATCCCCGGCGTTGGCGGTGATTTTCCAGGGGTTGCCTCGGTCCATCCCCGCACTCGACTAGGTACATGTACGTGTACGTAGCAGGCAAACCCGGTCTAAGTCAGGAGCCTGTCGACCACTGGGATGTCATGAGCGATTGCGTCCATGTCGTTGAGTAGGCATCTGCGGCTTCCCCCCATCTACAGTCGCACGGGGACGAAAGCGGTTGTAAGTTCCCGACTGCAGCCTGGGCCAGGGGATGATGGATCATGGATGCACATGCAGCCCGATCCATGCACCGACGTACAGTGCCTTGGGGTCTGGAATCCTGGAGACCTGGACGACCAGTATATCAAGCATGAGCCCATTCCAAGTTGCAGGAAAACATAGCATACCGATAGGTACCTTACTAAGTGGCCTTCCTGGCTGTCTTGTACGATTTGATTCGTCTCGTTACTCTGTAGATGTGACCTGGACAGGCGGGCTGTCGGGGCTGCAGGTCAGCATCCTTGTCGATTTCAGGTCAACAGCCACTGATCGATGAGTGCATCGCGATTCGCATCTCTCACATGAGAGGACTTGTAATTAGTAGGTACGATACCCGCATGGCATCCGGAAAGTTGGAACCATCCGTAAGAGAAGGGGTCCGTCCCACAAAGGTCAATACTAGTACTCGTGAGTCGTGATTCCCAAGACTCGATGCTGATCGAACTGACCGCCAAGATCAACAATAATACCGGTACACAAGATCTCGAGGAAGAATCTGGAAGATAAGCAGCAGCGCCGCGCATCTTTATTATACATTTTATTATTATTAACGACAGGAGTCGACCCGCCGGGCGGAGCCATCCATTTACGTGTATTTCCCGGACCCTAGTCGAGCACGCGCAAGCTGCAAGTTAACTCAGCCCTGGCCAGGCCTACACGGTCGATCCAGACCGAGCTCAACGCCACTCTTTCAATCCATGACATCGACTCTCGTCGCCTCTGGGAGCCCAACATCCATCCCCGTCATTTCGTTTCGTTTCGTCGCCTTTGCACCGGACAGTCTGTTCCCCACCACGGGACTCACTTCATCAGCAGTAAGTACATGACAGTCACAACCCACGAACCGAACACCTTGGAACTTGGCGGCGACTTCGCGCCACTGGTGTCGACGACTGGGTGCGCGCTGTACGGCAGACCTGCTCGGAAAGCTGTCGCTGCGTCGCCTTGGCTGGTCCAACGATAGACTCTGGTGCACTATCTCGGAGAATTGGGCATTCGTCAGGGCAGGCTGGCGCCGATTCCAACCTCTGGCCTCCAGTCCCGACCACTACGCCGGTAAGCCACGCCACTACGCACTCCAGTCTCTTGGAGGCACCAAGACATCATCAACCACTTGCCCCAGGCCCCAGGCATCATCACCTCTACGGCACGTGGTGAGAACTAGCGTTCCTCCAGTCCCATCCAGCCAAATCCCCAGTGCGAATCAACAATGGACCACACATTACGTACCTCCCACCCCTTGTGGATGCCTGTGAGTATGCACGTACTCGCCGCGGCTGAGAGTGAAGATTCTACTTGGCACAAGGCCAATGCCAATCCTGCATACGATCGACCATCTCCTGCGGCCACTACGTACTATTCAAGCATGTCCTTTCATACCAGGACTCCAGGACAAGTGTCAGCCCGTCCGTCCGTATTACCTCCCCTCCCCACTGTCCATGCTGGCCTCACGTCCACCCGCCGCGCTAGTGCTCATGACAACTCACCGCGGTTCTTCACCACCTAGCACTTGGACGACGCATTCGAGGGTCATTGCTCCCTGATTGCTCACTCTAGTTCCTGGTGCTGCTCAAGACCCGAGCCGCGAGGGGGATCTACGCAGGCCACAGGAGGGGCAAGACCACAGTGCATGCGCATGCATGCTTAAAGTACATTAGCGTCCATGGACATGGACGGGTCCAGCACATCGTCAAGGTCCCGTGTCCGTGTCCGTGTCCCTGTCTCCTCACCAATGCCCATTCTTCTCTCACCTCAGCCATCACGTATACCAAAGCCACTTGACAGGCGCGCTGACGCAGATGACCGCACGCCCAGCTTCTTCCAGGAAATTGTCTCTCTCTGAGACCATTCGACATTGGCAGCTCACGATCATACCATTGATCCTCTACGTTACGTGATGCGCCTCAGTCCTTTGCGCACCCTCCACCAAAGAAGGATTGACGTGACGGGACAACCAAGTGCGCCCTAGGGCAAGGCTCGACCGCAGAGGGGGACGAGGGCGGCTTGCCGTTGCTGCCGTCCATTACTACAACTGCCATCATGGTCTATTGCGGAAAAGCTTCGCAGGGCTGCCAGAGCTGTCGGAAGCGACGTATCAAGGTACGGGTGACAAGTCAAGACGTCACCTCATATCGACTGACCCGCCTTCTAGTGTGACAAGGTCAAACCAGACTGCTCGCAATGCGTGCGCGTCGGCAAGAAATGCTCCGGCTACCGGGACCAGCTCTCGCTCATGTTCCGCGACGAGAGCGCAAAGGTGATGCAGAAGGCCCATGCCCAGTGGGGAGTAGGCGAGGAGGGCGTCGAGGCGGGCACGGCGACTGCCTATGACGACGACACTGCGTCGTCCTCGAAATCCCCGACGCCTTCGTTCGGAGGCGACATTGTCCACTTCTCCCCCGTGCAGACTCTACCGTCACCGCCAGCCTCGCAATCAGGGTCCATGCGGTCTGTGGTACGAGACCTTGTCAAGGTGCAGGCGCCCATCTCATCGACGTCGGAGGAGCAAGGCTTTCAGTTCTACGTCAACAGATATCTGGTGGGACACCCCGACGAACCGAGGAACCTGGACGAACTGCGACGTGATGCGTGGCTATGGGACCCGGCGCTGAAAGACGTCTCGGCTGCGCTGGGGCTGGCGAGCCTGTCGAATCTCAGGGGTGATCACGAGATGATGGCCAGCGCGCGGCAACAATACGGCAAGGCATTGCGAATGGCCGGATCGATGCTCATGTCCAGAGACCCGTCCTCCGTGGACGTGACCGCTCGCCTGGTCGTGTTGCTGGCGATGTACGAGGTGCGTTTCCTCCTTCCCTGACACCCGTGGAACTGGGGCTGAACCCGGCGCCAGCTCGTCAAAGGCACAGAGCTGAGTACAGGAACCGTGTACGCGCATGTGGCTGGTGGCGCTGCTCTCATCAGACAGTGGTACCCCATGCGCAAGACACCTTGCGGCGGTGTGCGCCCATTGCTACAGCTCTGCTTCTCCACAGTAAGCCGACGGAGTCTCGCCTCCTCCACAGCCGTGCCTGTGAAGCTAACATGGACCGCAGTTCCTGACTGCCTACGAGATTGGCATCGCGCTTCCTGCCGAATTCAACGACTGGGTGGCCTTTTGCCAGCAGGGCATGCCAGCCGATGACCAACGCGCCCCGGAACTCGGGTTGATGATAGCGCGGTTCGTCAAGCTAGCCTCGTATAAGCGCTTCAACGTGCTCCAAGACGGCGTCGCTTCGACGGCGGCGACCATGCAGGCGGCCATTGACATTGAGAAGGGATTGGAGAAGTGGGAGGACGAGCTCGACGGGCACTGGCTGTTCACAGCAGAGAAGAGCCTGGACTTACCGCCCGCGGCTGTCTTCCAGGGCCAGTACCACGACTACTACGACATGTGGGTGGCGCGGATCTGGAACTACTACAGGTGGGCGCGGATCCTGGCCAACCAGCAGATCCTGGACCTGGCCGACAAGTACCCAGCGTCCTGCGGCCCTCTGCTGGCGAGGCACTACCCGCATGGGCGGAACGAGTGCATCGACACGGCGGGCGACATGGCGCGGGACATTCTGGCAAGCACACCGAGCCACTGGCGACATCCCCTCCTGGGCGACAAGACGCCGGTGCCCGTGCAGCAACAGGGAGGCGCCGGTGCCGGGGCCGCCGGCATCCCCGTGCTGCTGTTCCAGCTCCGGGCGGCGGCCTGTGCACCGGGTGTCCCGATGGAATACTGGAGCTGGGCGTACGGCGTGATGGAGTGCGTCTGGGGCGACATGGGCATGCAGCACGCAAAGAGCATGATGGACGCGCTGCTTGCACATCGCGAGTCGTTGAGGAGGAGGGACGAGGTGAGAGACCAAGAGGCCCAGCCCAAGGAGAGGTTCTTCCTCGGGCTCATCCACGAAGAGTGAACCCTGTGAGGTTTGTACGAGCGAAAAGACAGGCTGGTTTGTTCTTGTACGTTTTTTGAGCATGCGTTTGGCGTTTGAGGCGTGGATACTGTCTATATATATCCGGGCTTTGTCGATCATTGGGGACTAGACCTTTGCGTCTGAGAAAGCTGCGGCTTGCTGTCCGTGCGCATACCTGCACGATGCGGTGTACACCAATAAAGCTTATACGAACACTTGTACACCTTTTTACGTGTGAATCCGGCTCGTGGTCGTTGTGAAGGACATGCATCGAGCGGTCGAAAATTCTTGGATCTAGTAGGCGCTACAGCTAAGGTACCTTATTCATAGTGCCTGGCAGGTGTCCAGCGGTCCACAGGCAGCAGCTGCAGCACACTGCTAGGCGTTGAAGGTGCCTAAAACATGGTGGCAGACACAATCGTGGGGGGTGCCACCAGGCCTCCAGGCTGTCTTCCCGATCCGTCGACGCGCCACCGACTGATGTCCAGTCATCCACGACCAGACACAGACTCCAACCGACGTCAACTCAGGTCTGTCTGTCCGCTCAATAAGACTGCGACGACATCAGTAGCGCGCGCATCGAGCGACTCGCGCCCGCCAGCATCCCTATGCAGCAAGCTGTCCTCTCGAAGACTTTACAATTCGATCATTCTTCCATCTTCGACCATTGGCCCCAGGCAAGTCGCTACTACAACATCAGCTACACGTCTCCCCTCGCTTATCGTCGCACTCGATCCCGCGACCGACCAAACACCAACCATCATGGGTACGCATAGTTATCAAGTTCCCCACTTGGATCATATCCGTTGACGCATCCTCAGCTGGCGATGAGCCGACCAAGGACGCTCCTAAAAAGGACAACAAGTCCGGGACGATCAAACTGAAGAAGGCAGCGCCCAAGCACAAGCAACCGGGCAATTGGCGCGACGGCGGCATTATCGATGGTATGTCCTACCTGACGCGCCCCTGCCCCCATCTCTGCAAACACTCATGCTCTGACACTCCAACCACAGAAACGAAGAGCAAGGGCTCTCCCGCATCCACAGCTACCTCGCCAGGCCCCGTCGTCAACCAGCTCGACGAGAACGCGCGCGAGACGTTCGCCACGGGACGACCCCTCGAAGATAGTCCCGATTTGCAACAATGCAAGCACTGTAAGAAGAGTGTTCTCAAGACGGCAGCAAAGGCACACATTGCGCAGTGTCTACGCGTGAAGAAGGAAAAGGCACAGCGCAAGAAGGAGGCGCGTGAAGCGAGGGAGCGCGCCAAGGAGGCCGCGCGCGAGGAGGAGGCGCGTAAAAACGACGACAATGACGACGACGACGATGACGACGACGGCGATGGCGACTCGAAAGGAAAGGCTGGCAAGAAGGCCGCTGGCAAGAAACCTGACGAGAAAGGCAAGAAGCGCAAGGCCGACGGGACGTTGGAGGGTCCCAAGTCCAAGAAGAAGAAGGATGAACCCAAGGCCAAGGCCCCAAAGACCAAGGGTCCTGTCGATGTCGAGAGGCAATGTGGTGTTATCCTGCCCAATGGACAGGCTTGCGCTCGGTCCCTTACCTGCAAGAGCCACAGCATGGGGGCCAAGCGTGCGGTGCCCGGGCGATCGCTGCCATACGATATGCTCCTGGCGGCGTATCAGAAGAAGAACCAGGCCAAGCAACAGAGTAAGTGCTGCTTCGATCTTGCCTGCCTGACACGACGTCTAACTTTGATACTACAGAGGCTGCGCTGGACGCGACGGCTCCGCTAGAGGACGACGACGATGCCGACAATGGGCCCGTAGACTCTGACGAAGAGACTGCTGCGGTCATGGCCAGCTTGGCCAAGTGGAGACCGCAACCTGTCGTGCCCCAGCCCGTCTTCCAACCGATCAGACGACAGTATCAGCACCAGAGGCTGCACGAACAGCTAGCCGTCGCTACGAATGGAGGGCGGACAAACATCTTCGCCGTCCGAAACTACCAGCGGCCGGCGACGGCCACAGTCATCCCCGAGATGCAGATGCTGCCGCAGCAGCCGCCACCGCCGCCTCTCCAGCAGCAGCAACAATTCCAGCCCATGATGCTCGACGGCGAGGACGCCCCGGGAGAAATGGAAATTGGCATGATCAACTTTACCAACCCTACCGGCCCCCCGGTGCCACCGAGCAGGCAGGCTAGCGTTACGAGTCGTGGCTGAGTGGACCAGACCGGCGAAAGCAAAGCTGAGCTTGGAAAGGAGCAAACGCCGCAGCGCTCCGAGGGTTCGACACACCGCACGATCTCTGTCAAGTCTGAGGCCTCGACGGAGCGTGAGGCGTCCAGCAAGCTCGAGGAGGACTCACCTGCGCCTGGGTACCCACTTGAGCTGGGATTGCCTCCTGGGACTATGTGGCCTCCTGGGCTTGACCTGCCACCCAAGTTTGAAGCGCCTCCTGTGCTGAGTGTCCATCCTGGAGTTGCGTTATGTTCTGGGGTTGATATTTCTCCTGAACTTGACTTGTCTTCCGAGTCCGAGACTCCTCCTTTTCTCGACTTACCTCCAGGATTGGAGGTACCTCCTGAGTTTGGATCCCCTCCTGGGCCTGGGTTGGCTGCTGGGCCTGGGTTGACTGCTGGGCCTGGGCTCCCTCTTGGGATTGATTTACCTGCCGAGATTGGGTTCCCTCCTCCTGGGCTTGGGTGGCCTCCTCCTGGGTTCGGGTTGCCTCCTCCTCCCGGGCCTCGGCTTCCTCCTTCTTGGCTTGGGTTCCCTCCTCCTAGGTTTGGTTTCCCTCCTGGGTTTGGTTTCCCTCCTGGGCTTGGATTACCGGGGTCTGGGTTTCCTCCTAATGAAGTTCCGCCCGATCTTAGATTCCCACCTAGGTCCGAAGCTGTTTCTAGGTTCGACGTCCGTCCCTACTGAGCTTGAAGCCTCTTCTGGGCCCAAGATACCTCCTTTTCTCGAGTTCCCTTTCGTGTTGAGGGAGCATGAGAGTCCGCACTCCTCAAAGCACTACAGTGACGAAGATGATGGAACTGCCGAGCCCGCCTTCAAGCACGAGATAGAGGCTTGTTTCATGCGCATGGACGCACTGTGTACTCGCGAGTCGGCATGAGGGAGCTGGTGCAGCCGAGGGGCAGCGCGGATGTTCATTGTCACATTCGCTCTAGGCCACGTGCCTTTGTGAGCGCAAAGACCCTGCTCCCATGTGAAGAGCCTTGGTGGCGGTTACCAGTGGTCATTTACCGCAATGAGAGGCTTGACCGAAGTAATTTGAAGGAAGAAAGGTTGGAAGGTTTCTGTATAGATGGTGCCGCGAATGCAGGCCTGGTCGTTAGCCGTTGCTGCGCCAAGCGTTTTGGATAGGACGCTTCACAGGCGCATATGGATGTTTGACATTGGACTCAACGGGTACACAGAACAACCAATGTAAAAACAGACTTGGTCGTAGCATGCGCTTGCAATGTACAATGTACCTTGTGCTATTCTGACAATTCTGCATTGTATACCATGTTGAAAGGTTGACAAGAAGTCGGTTATCTGATTCTAGATTAGCGGCCGATATGACGTCGTGCCTCGGCTTTTCACATGGGTAACACCGCCCGTCTTCGCCTTCTTGTACATGACGTCCCTTTATTATGACCTCTTGTCTGAGTAACTCTCCCAAATATCAAGGTCCTGTTTGAAGCTATGTCGCGCGACGCTCTGCTCAATGCCCTCGGGCACGCCTCCAGTGGCTCTGCTGGCACGGCCATCTCCACTGCCGCCGTCTACCCTCTCGACCTCGTCACCACGCGTCTCAAAGCCCAGCGTCACGTCAAAAGCAGCAAGGATCACCCGCACTACGATGGTATCATCTCCGCGTTCAAAGACATTACGTCCCGCGAGGGGGCGTCAGCGCTGTACAGCGGTCTAGGCACAGATGTGGGAAAGTCCGTGGTGGACAGCTTCTTGTTCTTTGGCTTCTACAACTATCTGCAACGCTACAGCCGGCATCCGCCGCGGGCCCTCGAGGAGCTCGCGCTGGGGAGTCTGGCGGGCGCCTGCGCCAAGGCCTTCACGACACCCATGTCGAACGTCGTGGCGAGAAAGCAGACGCAGAGCGAGGAGCGCACCGTGCGCCAGATCCTGGCGGACATTTACCACGAGGGAGGGCTGCTCGGTCTGTGGTCTGGCTACTCCGCGACGCTGGTCCTTACGCTGAACCCGAGCATCACGTTTTTTGTAAACAGGAGATTGGCCAAGAAGGTGATCCCGGCCCTGGAGGAGGAGGACATTCCCATTGCGTGGGCCGCTTTCTTGCTCGCTGCGTTGAGCAAGGCGACGGCGACGGCGTTGACGTACCCCTTCCAGACAGGCAAGACGAGACTCCAGCTGGCGGCGGCTTCTACCGAGGCCGAGGCGACGGATGACGAGAAGGAGAAGAAGAGTGACACCCGTGATCGATGTCGAGCGTCGATTGCGGCGCGCCTCAGACGGATCATTGAGGGCACCATATTCGGCGTCATTGTGCGCATCGTCCATCGGGAGGGACTCAAGGCGCTGTACGATGGACTGTCCGGCGAGCTCCTCAAGAGCTTCTTCAGCCACGGAGCGACCATGTTCACCAAGGGCCTCCTTCACAGGCTAATCATTCGCCTGTGGCTCGTGTACAGCCCACAGATGCGGCGGAGACTGCAAAAGAGGTGAGATGGTGCTTGGCGACAGGACGGACCCTCCAGCCCTTCACGCTTGGAACGCCACGCCGGCCTTGCGGACATTGCTCGCGCCCTTGGCGGAAAAGCCCGTCCCTTCGGACCGGAGAGCGACCAGTCCCGTCGGGAGACCATCCTTGCCGGCCTCGTCGCCCGTGGCCAGCACGGCCACGGGCTCGTCGCACACGAAGCAGGCGACGACCGAGTCCTCTTCTTTCACGGGCTTGCCCTTGGGAGGGATGAGGAAGGTCTGCACACACCTGTCGCAGAGCACGTGGCCACAGTGCTTGGCCATGATGGGCGCGGAGGCGTTGGTCAAGCCTTTGCGACACGAGGGGCACGACCTGCGCTTGTCCTTGGTCGAGTCATCCATCAGCTCTTCAAACTTGATCGTGATGAGCTTCTGCATGGACAAGGGGTGCGGGTTGTCGGTTTGCGACGAGGGGCACGTAGGTGTCGACTTGTGCTTCTTGTTCGCGGGGCTGACCTTGGAGTCCCTGATGTCGGGCGTGAGGGATGGGGTCCAGAACGATGGAAGGGAGGGCTTGGCTGCCTACTCAGTCAGAGTGTACGTTAGCTTGTGTGACTAGCTGTGAAGAGATCAAGTGCCATAGTGTGAAGAACATGCCTTTTCGTCGTTGATCGCTTTCCGAGCTTTCGCCCTGTCTTGCTTCGCCGTTCGCTCGACGTCTTCATTGTCCAAGGCGAATTTGCGCTTCGCTCCGCTGGTAGATTCCGCATCTCCCTCCAATTTCTTCGTAAAATGCGACTCATTCTCTGGTTTCCACTCAATGGTCTTGATCTTGGAGGTCGGTATTGTGGTCGTGGGAACCTCGACGGGCGCCTTGACCTGCCCTTGCACCGAGAGACCAGCCTGCGTCCTCTCAAAGTCCCTGACAGCTCTCTCCTTTTCCTCCTCCTCCATCAGCTCTGCCCGTCGCTTGTCCTCCTCTTCCTGTTCCGCTCGAGCCTTCTCGGCACGCTTCAGCTCCTTCTTCTGCGCGAGGATATTCGCCAATGCGCATTCGCGACAGAATACATCGCCGCGCGAACAGGCGACCGGGTCGCGTGCCAGCTCAAGACAGAGACTGCAGGATCCAAAGGGCAGGAAAGAGTCGCGGGTCAGACGTGCGCTTGTCGACGTATTCCAGTGGGCGTGGGCGACGGCTCGTTCGTGGGCGGTGAAGATGGAGCGAGCAGTGTTCCGCTTGCCTGCATTGTCAGTTTGGGTCCCGTCCTAGGTATTTAGAAAGTCTGTCTTTGCAGACGTACGTACTGTGTGACATTTTGGCAAGGTACAGACTGCTGCTGACGTTGCGAGTATGAAGAGCCTGTTGATGGAGAGACTGGAGAACCGTGACGTCGCGAGAAAATCCACGTGGGGCGACGGCCAAGGTCGGCTGTCGCGACGGACCCTACAAAAAAACGCGCCAGGGATCATCGTCAGTTTTACATGTTCTATTCTCACGTGTGTACTATGTCAACGTCATGTCTGGGACGGCGGCTCCTACACGCCCCAGCCTCTCATGGCGACTCGGCTCCCTGGCGGTGGTGAGCTCTGTGAGCGCCCTGGCCAGAGGCTTTCTCTATGGGTTCAACAGCGTCGAGGTCACGGGGTTGAACAACCTCTTGGGCGTGCTCGACCGGCGGAAACTCCCTGGCGGACGGGAGAGGGGACTGTTGACAGTCTGCAATCATGTTGGCGTGTGAGTTTGACAGTCGACTCGTTCACCACGCTTCCAAAACTAACAAAGGTATCTAGACTCGACGATCCGGTCATCTGGGGCATCCTCCCCATGCGCTATGCGCTCGACGTCGAGAACATGCGCTGGAGTCTAGGTGCCCACGACATATGCTTCAGAAATGCGTACGCTCCCCCTCCCAACCCCCATCCTGCCTCTGGCTATTCTCAATGCATCGTGCTGATGGTCCTATAGCGCAGCTTCAAAGTTCTTCAGTCTGGGCCAAGTCCTCCCCACGCATCGATACTGGCACTCCTCACACGGCGGGCCCCATCAGCCCACCATAAGCCAGGCCCTCAAGCTGCTCACCAGGCCCTCACCAACAGCTGGCCCTGAATCACCGACATACTCGACCAACGGTAAAGACTCGTTCCTCGCGCCCGCAGCGTACTCGGCCTACCGCAACGCCTGGGTGCACGTCTTCCCCGAAGCGTGCTGCCACCAGAATCCAGAGAGCACGTTGCGGTACTTCAAATGGGGTGTCTCACGCCTCATCCTCGAATCGGACCCGGCGCCCGAGTTCGTCCCCATGTTCGTGCACGGCACGCAGCTCATCATGCCCGAGGACAGGGGCTGGCCACGCTTCCTGCCCCGCATCGGCAACAAGATCCGCTTCATCATAGGCGAGCCGACGGATGTGGACAGGCTGTTTGGTGAGCAGAGACGGAGGTGGAGGAAGCTCGTCGCCAACAGCGACCCGGACGCCCTGCGCGACAGCCACGAGGCATCGCAGCTGAGGAGGGAGGTCGCCAAGGGCGTGCGCGACGAGGTGGGCAGGTTGAGGGAGAAGCTGGGACTGGCGCCCGAGCAGGACGAGACGGCGGCCTTGGCCGAGACGTGGTCCAAGGAGCCCAACAAGCGTAAATTCAAGAGCCCTGTCGACGGGAGCCTGACCAACCGGAATATGTAACAACAGCATACAAGCGAAGGGATCGGTATTAAGAGCTCAGTTACTGCTGTACTCTTCTCGCCTCAGCAACTTCACAGCATAGGGAACAATCCGCCACATTATCTGCTGCTGTTCAACAATCCCCTTTGAAAGTAGTGTGCTATAATAAAAGCTCTGCCTGTCCGTCTAGTCAATCCATGGAGCCAACGCCGTGCAATTCCGCAAAGCAAACTCAGTGTGTAAAGAAAAAATCGTATGATGCATAATAATCGCAGCGCGCATGGGCAGCATAGGAAGAAGCCCCGACATATCAATCCATCGGCCCCGGCGGGGGGTACCAGTTGCTCCCCTAGTAACTACCGTCATACCCCTGGGCAGGCACTCCTTGGTAGGCACGGGCCTGAGCCTGCGCTTGCGCCTGGGCCTGGGCCTGCATCTGCTGCTGCTGTTGGTGCATGTGGTGTGCTTGTTGTTGCTGATGGTGATGCTGCTGCTGCTGTTGCTGGTGGTGATGCTGTTGCTGTTGCTGTTGCTGGTGCTGGTGCATCACCAGGTCGCTGAACCATGGGTGCTGCAGAGCGTCGTGGGCGCTGACGCGCAACTCCGGTCGCAGCTGGAGCATGCGCTGGAGAAGGTCGATGCCGGTCGGGTCGATGGTGGCGAGGATCTGGCGCAGATCCTGCGTGGCGTACATCTGCATGTTAGGCTTGTACTCGGGCAGCTGGGTGATGCCGGGCCACGTGCGCTCGGTAGGAGTGCCCATGATGCGGAAGATGCGCAAAATCTGGTCCTCGTTGGTCGTCCCCGGGAACAGCGGGCGGCCCGTGTACATCTCGGCCATGATGCATCCTGCCGACCAAATGTCAATGCTCGTGTTGTACGTCCTCGACCCGAGGAGCACGTCGGGCGCGCGGTACCAGAGTGTGACAACCTCGTTCGAGAAGGTGTTGACGGGGATGCCAAAGGCGCGTGCGAGACCAAAGTCACCGAGTTTCAGGACGCCCTTGCTGGTGATGAGCAGGTTCTGCGGCTTCAGATCTCGGTGTAGGACTCGGTTCTGGTGGCAAAAGTCAATGCCCTTGAGTAGCTGGTACATAAAGGACTTGATGGTGTGCGGCTTCAGTGCGCCTCGGTCGCCCTGTGTGTCCATGTACCGCTTCAGGTCCCCGTCCATGTACTCGAAGACGAGCATCAGCTTGTTCTCGGTGTGGATGACATCGTGGAGGCCGACAATGTTCTCGTGTTTGAGCTCCTTCATGAGGGAGATCTCACGAATGGCGGTCGAGGGGGTGCCTTCCTCGGAGTCGAGGTGGATTTCTTTCAACGCGACGAGCTCGCCCGTCTGGCGATTGCGACCTTTGAAGACCTGGGTAGGGACAGAGTCAGCGGGCACCCCAAGCCACAGCCACGGCGTCCACCAGGACAGGATATCGGCTACGAACCGTTGCATATGTTCCCTCTCCCAATTTCTCCAATTGCTGGAACGAGCTGGGGTGTCTTTTGCCGTCCATGATGCCGGCGATTTGTGTGTGAGGTGGGAAGCAATGAGCAACGAGGCGGCGTGGGATCGGAGAGTGGCAAGTCGACTGGTCCAGGAAGAGTGCGGGTAATTAGATAGAGTCTGTCCTCGCAAAGACACTCAGTGTCCAAGATCTCGCAAGTAATTGCAACGCTCCCTTCTGCGCGTCTTTGATTCAAAGTGACTCACGAATTCTTCCCTCAAGGGTCTAACTTAAAACCATCAGGCAGGGCCCTTTGGAAGTTCCGAGGGCGACTGGACAGGACCGGACTGGACTGGACTGGACTGGACTGGACTGGACTGGACTGGGCTGGGCTGCAGAGCAGAATCGCCCAATCATGCGGATGCCCCGCCACATGCGCTGGACAGGTAGACGCTAGCAGAGTCTCACGCTTACGACCGACAGAGATGTGTACTAAGGTACCTCTACCTAATCTAGGGGAGGACATCAGCGACTGGACTGGATGCCCCACCGCGGGGAAGCTGCTGGTCCAGGGTGGTCACGGCGCCACCCTCCGTATCAATATCATTCGGCCTTTATCAGTCAAGCCAAGACTGGACCGGCGCGTCACGCAACACACCTACCTAGCTTATCGTCGCTGTTGATTCACGATAGCCTCAGTCGCAGGACTATCTTCCTCAAACCGTCATCATCAGAAATCCGGCCCCTTCTTGTTCCATGTAGGCATTTTTCTACGCCCGCTTCATGACCGCCCTCCGCCATGCGCCCAACTCCAGGCATGGCGAACCGACGCGAGAGAGGCGGCGACACTGAGGAGGAGGCACTCCTTGCAACGCCCACCGCCAATCTAGCATGCTTCATCACCACCGAGGCCGCCCTCGATGTTGCCGAGGATGATTCAGGCCCCTCGCCCTTTCAGTCCACCTACCCTCGACGAAAGGCGAGTTTCGAGTCGCCTACCCATGCCTCCCGAAGCCGGTGGCCCTCCCCCACACCCACTGGTGATAGCATCGCCTCGCTGTCCTCGTCAGCTTTGGATACCGAGTATGAGGGGATCACGACACAGGATCACTCGCCCATGGTGGCGGACTCAGCTTTAGCGGCCATGTCGGAGGCCCCGTCTCTTGTCAGCGGCGTTTCCTCACGAAGACAGTCGGTCGGGGAGCTACCACGCTCCGTCCTCGATGGGGCATCGTCCTTCGCACCAAGCCCCACAGGCTCCTCGGGCAGCCATCGCGCTCCCCAGCTCATCATGCCTAGTCTATCAGTGCCTCAACGCAGGCCATTCTCAGAGGCGGGGAGATCAGTCGGCAAGCTCAAGCTTCTGGTCGCGGGGCAACCTGGTGCGCATTCACTCACACATGACGGCCCGTCATGCCAGACTCTGACTTGGTGATAGGTATCGGAAAGACGTCCCTTGTCCAGGCCATTGCGCACTCTTGCGAGCACATTGTGCACATGAATCCGGTGGCCTCAGCAGCCGACGACACCTTCAGTGAGATTTGGGCCAGCACGAGGCCGCGACCATGGTGGCAGGGCGACCCTTCCGCTCTGGCTCCGTCTCGCAAGAGGCGACGGTCGTCCGCAACTGCGAGTCAGGTTCTCGACCGAAACATCTGCTTCGTCGTCAAGTCTGCCTTTTACAAGACCCATTCGGTACGTGAGGTCTCTGTACTGAACCATCCATCATGCTGACCAGAAGTGCAGCACATGGCCGAGGCGGAATACGCGGATGCGCATGTAGCACCACTGCTGGAGAAGACAATCAGTGATTCGGACTTGTCGACGCTGCTGTCGACCGGTGGCGAGTCGAATGTCGATGCTGTCCTGTATCTGATCGCTCACACAGGTCAGCAATACCTATTTGATGGGTCTATTTCGTGCGACTAACACCCATTTAGGCCTCGAAATTCGCGACATTGAATGCATCACGTCCTTGCAGCAGAAGACCAACGTCATTCCTCTGCTCGCGCGGGCCGACGAACTCGATGACGATGCCATCTCAGCAGCCAAGGACCTGATCTGCCAGCAGATCCAGGAGCAAGGGCTGGACTGCTTCTCTTTCTGCAGTCCTGAGAATGCCATGGACAATGTCCCCATCTTCGCTGTGTCCAGCGCAACCAGGGTCGATCACAGCATGATGGATGCAAGCGTCTTGATGAGCTCTGGCTATATTCAACCCTTGGTGCCCACGGATTTAGAGTCCCTAGTGCAAAACATTTTCACAGCCGAGGGATGCGCATGGCTTCGCCACAGCACCGCTGGCAAGTGTGTCCGATGGCGCAGGGAACGGATCCAGAATGCGGGCTTGCGCATGGCTCTCACCCACCGCGACCCGTCGAGATGCGCCATCAGTCCTGTCCTTACGGTCAACCCCTTCGCCCGGCGGTACTGGGATAGAGTCGAGTTATCAAACTGGGCGCAAGGCTTGCGACATAGCCTCGAGGCGGAGAGGCATCACCGAGCCGTCGCGCAGCAGCTGCTCGACGATATTTCCAAACAATCCGTCCGACCGAGAGACATGGTGGCAAGACCCAAGGACGAGGTCGCGCCGCAGAGGGTGAGGGCGAGGGACCCGGCTGATCTCGTGCACCAAGACCCCCTTGGTCTCCTGGATCTTGTGAGTCAAGCTAGGAAGAGTTGGCGCACGACTACAGAGCTGCTGAGTGCGCTCTGCGTGCTCGGTTGCGGAGTGGCCTGTGTTATCGGCCCGCGATGGTGGTCAGGTCACAGGATAGCACCTATCCCAATGGCTGGTGATGCGTTGGGGTGGTCGTGGTTAGAGGCATATGGGTGGCGTATCGGCTTAGTCTGAAAGGAATCTCTTCTCTTATTTATGTTCCATCGAATACCAATTTTCTTCTCCCGCATTACTCCACGGGGCCAACTAGTCTGGCCAGCGCAATTTGCGTATCAGATAATGGCGTACATACAATCTAAAATACAGGGACATGCTAGTTCTTTGCCAACGCTTCCAGCACCTCGTCGAAGTTCGGCATGTCGTCCGCCGACTTGTCGACGTGCGAGTATACCACTTTGCCAAACCGGTTGACCGCAAAGGCACCGCCCGTTTGCCAGCGGCTGCCGCTCTGCGTAGGTCGGTTCCAGATCCCCTCACCCGTGCCGAGCTTGTACACAGACCAGAGCACAGAGGGGCCCATGGTCGCCCACGCACTGCTCGGTCCCAGTCCCCACTGGGCGTAGAGATCGCGGTCCTCATCCACGACCACCTCTACATTCCACGAGCCGCCTACCTGGGGCACCCAGCGCTCCGTAGCCTCCTCCGAGGAGTGGGACACGGCGATGCACTGTATGTCTTTGTGGGCATCCGAGACTGCCGTCAGCGCTCTAAACGTCTTCTCGGCGACTGGAGCGTAGTGCGTCAACTTGTGTGACTGATTCACGATGCACCGACAATAAAAACTCACAAGGACAGCCACAATGACGGAGAAAGGCCACAATCGTCAGTTTCCCGGTGGGGAAGCTGAGTTTCGATGAAGATGGGGCATAGTCGTTGACTTGTGGAGCGGGCTTGACGTCCTTGGGTGGCAGCCATTTCAAGGAGTGAAGCTCGCCGCCGCCCTGAGGCGCTGACTGCGAGGGTCCGGACATGTTTGATAATTTGCAGGCAATTCGCTGGTCGGACGAATTACCTTATCCTTGAAGAATGATGCTGGTTTCGGCTGCCATGACGATGCTAACTAATAAAGCGGATGTGGCGGTTGACCAGGGTTCGAATGACATTCGCACGTCTTGACATTTTGCATCCACGCTACCCTGCAGCAGCTCGCAAACTCCCATCACACACAGACTGCATGTGCATCCAGAGACTTCTTCATCAAGCAAACGTCTCTGTTGCAAAGGCCATACTGTGCGATCGTAGCTCTGTCCCATCGCGGGTGGCTTCCTGTGCAGCAAGTCGACCATGAAGGAGATTATCACTCTCCAGCTGGGCAACCTCAGCAACTACGCTGCCACTCATTTTTGGAACGCGCAGGTGCGAATCATCACTGTCAAGATATCCGCCTGAGCTGACTATTGAACCAGGAATCGTATTTCACATATTCAGGGCAAGATGAGTCGCCTATAGATCACAACGTGCATTGGCGCCCGGGCATCGGCGCAGATGGCAGCGAAACCTTTCTTCCGCGAACAGTCATCTACGATTTGAAAGGGGGCTTCGGCTCGCTCAGGAAGATCAACGCCCTGTACGAGGCCGAGTCGGCATCAGACCACGCAGCGTCATCCCTGTGGTACGCACCAACCGCGGCTCAGCACACTCGAGCTTGATACTGACGAGTGTAACGTAGGTCGGGGCGGTCTGTCGTCCAGGAGCAACAGCCCATCGAGCAATCAGAATACCAGAAGAACCTCGACGCTGGCGCCGACACGTCGCAACTTACAAAGAATAAGGTCCGCTACTGGTCCGACTTCTCGCGCGTCTACTACCACCCAAAGTCTCTGGTCCAGCTCTACGACTATGAGCTCAACTCCACCATCAGACCCTTTGAGCGGTACTCGGCCGGCACCGAGCTGTTTGACTCGCTGGATAAGGAGCATGACATTGTGGACCGGGACATGCGTTCCTTTGTAGAAGAGTGCGATCGCATGCAGGGTATCCAAGCGCTCGCCACGCTGGACGATGCCTGGGGTGGCTTCTCTACAAAGTATCTCGAGGCGCTGCGTGACGAGTATCCAAAGACGTGTATATGGCTCTGGGGCCTGCAGAGCCCCATGCTGGACACGCCCAGGGAGAAGCGCCAGCTGCGCATGAGCAATGTCGCGCAGACGTTGGCCAGTACCTGCGCGTCCGCCTCCATGGTCGTGCCGCTGTCCATCCCCGAGAGTGGTCTGCCGCAGGACGTGCACATTGATCCACAATCGCCCTGGAGTACGGGTGCCGCCTTCGCGACGGCAATCGAGACGGCGACCATGGAGTCACGCATGACGGGGAGAAGCGACGCCGCACAGAACTCACTGTGGGATATCGTCGAAACGCTGAACGCGGGCGGCAGCCAGAACCTGTCCAAGCTGCGTATGCGAGTCGCTGCGTCGGTGGCGCACTTGGAGAAGAGTGGCTCTGACATGGACATGTTTGGCGTGGGGCAGCTGTTCAAGGGAATGTCGTTGACGCAGAAAACGGGCCGACGCCGCGTCTTTGGGCAACTGAGTACGCACAGGGGAGCAGCACCAGACGAGAACGAGATCAAGGGCGAAAATGAGGATCCTCGCGCTCGCAGACTGGTGGGAGATCCCATCCTACGAAGGTATGCTTGACTTTCGCCATGGACTCTGGTCCAGTGATGTTTACTGACTGCACAAAGGTTTGACACGCCACTGAAGTTTCCCATGCTTGATAGCTTCCCTGGGATATGGCCCGGAGCAGGCAAAGAGACCGCGGTGGATGTACAGACTGTTCTCTCCACAGAGACTTCAATCGGGCCCCCCATCAAGACTTTGAAGTCGCTGTCAGCCTGGTCTATCCCTCTGGATGAGCGTGAGACCGTCGCCAACGGTCTTTCTGAGATTGCAGACGCATATCAAGACGACTGGTCAAGCGGGAGTGACGAGGACGATGACGACGCATGATGAAAGTGATCGAGATCAGCGAGGCTCCGCGGCCCCAACATCCTTGTATTGATCTACCACGAGAGATATCTAAATACAAGAGCTGGCCTCAAAAGGCTCGGGGGACACTCAGGAGACCATGATCTATTACCATTATCTGCTTCTGTGCGCTGTGCCCAGCGCGAAGCGCTTGCCTCCACGGTGATTCGGGGGCGTCTACCTGTAGACTTCGTGCGACTAGCCCTGCCCATCAGGCGCATGTCGTCGGGTTGGTTTGCCAATTTTTTTCTGTGGGCGAAGACATTGTTCGCCTTTGAGGATAAAGTTGCGTGCTACATGTCAGTCAACGTCGCGAGGGGGTGAAGATCCTCGCCCGGCTGCGATACACGAGTAAGCTGCTTGAAGTTCAATAACCAAGTAAAGAGATGCGCAAGGTTGTAACCAGATTTGGAGCGAGACCTCCATGGTTTGTTGGCGCTTCAGCCCGCTGCCGTGAGCGAGGACTGTTGCCTTTTGGCGGGCGGCGGTTGAGAGTGGTCCTGGCCAATGTCAGCAATGTCTCTTCCTGCATTCTTGGAGAGTTACGCACCTCCGTAGCTTCGCGTTTGACACCACCAAGGGTGCTTTTAGCAGCCCCGGCTTTCTTCCCCTTCTTGGCAGGCTTCTTCTCGCCTGGCTCGAAAACGTCGTCGGGGAGATCAAAGCTGTGGACTGTGTGAGAAAGAGCTGCAGGAGGCGGACAATATGAACTCACTTCCGGCAATGCTTGACCGACACCGTCGACAGGTCTTGCAGGTCTTCGGTGTATTTCGGCCAACTCTCACACAGGCGACGGAACTCGTTAGTTTCGTATGCGAGATCCAGTTGCTTGGTATCTTAGACAATGTTAGCAAAACGCATGCAAGATTACCGGAATACGGCAAGGATCGAGAGAAACCAAGGACCCATGAATTCATGCGACGGCTGAGCTCCTGTTCAGTTGCTGCTCACCTTTTGCCAGCTCGAGTCCAATGTAGTGCGTCATGGTGTACACGTCCAGAGGTCGGTCGGGTCGAGGTTCGACTTTGACGGCGGGAGCTGGTGCCGGAGTGGCAACAGTTTCAGTCCCTTGCCCGTTTGCCATTTCCGGATCAGCCATTGCTGTCTGGGCTGGCGCGTCGTGGTTTGTCGGATGATCATCGTCCTCCTCCTTCCTCACAGTCCCGTTGAGTTGGGCATCCGCCTTTATAGCATGGGCTTCTCCGTTCGTGACCGAGGCACTGTCCTTTGTGGCCAACCCGTTCTCGCCAACGGTCTGCTGGGCAGGTTCTTCGGGAGGGTTCTCCGGTTCATCGGGACCTGCGACGTAGTCCAGACAATTTTCTTGCACCTGCTCAATCTCCTCGTATGAACGGCACTTATGGCGACGCTCATAGCCCTTGACAAAGGCGTGTGCCAGTTGAATGTACCGGTGGACCTCTAATTTCTGCACGAGCATGCGCACTTTGGATTCTACCAATCCCGACCACAGCTTGTGCGCTTCCTTGTTCCTGCTAGTGGCTATGACGCAAATATAGTGTTTGTAGCCTTGCGTGAAGAAAATATGCTTGTCAAAGAGTGTTTTCCAATCCTCTTTCTTCGTCATGATCTTTTCGGTGAGTTCAAATCCGCGTTCAAGTTCACGTTGGATGACGGCCTTTGACGAGTGTGTGACGTTGAAAGTGGCACACATGGAAGGGTACGCCGGGGTGATGATTGGCATCAAGTGCTTCCTGTCGCCAAAGTTTTTCTAGGGAGCTGTCAATACCAGGATGGGAGAGAGGGATCAAGGTGAGCATACCTCTGGATTCCAAATCCGCACAGGGAGAGGACCATCCTCGATGTCCTTCAAAAGACACGGTTTAGGCCAAGGCCATCTGCTCACAACGACAAAGAATCTGTTCACAACTACAGCAGCAGTCGCTCTGGGATAGAGTTGGCAGATACGCGCGACAAGCATAGCCCACGCAACACCCCCGGGGAAACCCATGATATTTGCGTACACTGCTCTACGCTGAGCCCAGAGTTTGATGGCTCGCAGGGCAGTACGGAACGTACTCAACTCAGGAACCAGGTCGAGGATCTCATCTGTGACGCGTGTGCCGTTGACGGAGCGCAGTTCCTGCTCGTCCAGACCCCGAAGAATCGACGAGTCCTTCAGGTTGAGATCGGGTGACAGTTGTTTCTGCATGATTCTCGAAAATATCAAGTCGATACTGATGCCAGAGTACTCGAACTTGATGATTGGAACAAACGCACCCTCCACCGGTGTCAAGCCTGTGATGGCTCCTTCGGGTGCCATCTCTAGGAGCAGATTTGGAAAGTGCTTGAAGTAGTCTTCGCGATTCACATATCTCGGCGCCACGACGAGTGTGTCAATGTCGGAACCAGGACCATACACCTTGAGGCGGTAACTGCCGTACGTGAAGACTCGACCGATGGCATTGCGGATAAGGAGTTCGTTTTCGGGATCCTTCTCTCGCGCGACTCGCTTGACGAACTCGTTGCATATGCTCTCGAGACTGCTCAAAACTTGCTCCCTGTATAGCGGACGAATGATTAGCGAGATCGGCACTAGTGCGAGCGCAGATTGCGGGCTTGCCTTTTGTTTGTTTCAGCTGGGCTTTCGAACGTCTTTTGACGTTTAAGCTCCTCGAGCAACGCCGCCGTGCGATCGAGCTCTTCCCTCGTCGGAAGGTCAGACTTGATCGGCGGCGTGACGCCAAGCATGCGCGCTGGAGCACTCATCCTTCCAGAGTGCTTTTGGAAGAAATGATGTGGCCTGTAGGTGTGGGCAACGTAGCGAGGAAGGGTATCGTATCAGCCTTGGTCAAGAACCGCGCTGGGTTGTCGAAAATGTTCCACGTCAACGCATGAGTGCTGTGTCGCGTCGTTCAAATCCACCGCTTCTCTCGGAGGCGCAGACGAACCTGCACCGCCTTGCTGGGGATAGTCGGACGATGTGGGCTAAAGAAAATCAGACCTGCGCCAGCAGATCATCAATGAAGAGAGTACGGATAGGCGCTACTAAAATGCAAGATGTTTCGATGACCGCGACCGGGGAAGAGAGGTGCGTCGCTGCACGACAAGCCACAAGCCCCAGGCCACTAAGCTTCGGCCAGGCGGGGCCGGTGCGAAATTCGCTTTTGTACGTGGAAGCACCAGTATTAGCCTTAGCAAGCAGTTTAATACTCAGGGTACTGGAAGTATGTCATGCAACAAGTACATTGGAGGACCCCAGAGAGGATGTCTAATTGGTGCATTCGACATGAATGCCCGATTTCCAAGTCTGATTCACCTAAAGGCATTGCCTCGTCACGCAGTGGTGTCACCAGCCGGGTGTCAATAAATGTCCGTCTCAAGTTTTACACTAGCTCACTAACCTTTTCCGGAGAAGCGCAAACCCTGACAAGGCCCCTCCGTTGGAGAGCCCTGGACTACCACTGGCTGCAGCGCTGCAGCGACACTGCGACAGTGACCTGGTTGGTGGCAGGAGCTGCACTCAACGCGAAGGTCCAGTCGGGACGCGCCTGGCCTTCGACTATGCAGACTTTAAATGTGAACTTTGGCTTCACCAACAACTTCGCTACCCCTTCACAAATTTGTCAACAATAAATTCGACTTGCTGCGCTTGCTCTCTGACCAAGGGGTACCAAGGCGAATATATTATTATTAAATCGGCTCTCCAACTCGGTTTCCAAACTCGGCTCACTTTGGACAACCTCGAGATTGTTTACCCCCAGCCGCAGTATTCTCGAGCATCAGTTCTTTTCGCTGCGCCAACCCACCCGCGCGCCAGCATTCCTACCACGGTGGCAACCACAATAAACCCGCAACATCGACATTGCAACAACGTCTTTGCCATCTCTGCGACCTTGTTCAACCTCAATCCCGACGCAAGCGACTGCCATGCCGACTCCCAAGCGGTCGTCGCTGCGCAAGCGTCGTGACGTGCAACAGGACCCTCCCTCTTCCGATCCTGCTGAGGAACAAGTAACCCCAACTCGACCAGCCAAGAGGCGACGCAAGGTACGGACAATACCCTTGCCCCTTACTGGGAAACATGATCTGACCATGAATGCAGGAGTCTGACGATGAGCGCCCCGAGACTGACACTGCGCACGATCCCGACACCGAGACCGAACAGACTTCCGCATCCGTCCCGAAAGTTGATGACGATGCGACCCTGACTAAAGTGATCGGATTTCTAAAGACACAGCCTGTACAGGCCAGCAAAGATCACGCCAACTCTATCCACGAAGCCAATGGTGATGGAGTGAAAGCATACGCCAAGATTGCCGCACATGACTGGACGTACTATATCACGAAGCTTTCTGTCAACATTGGTCGTGAGCCCGAGGGCGCAAGCCATGAAGCGATGACTCCAAGCAAGGCAGCCCCCAAGACGAATGGGGACACCGACGAGGACGGGTACGACGACGATCAGGTTCACATCGACCTGGGACCCAGCAAGACTGTTTCACGAGAGCACGCTGTCATCTCTTTCGATGCGCACAACGAGAAATGGGTAATTACTGTTAAGGGTCGAAATGGTGTCAAGGTCGACACGAAGCAGCTGAAGCCCAACGAGACGCATGCTCTCTCAAGCGGCGAAGCCATGGAGATTGGCGGCGTGGAGATGCTGTTTGTTCTTCCTTCAGAGATCAGTCCGCTCCATATCCATCCTACTATCCTGGACAGGGCAGGTCTGGACCCTGGCCCGGGCTTCTTCAGGACGCCCCGCCGTCCTGCTACTTACAACCCGTCCAGCGGGCCACACGGGAACATTGGTACACCACCTTCATCCTTACCGAGTCGTACGGCACTGGCTACAACGAGGTCTCCGCTTCTGAGTACGCCTGGAGCGGTCATCGTGGGCGCCAATGGCGCCGATCTAAGTAAAGAGGAAAACAAGCATATCAAACCACAGTACAGCTACGCACAGATGATTACCCAGGCAATCACATCAGTACCCGAGTCAAAGTTGACATTGAACGGAATTTACACCTACATTGTCAACCAGTACGCGTACTACCGTAACCAGCCCCCGTCGGGTTGGCAGGTATGTTCACACCATGCACTCACTGTCGGATGCAGCAAAGCTAACAGCCCACAGAATTCTATCAGGCACAACCTGTCTTTAAATAAGCACTTTGAGAAAGTCGCCAGATCAACGTACGAACCTGGAAAAGGTGCCAAGTGGCAAATTGTCCCAGAGTCCAAGGAGAACCTCGTCCGGACGGCCTGGCGCATCGGTCGCGGTGGGCATCGTGGTTCGTCTGCGCCCTCCTCACCAGGTAACCTCACCTACTTGGCCTCGGGCCCGCGGGAAATGGCGAGCAATGCTACTCCCATCAGGAACAGACAGAGTTCAATGCTCGGTTCGCCACAACCCAAGTCCTCGCTACCAATGTCGCAGACACCTGACGCGACTTCACAGCAACCTCGACGGGCCAACGCAACCCTGACCGCGGACGGTAGTCCTCTCCCCCGGTCTAAGAAGATTGCCTCGGACGACCCGTCCTTTTCCGTCAACCCCCAATCACCAACCCTGACGTCCTCGTACTACCAAGACGACGCCGGAGGTTCCTTCGTCACGCCAGCGCCCCCTCGGGTGCACCCGCGGTTGGCCCCCCCTAGCACTGCCCAACGGCCCAGTCAGCACATGCCGACAAGCTCACCCGCACCGTTCTGGAGGTATGCGGACTATAACAGCACGCCACTTCGACCTGCGGCGGATGTCGAGCCCGCAGGGAGCCCTACCAAAGGCGCTCCTGCTCTCCCGCCTCCTCAGGACAGCAGCCCCATCCGTGGGCACAGGGCATTGCCCAGCAGTCCTGCACGCGTCGCCAATGAAGAGCGTGCCAAGACAGAGCCTGCTGCGGAAGACGAGGCCCAGGGGGCTGGCGAGGACACTGCAGATCAAGAGGAAGAGGAGTTTGACCTTGCCAAGTGAGTATCATTGTTGACCATGGAAATATTGCAGAGCTAACTCTGGCACAGGGGGTTTCAAAGCATTAACACATACCATGCAGAACCAAGGAATGGTCTGGCTGGTGTCAGCGAAAGATAGAGACTGCTGTTCCTCAAGGCTGGGCTAGCCCACGGCCCGTAATGTTCAAGGCTTTGTAGTACAGTCTGTGTCAGCTTCATGGGTACCGATGTTGGGATAGTCTTAGGAACATGTTTGGAGTCGGAGCGCGACAAACATTGAGCATTGTGTGGAACACGAGAAGGCTTTGTTTGTTATTCGCTTGGTGCAACCATGTTGCCAACATCAGCGCAGCCCCTTGGCGGGAAGAAGAAGAATCCTCAGGGACCATTGAGATTCAAGGACGGAAAGTTCCTTTTGCTCGTTGTTTGTATTGAGTGAAGATATTAACCAAATGTTCCAACGCGACACCCGTATGCTATGCAAATGCCCAACCCCCCTACCTATGACGGAGTCCGACCTTTTTTTCCTTCCCACGTGCCCCCATGACCGCTTCATATTCCCAGCATAGCTCTAAATACGCACCTACATACATGATGTATATATGTTTTTGTATGGATGCGACCCTTGCAGCCCGACTTTATACAGCACTCATGTGTGTTAATACAGGACCAAAGCCATTGGGTGCGCATCCCAATCAGTTGGCGGCACGGCCACGCCTCTTAGGGTTGCCCTGAGCAGGTCGCTTCTTGGATGGCTTGGACTGCTGGTCACCGCCCTCGATGAACTTGATGAGCTCGTCGACGCTGCGGGAATCCACCTGCGGCGCCGTGCGCACGGCGGCGGGCTCCACGACACCGGAGGTGGACGTGGGGAAGCGGATGCCGGAGCGGATGCGCTTCGCCTGGGCGTCCTTTGCGTGCTTAGCGATGGACACGGCATTCTGCGTCAGCTGCTCCAGCCAGGTCTCGGCCTCCTTTGTGTTCTTGTCCTCGGGGCCGAGCTCGGCGTGGAAGACGTTGTACGACTCGCGCATGCGATTGACAGCGGCCTTGGAGTCGTGGTCCAACGCGAGAGCCTGCGCCAGCTGGAAGAGCAGCGTGGCCGAGTTGACGGACTGCTTGCCAAAGACGGACTCGCAGACCCGCAGGGACTCCTCGAACCAGAGGCGGGACTCGTGGTAGCCCTTGACGTGCTGCAGCATGACGGCGGCGTTGTTGAGCGTGGTAATGGAGTCCGGGTGGTCCGGGCCGTAGATGATCTTCCACAGCTTGAGCGCGTGCTTGGTGTAGACCAGGGCATTCTTGCTGTCGCCCGTCTGGTGGAGGAACAGACTCAGGTTGAGATAGTTAAGGAGTGTCTCGGCCGAGTCGACGCCGACTGTCCTCTCGGCGACAACGATGGCCTTGCGGGCGAGCTCGACGGCGGCCTCCTTGTCGTCCAGATTGTAGTAGAGCATCGACAGAGTGTTGTATACGCGCGCGACCTCGGGGTGGAGGATGCCGTAGATCTGCTCGTGCAGGGACAGTGACTCGAGGAGGAGCTCCTGGCCCAGCTTCTTCTGGCCCTGCATCAGCGACAGGCGGCCTGCTTCGAGAGCTTCCTCCGCGAGGGCGCTACGAGGGCACGAGTGCTTGACGACGGGCACAATGTCGACAATGTCGTCGGGGATAAAGGTGGTGGTGCGGGCGGCAGACGGAACAGGCTTGGCGGGGGAGGCCTCGCGGGCCTTGCTCTTCTTCTTCTTCTTGCCGTCAGACTGGCCGTTGGCCTGACCGTTCGTCTTTGTCGCCTCGGGCTTGTTCTCAGCTTGTGGCTCTTCAGCACTCTGGGAAGCGGTGTACGAGTAGTCGCGGGCTTCGAGCTGGATGCCCAAGCGCAGGCAGACCTCACGGAGTTGCTGATTCGGGCGGGTGAAATTGTACCACTCGCCCTCAAGCTCGTGGCGGAAGCGCTTCAGCGCCTGCGCCTCAATCTCCTCGCGGAGACTCACAGGGGTAACCTGTTCGAAAGACCAGTCGGCATCGGGGTACAGGCCCTTGAGGGACTCGTCGACTTGAGCAGCTGGCTTGTTGTTCATCTGGTGACCGAGCAGGCAGTTGAGCAGATGAGCGACACAGGCTGTGGTGGCGAAGACAGGGAGCGTCTTGAGATACTTGGCAGCAACATGCTTGAAGGAGCGAGTGATCATGTCTTGAATGCACAGCTCACGCAGGCACGCCAAGCGGTCATCGGTGCACAGCCAGGCAATGGTGCCCAAGTACCGGACGTTGATGCCGCGCTTGTGTAGGAGGCGGCTCAGGGACTGTCCATCCATGGGGAAGCTGATGTCAGATTCCGTCAACTCCTTTAGGAGCTCGGGAATGATGTTGTCGCGAAGGTACTGTCCAACCTCGCGGACGTTCTTCTCATCTTCGGCCCACTCAGCCTTCTCTTCTTCCGTCTTGGGCTGCTGTCCGCTGAAAGCATCCGGGTTCAAGGCGAACTTGAACTTGGAGACAGCCTCTTGGGTCTTTGCCTTGGACTCTTCCTCTTCCTTCTGCTTAGCAGCCTTTGCTTCTGCAGACTCTTCACCACCCTCGGGCGCGTTTTCGACCTTGGCCTTGGTGTCGTTGCTAACGCCATTGCGGGCCAATTCCTCGTTAACAAACTGCCTCATCTTGAAGCGCGCATAGATGTCAATCAATTCGGGTCGCAGAACCGTCATACGGTGAGGATACGTCGTCGACTCATCATCTTCGTCATCATCCTCTTCCAGCCAGTTGATGTCGAGTGGCGTGATTCGGTAGAGGTCCAGAGCGTATTTGCGGCCATCAGTCCCCATCAAGCCCTTGGTCTCCACGCTGCCTTCGAGGTCGAAGCGCTTGCCCTCCTTGTCCCACACAGGGTGCTTCTTGACCCTCAGGGACTTGGACAAGGTGGCGAAAACCTCAGTGAAACGCTCATCTGCGGCGACGGCGTCCTTGCCGTCCAGAGCACCGTAGTCGATCTGGCTCTCGCCAGGCTCTGGCTGCCTGAAGATACCGGGGACAATACTTTGAGCGACGATGCGCTTGCCAAGGTAATCCACCAAGACAGTGGCAGGGGTGTACAGGCCGTCAATGTCCAGTTGGTTCACTAGCTGCACACCGGCAATGTCCTTGCCTGTGGCGACGCGGGCGGCATCGTCTCCGCCCTCTGAGGTGAACGTGCCGACACCGTCCGCACCGAATGAGAAAAAGATGTTGTTGTAGACAAAGATCTGAGCGTCGCGGCACTCGGTCGGGTTCAGGGGAGGAATCTCGTCACGCGCGATCATGACAGCGCCACGAACAGCGGCGTCATTGTAGTCCGCGAACAGCTTGTTGATAAGACGCTCACGGAAGACACGGTCCTGTACAGACTCCTTGGGCAGCTCCTTTGCGGACGTGAACTCCTCGTTCCAGTCACGCAGAGTGTCCTGGTTGTCGACGCCGGACAGGAGGTATGGCTCCTGGGGCCGGGTTGCATCAGGCACGTGTGTGCAGAGCGACGACGTTGGCGCAGGGACAGCCCATGGCGAGGCGGGAATAGCATTGCTGATCTGGAAAGTGGCCAGGGGGTCGCGCAAGTTGCTGTGCTCCTGTAGCTGAACAAAAGTCTCGGCAAACGATGCGGAGATCTGGGGCAGCAAATCCAGGAGTGAGTGAGCGGCGGCCGCCTTGGGGGCAGGCTTGGGGAAAGGATCCAACTTGGCGTTGGATGACTTGTTGACGAAGAAGCCGGACACGTGAGCAGTAATCTGGTATTGTTCGCCTTCGTTTGTGCCCACGAGGAGGTACAGAAGGTGACCACGCTGGCGCAGGTGAGGAGGTGGAGGGTTCCAAGGCGACAGCGATATGGTCTTGACAGTCTTTGGCGGGGTGCCTGTGAACATGGGAACCAGCGACGTCAGGGACGGGGCTGCCGCAAAGTCATAGTCCTTGACTGGACTCTGAGCCTGCTCAGCGTTGGCCTGTTGCTGTGCATCATGTGTGACTGTCTCGAAAAGAGAGGCTCCGGACAATACGCCCTGTGTGGTGTCTGTCCGATCACCAGCAGCGCCGATCAACTCTCTGATTCTGACCAGGTGAATCCGTGCCTCCTTTTCGGTGTATGGGTCCTGCACAACACGGAATTCGGGCTCGGTGCCAAGGTCGGGGATCTCGGAAAGAGGAATAAAGTCATTGATCTTTTGGCCATTGTGCTCGAGGTGGAAGCAGGTGTACCGGAGGGCTGAGGGAAGGTCAATGATGGACTGTCGAATCTCGTGGACCTGCTCTTGCGTCGAGACCTAGATACGACACATTAGCACCGCCTCGAAGATAAATGCGCAGGCACTGCATACAGGTATTTGGATCTTCTCGGCGTCAGGGTCTGGTAGGACGATTGTGAGGGTCACAAGAGCTATTGGGCCATCAGCAAGTTGGTCGTGTGGTCGGTCTGCTGTAAGCGGGCATTACCGTCGGCGACAGGGTCGGTCTCCTCAGGGACCGCCTCATGCTCACCAGCCTCAGTGTTCTTGTTGGCTAGGGCGAGAAGACTCGTGTCAGCACAATTGCATATTCCAGTGTAACACGAGGAAAGGAAGGCCAGGCGCTGGTCACTACTAGTAAGTAGCTGCAAGGAGGTACGTACCTGGGGCAGAGGTAGGCTCCTCGGCTTTGGTCGCCATGGTGGAAGCCGGAGTACCAGAAGCTCAATGGGGGAATTACAATAATACGGATAGAAGCCGAGAACCGGTTCTTGAGCCAACAAGACCGCAATCGACGTGGTGTATATTAGAAAGGATTCGGGGTTGTTTGTTAGTTCGGGGTTCAGCTCGAGAGGGCGTCACCGAATTTTGGAAATTTTTTGGACCTTCGACAGGCGGGCGGGCGCGGGCAGGCTGAGGCAGGTGGCATCGACTACCCCGGCAATAGCCCGTCATCCGCCGAACCGTAAGCGAAGATCCCGATACCGCACAATGCCAATTGCTATGCTCACTCGCGTCAAAACAGCGACATTTGTAGACCAAGTTGCATTTCTTGATCCTTCCATTGTTCATGCTCTAACTAATACGAACACCGCATTTTCCTTCAATAATTCTGAAGGATAGCTCAGCTATAATCATTAGTCATTGCTTCTCCTTCATTTTAGCTCATGTGTCGATACTTTTCATAATATGGGAAGGACATGCTTGCCGCACCTGCCTCACGCGACGGTGGTACGCGTCGAGACGCAGCTTCACGAGGCCCGACGTCCACCACACCCACGCTGCTAACGACCAGAGTCACTTTCGCAGACGAAACCAGAGATGGATACTGGACTGCTGACCGCTGTGTGGCCCTACTAGCCCAGCTCGAGTCGCAGCTCGCAGCTCTGCGCAGACTGGCTGGTGAGGCAAAGTATTGTGCATCCAACGTTAGCTCAGATGCACCCGCGAATCCGAACGCCAACAAGATTGGCTCAACAATACCCAATGCCAAAAGGAAACGAGTCTACCAAACCTACAGCTCTGACCACGTCCGGAAGAGCAAACAGAGGACAAATCGCACAGCAGCGACGCCTCCACGCAAGTCGCGTGTCTATGGAGAGCTTAGGAGAAGCCAGCAGTCGCCTTCTGCCAACCAACTTGCTGTCATCACGCCCATCTGCGTGAAGAACCGCAGAACCGTTGCTCGTCCATCCGAAACCTACACCACGCAGAACGAACGTTCCGAGCCTCTCGACGACGACGAGCCACCATGTCCTCTCGATGAATCGCTTCAATCTTTTCGTGCCCGCATCGGCGAGGTGCGCTACCGTATTTACGGCACCATCTTTGACTGGCTCAGGGACCTCTTCCTGGCGACAGCAGCGACGCGGAACGACCCTCACTCAAAGTCACTTTTAAGCATGTGCCTGCGGCGGGTGCCAGAATATGCCGAGCGTATTGAAGAATATGATAGGCAAAGATTCGCCGCTGATGCTATGGAGAGGCCCTCCTCTCGCGCAAGCGCTACATTGGATCTTTACTCTCAATTAGAAACACTCGGCCATGGCCCGCGGAGCCGGGCTCTCATTTTACGAGCCATACGCGCTCACGGCGTGCTGATCATAGCGAGGAGCGTCGGAAAAGGCCTCCTCGACCCTTCATTCACCAGCCTGCTCGTGGACTTGTGCTTGAGCATGGGTTGCGTTCGCGAAGCTGTGCGCATCACCAGCGCAATTGCATGGCCATTACCTCGGCCACGGAAGGCTACGAGTTATCTGGCTGAGAGCTCACGGTCCCTGCCAACCCATGCCTTGCTGTCTGTTCTAAGTGAGCGGAGCGGTCGTCGATGCGGACTCGTATTTGGTCATGTTTCAGACCTACTCAAAGAGAAACGGCTCCCCCCGTCGTGGATCCACACAGGCCCCTTCACCGAAGTCTTGACATATGCCGTCAAGGCCGTCAGAGATGGGCCATGTGCCGCCGCGGCAGTTGAATTGCTGGCTCTCAGCGCCAACTTGGCCATGCACGGCAACAGCTCACAATTGCAGGCCGAGAGAGGCGGTTGCCGTTACCAGACACTGGTACGCATCGCGGCAGGCTTAGGTACAGCAGCCATCATGGCTAGAAGAAGAAACGAGAGCTCTGCCGCGCAAAGCGGCTCCCTCAAACGGCTCTGCTATACCCTGAGATTGTGCGCCAGCCGTTCCTGCGAGCAGTCGTTGAAACAAAGAGGCCCAAGGGCCTTTCTCTTTGCTTTTGCAGAACTCATTGTCTTCATCGACTCCGAACACTGTGCGTTTGACGCACAAAAGACAGTGTCACACATCTTGACCACTACATTAGAATCGCAGGACGAGTATTTGTATCTTGCGCTGCGTCTGATGCGGGCCATGGGCCGGGTATTAGCGCGCGGAAAGGACGCCTCTTATGCCCATGTTGACCTTGTACAGTTCTCCAGAGGATTGAAATGGCAGCGACTGCCGGTTTGGTTTCTTCAGGGGCTCGATGAAGCCGAAAGAGACCTTGGTTTCGTTTTACATGCTTCAAATAAGGCGCCAGGGGCTGGCGCTCCCGCAGCTGGGGCGTGGACACCACCACCGGGCTGGGTTTGGGAGGACGGCATAGGCGAATGGACTCGCAGCGCTTCTTGAAAACCGGAACATATGTTGTGACGCTTCCCCTCAATATCGGACCATGGGTCGTCAGCCTTTGTCAGGACTCAGATAGCGTTCTCCACCCCGGCCGGAGACTTGGCTGAACAAGGCTCCCCATGCCGATGTTTAATAATGCACAAACATGACAGGCTTGACAGCCCCGAGGTTCAGAGAGGTACGTACATGTACGTTCGTGTAATGCGGAGAACTTTAAAGATGAGCGGGCCACGCTCATCTCACGGGCTGTTTCATACATATACATGTGTTGGTTCAATGACCACGGGTCATTATATTCAACTTTGTGCACAAGTGACAGCATGCGTGCAACGAGCTCGAGCGTATCTTGACTACCGTAAACAGACCCTGAGTGCAGAATTCCCAACTTCTCGTTGGATTCATATCGGCAAGAGACCCGACTCATCGCCTGGGCAGTGGACCATCCCGAGCCAACAGCCACCGCCCTGGCTTGTTGGCTGAGTGCCAACGTGGCTGGCGGTTACTGCCAGTCAAGCATCCGGCGCATACCAGGGCGGAGGCCATGATTGGACGGCACGCATTGAACGGTTGTTTCACATTAAAAGACTCGGGCACCACAGCAGCTGTCTTTTTCGATGGCTGCAGAGATTTGCGTCGACGTTTGTTGTTGATAGAGAGCCAGCCATGTCATGCAGCGTCAATTACGGATAATAAACATCCTTCTCTGTTTCTGCGCTCCGAGTTGGCGGCTGCCAGGGATCGCCATCTGCCGACAGAACGACAGGGGCTTGCTTCCGCAATCCACAAAGTCGCCCAGCTCAATCTACGTATCGTCGCAGCGAATCGGGCAATGAATCCTACCGTCATCGTAGTAGCTGGCATGCACGATTATGAGCACACGCTGGTCTTGCCATACGGCTGCGAGAATTGTCCAAGCCGGCTGGCAGCATAGACACGTAGCCAGCCCAGCCCGCCAGCCCGCAGACAAACAAGCCCTGGACAGCTGGCACCCGGCCACGCCTGACCAGGACATGGACCCGTCGGCCGTGAAACACGACAAACAAAGGTGAGCTTTTGTGAGTTCCAGATCTCGTTTCGGGCCAAGGAACCGGGGCCAGAGCGCGGTGGGGATCGCCGCCCTTGGCACCAGGCACTGTTGGCAGGGCCCCCTTTCCGAGCATCGATCCATACCCCAAAGGGCTGGCTCATGAACATCCAAAACACAAGCCCTCCCGCTGCCGTTTTCCAATCCACTTGCGCGTGCCAGTTCGATCTGGTGCTCGTCTTTCATTTCACTCAGACTTTCATTCATCTCTGGGCAGTGCCTTGCTTGAATCCTTGTCCCGGTGTCTTGGATCAAATTCTTGCCTGTGGCCCACGAGCTGGTTCTCAGTTTTCTCACTCTCTCATCTGTAGACTGTCTCTCATTTTCAAGTCACCCTACCTCGACTCGTCTCCCTGCTCTGGTCAGTAGTCAGTCACGAAGGACGCCCTTCTTTCTTCAATCCCCCGTGGCCAGACACAAACATCAACGACGCAGCCTTTTCGATCCCTGCCAGTCGACACTCGCCCTCTGCACTGCGGGTGATCTGCCTCTGCGCCCGTGGCGATCCTGTCATTCCTTTGCAAACAAAGATCACACATGCATAAAAACACACATATGCACACGCACCGCTCGCACTCGCCTATCATGGATGCTGGCAATCCTACGGTACAGGCGCGAGGAGGTGGGTATGAGATGACACCCGAGCAGATCGCTGCAGCCATCCAAGCCAGTAGCGACAATGAGAGGTTGTCCGACTATCTCTACATCATCTGTGGTGCTGTCTCTGCAGCAGTCATTCTCTGGAAAATATTCGACGTCACGTCGAAATGGGTTCGCACCGTGGTCTGTGTCAACGATGACCATCAACGGTACTTTACCCAGCCTCGCCCAAAGGCCGCCTTTATCAAGGAAAACATCCTCTACGCACCGGTCAGTATCATGTACTGCCATGTAGACGACGGACGCTGACAGCGCTACCAGATCTTCCGCAAGCGACACAACCGAGAGATCCAACTCAGCAGCGCCATCAACGTGGGCACGCTCCCCAGCAGATTCCAGCTCCTCTTCCTCGTCGCCTACTTTGCCACCAACGTGGTCTTCTGCTGCATCGACCTCAACTTCTCCTTGACCTACGAAGAAGTAGCTCGTCTGCTGAGAAACCGTACAGGCGTGCTGTCGGTTGTGAACATGATCCCGCTGTTTCTCCTGGCTGGCAGGAACAACCCTCTCATCACGCTTCTCGGCATCTCCTTTGACACCTGTGAGTGGCCGTGACCCTTTCGAGGTACCGAAGCATACTAACAACCTCCAGACAACCTGATTCACCGATGGATGGGGCGAATCGTCATCTTGGAGGCTGTGGCCCACACGCTCGCCCATCTCGCCAAGGGTGGATGGGGCGACGCTGTACCCGGCATCTTCGCCAGCCCCTTTCTCCTCTGGGGGTTCATCGCCACCATCGCCTTTGTCTTTCTCGGCATCCAGGCATGGAGTCCGATTCGCCACGCCTTCTACGAAGTCTTCAAGATCCTCCACATCGCCGTCGCCGCCCTCTCCCTCGTCGGACTCTGGTATCACATCAAGCTCGGCGAGCTTGATCAGATGCGCTACCTCTACGCCGTCATGGGCCTCTGGGTGGCCGACCGCGGCGCCCGCGTGCTCCGCCTCGTGTACAACAACATCGGCCTGCGCCAGCGAACGAGAACGGTACTCGAGGCCTTGCCCGGCGACACGGTCCGAGTCACAATGACCCTGGCCCGCCCATGGCGCGCACGCCCAGGCCAGCACGCCTACCTGTACTTCCCCACTATGAGCTTGTGGCAGTCCCACCCCTTCTCCGTTTCCTGGGTGGACGACACCGACGACGTGACCTCGGACAGGCTTGCCAGCAACCACCAGGACCGGGCGGCGATGCGGAAGATGCAGGTGGCTTTTGTCATCAGGGCGCGCACAGGGTTCACCAACACGTTGTACCAGAAGGTCGCCAAGGCGCCTGGCGGCCGGATGGACGCCATGTGCTTCGTGGAGGGCCCCTACGGCGTGTGCCAGCCGCTTGACTCGTACGGCACCGTCGTGCTGTTCGCGGGCGGTGTCGGCATCACGCACCAGGTTCCCTACATCAAGGAGCTGATCCAGGGCTACGCGCAGGGCAAGGTCGCCACGCGCAAGATCACCCTCGTGTGGACGATCCCCAGCCCGGAGCACCTGGAGTGGATCCGCCCCTGGATGACATCGATCCTGTCCATGGACAAGCGCCGGGACATTCTGCGCGTGTCCATCTTTGTGACCAACCCCCGGTCGACCAAGGAGATTCACAGCCCGTCGTCGACCGTGCAAATGTTCCCGGGCCGCCCCAACATCGAGACCCTCCTGTCGCGCGAGCAGGAGCAGCAGGTGGGCTCGTGCTGCGTCACGGTCTGCGGGCCCGGCGCCCTCGCGGACGAAGTCAGGCGGGTGGTGAGGAGCAAGCAAAGCCGCAGCAGCATGGATTTCATCGAGGAGGCCTTCTCCTGGTAGGAGTCGCAAGAGACCTAGATACCTTTTGATGTACATATTCAGAGTTTGCCGAACGCATCACAACCCCGGAGAGAGCGGACAGGCAGTCATTACAGACGGGATTACATACACATGTGTGCATTCATGCATTGCCTTTACACCTAGCTGACTGTGATTTCGCCCACATCGCGCCTGTGAATCTTTGCAGTGATTAATGGGCATCACTGCGGCTTCTATCGCTTCTGTGAAAGCTTGCCGAGCTCGGCTGCAGGGTCTGGCTGCATGGTCATCCGCGAAGGATCATTTACCTCAATCGACAACGTGCGCATCAGCCACCCCTGGCAGATGCCACTCGCGATCACCGATTCATAGTACGTACTAGCCAATCTGCGATGCCTGTTGATCGTAAGCCAGAGCGGCAGTTGGCTCGAGATAATGGTTCTTGTGACGCCTTGCACAGAACACGCTCTGAAGCTCAAGTAGCTGACGGATACACCCTCTAGTCGTGTAGGCCAGTAGCCTCCGTTAAATCTGGCAGAAATTGGAAGTGGTCATGCCGCTGCTGAGGAGATGAGACACAATCGCCAGACACGAGCTGGAATGGATTGGCATCATGGATCATGGTCGGTGTGGAGTCTGGGCACAGGTGAAAGCTTCAAGAAATACGTGAAGGATGCCGCCCAGAGCGGGGGGGAACTGTCTAAGCGGGTGATGCGCATAACGGGTTATCGTCGTTCCTGCATGGACTCTCGGTCAGCTGCGAGCGTCACGCGAGGCGACAATAGGCTCCGAGTCTATTGAGCATCTGCCCGCAGAATACGGGCGCTCAATTCTGTGTCCTTGGAGTTCGCGCGGAGAAAGGCTCAGTCTCTCCCTCTCAATCTTTGTCTACATTTGCCATCTGTCCCATCGCTTGCTTGCTTCATCGCCCACCCACGGCAAGCTACCTTATTGCCCCCCCAACTCCGACGGTCGGCCACTTGGCGTCATCCCGAGGCATCATGGCCACACGAACAGCCATCCCCTTCCTCGTGGGGATGATGCTGCTGACAGGCGTCTGCAACACCCTCCTGACCAAATATCAAGTACGTCGTAGACCATAGCTGCGAGGAATTCCCAGATCGTTGGTGTGTTGACCAACAATGTGCAGGACAACCAATGCGTGCGCGACTGCGAGAATGTGAACCCGAACAAGCGAAAGGCCTTTGAGCAGCCTGTCCTGCAAACGGCGCAGATGTTCGTCGGAGAAATGGGATGCTGGCTCGTCGTTGGTCTCCTGGCCCTCCGGACGCGCTTCTTCTCCAACAAGTCCCCGGCGGCGCGCGGCTACGAGGCTGTCGACACGCACGATCGCGGAGACAGTGATCCCATTGCAGAGGATATGGAGGGATCTTTCAAGGGCCAATCGGTCTTGCGCGGTGCCAGGGTCACTCTGCTGGCACTGCCAGCCATCTGCGACAGTACGAAGGCCCCCTAAGCGTCGCTTTGACTACAAAGTACCTTTCATAGCTGACATCTGTGCCAGTTTGTGGCACGACGTTGATGAACGCCGGTCTGTTGCTGGTCGCCGCGTCCATCTACCAGATGACCCGAGGCGCCCTCGTCCTCTTCGTTGGGCTCTTCAGCGTCGTATTCCTCAAGCGCCACCTCCACCTTTTCCAGTGGCTGTCGCTGGTCGGTGTCGTGCTCGGCGTAGCTGTTGTCGGCCTGTCGGGGGCCATCTGGCCGGACGAGCAGAAGATCCCGCAGGACGGGAAATTCAGCGACGATGCCGAGGTCGGCGGATTGTCTGACACGGCGGCGGCGGTGATTGGCGTGCTCCTCATCGCCGGCGCGCAGATCTTCACGGCGACGCAGTTCGTCTTGGAAGAGTGGATCCTCGAGCACTCAGACATTGAGCCGCTGCGTGTTGTGGGCTGGGAGGGTATCTTTGGGTTCAGCGTGACGATGCTTGTCATGGTCGTGCTGCACCTGGCCATTGGCCGTACGGATGCCGGACGCTATGGGTACTTTGATGCCGTTGAGGGCTGGCGGCAGATGACGACGAACCCCAAGATTGGGTACACCAGTCTCCTGATCATGATCAGCATTGGGTAAGCGGCCTGCACTTTTCGAGGGAAGAATCTTTCTGATACTGACATTTCCAGTGGTTTCAACTACTTTGGCCTCGCGGTCACTCGCACCGTGAGCGCGACCTCGCGATCAACCATTGACACATGCCGCACGCTCTTCATCTGGATCGTCTCGCTTGGCTTGGGCTGGGAGAAGTTCAAGTGGCTGCAGATTGTCGGCTTCGCTCTCCTGGTCTACTCGACTTTCCTCTACAATGGCATCGTCCAGCCGCCTCTCAAGTGCTTGCAGACGGACGAGGAGATAGAGGAGCTGTTGCCAGAGGATCCCATTGAGCGGACCCATTAGCAGCGTTCATGTCTTTTTCTTTTATCGGATCTCTCATTACCATATACGACTTCATCTGATTGGACATCATGGGACGGCGTTCAGGTTACCCCGTACTGGGTTTACGATCTCACCTTGGCCGATGATGCATGCGCCATGTGTATGCACAATAAATTGTATATTTGACCATTGTGATTCGGTTCGGTGCCTGATTCAGTCATGAGTTGTCTAATTTAAAACAACAAACAAAAACGCCGACTCCCATTGCGCGCGCCCAAGCAAAGCCCATCATGTGATCCCAACGCCGAACAAGTACCCTGCAGGGCCCCTCAAGAAACAGTACATAGCAGCTCGGCTTCTAGAATAAACTTGCCCTCCTTGTATTTCTCCGACTGCTCAAAAGCCCTGTCGTACGTCCAGCCGACCGTCTCCTTGCACTGTCGACACGAAATGTCCCGGACAATGTGGCGGCCTGTCGTCATGGCCCGCTCCGAGGGAGTGCCGGCGTCGTAGTTGACAACGCTGTGGAACAGAAAGGCCTTACCATGCTGCCCCCTGAAACTCTAGATTGAAAGTCAGCGACGCAAGATGGGCGGGTAGTAAGGGCGTGCGGGCGGGCATCACTCACACGACTCATAATATCCTCTTGGTTGGCGAGGTGCGTCTTGCAGTTCTTGCAGCCGTATATTTTGTCACTGGTGAGATATGTGTTGTAGGAGAGACCCATGATGACCGCGGTTTTGGATGCGAGACGATGCCGATGGTCTGCTTTGAGAGGAGATGAGGAACTGATTGACGAAAGACGTGGTCAAGTCACCGGGGTGTGATGATTGACGGTTGAGTAAGACGGGGGGGGGTTGCTGGCTGGGGTGTTGACTCAGGCGCAGGCCGGCGAGTGTGGCGTTTGCACCACCCGTCGCCGGTTCCTCCGGCCGGTTTCTGATGTGAATAATAAGGATTAATTACGCGTGTACTGTGCTCGTGTTATTATGCATGCTGTCAGAAAACAGTCGAGGCATGCCACGACTTATCAAGGACGCTATTCAAGGTCAGATGCCTCGGTCATGTGCAACAGGCTGACTCCTTCCGGGTATGTGCCAACAGGCGGGGCGAGAACGCGAGAACGAGCATCATGCTCCGATAGGCACGATACGAGACCAGAGCCTAAATGTTGAATACTTCAATAACTATAATTCATGGAACGCCGCATGTTTTCCCCCACCCAAAAGGAATGCGTGCTCTATTCTAAAGTGTCTAGGGTTGTCCGCGATCGATACACTGCTAAATGATGTGCTCGTCGTTATCATTCCGCCCCGCCTTCTTGCTGCGCTTCTCCTCTTTGCCAGCGATGTTATTGTAGTGGTATATCCCCAGTTCGCGATCTTGGTGCAGACGCTTGAGATCCTCTGCGCTCACGGGGACACCCTCGACGCTCTTGACTTTCTTGCCCTCGGCAAACATGATCCACCCTCCGTAGCCGGCCACAAGGCAGGCGAGGCCGACGAAGAGTCCCGTCGTCCAGCTCGGGCGGTCGTACCGGTTCAACGCCCACATGAAGGTCGCGAGACAAATCTGGAAGAACGTATTCCACACCATGAGCCAGATGACGAGGTCGAGCTTCCAGAGCTTGGTGGGCGGTGCGCGGACCCCCGTCAGTGGTGGATCGGGTGTCTTGGTCAAGGGAAACGGCAGAACATGTTCGTCGACATTTGTCGGCTCGGTCTTGGGCCCAATGCTCGGGTCAAGCGTCTCGGATCCTTGCAGTCGAAACCAGCCGGCATGGATGCCCGCGAGTCGGCGCAGGTGAATGTGGCTTCCGCGCATTCGAAATTTCAACAGGTAGTAGAGGTCGCGAAAGCGCCAAGGCGCGAGACCAAAGCCTGTCACACAGAACAGGGCGTTCAGGATCTGGGAGTCCCATTCTATCCACTTCCTCCTGGGCGAGTTGATGTCGTTACAGGTGGGATAGCACATGGCGGGGGCTACATAGAGCGGTCAGCGATGGCACGAGATTGCCGAGACGGAAAGGGGGAACCGCAACGTACCGGCATTGCATAGGAGCAAGAACAGCATGCCGCCCCATGCCACAATGTTGAGTCCGTATATCGTCACGACAAAGCCCAAGGGGGTTGTAAAGTACTTCCAGAACGCAACCAGCCCCAACTTGGTAGACTGCCAGGCGCTGTGAGGCGGAGGAAAGTGATAGCCATTGCGGTACGGCGCCGCGGCGGCTGGCTCTTCTGAGAATTTGGCGACGTTGGTGAGGTTGCGCTCAGTATCGGCCCGCGATGGTGTGACCTCGCATGATTCCTCCTGTATGGTGGAGGAGTCGCTGACTTTGGCTTCACTGACAGCAGGCGTGGGGAACACCTTGGCAGGTTGACTCGCAAAGATGGTTGACGCAATATTGCCAGTGGCGGCGGAGAAGCCTTCAGGGAGGCGGGACTGCTCGAAGGAATCGGAAAGGCCTCGCACTCGGCCGGTCACAGGCGTGGATGTTGAGGACCGCGCTGTTGGCGAGGCCGCCCTTGCTTGCTCTGTGGTTGGTGTGCCGTCGCCCGCGCCCACGACCGCCTGCTGGCTGGTTGTCGCTGTCATTGAGGGACGAGAGATAGTAATGACCCGACGAAATCTGCTACTCGATTAAGGTTGGGCTCGATGGATGACCTATGATAATAGAACGATTGAACTTTGTTGGCGATGAGAAACCAAAGCAGGGCAAACGATCATGAGGCGACGCACCCTCCAGAGAAGGGGGAGGGCGCTTTCATCATATACCTTGGTCTCACTTAGGTGGCGGGAGGAGTAGCGTGAGTGCTCAATGCGTACGAAGGCTCGGCCCAGTTTTTAAGCTACGACTGGAGCCATCTTGCCAACGGCTAGGCAATCTCAAGCCGCAGGCCAGACTCCAGTAGGGGCCTGTAATTAGGGCCCTGTTTTGCAGCGTGCACCGCCCGGCGCCCAAGTCCACTGCGCCCGGGGCCGGACTTCACCGAGGACTGGACGTTCCAGTCTAGCGGGCATGGCAAAAGGGGGCTCAGCCGGCAAACATAAAAATGTACACGCGCCCACGCGCAGCCCTTGAAAACTCGTCATCGCCATGGATTGCCATGATCGACTGACGACTGGACTGGCGCGTCGACGCATCGGCCCCGGACTTTGATTTCGGCATTCTCGCGTTCCTCGCACATCTCGCATTGGTCCCTGAGAATCTTCACACTAATAAGCCCGTATCGGGCCACGAACGGCCGAAGGCTGCTCCACTCGCCAGAAAACTCGAACTGGAAATCATCACGGAGAACACAAGTCGCTGCAAACCTGCACCTAGACCAGGCCCTCGGCACTTACGCCCTCGAAAGCGATGACTACGTTCAGCGAGCCTCCCAAGGCTGTCGTCCACCTCACATCGACCGTCCTCTCCAACCTCGAGGACCAGCATGACTGGAGCCATCTCGAGATTAGCAATGCGCGCAGCGGACGGCCACTGATCAGCGGCCTCCCCCCACGACGCCTGTACACGCACCCGGACGATCAGATTGCGGCTCTGGAGCACGAACACAAGACGGGCGAGCGCATTTTCCAGGACGCGGAGACTGAATGGGTACTGGCCGTGCATCTGGCCGAGAAATGGACGCTGGCCGACTTTGCATCCGTCTTTGATTCCATCGAGCACACTGGACCCCGAGCCAAGAGGATCGTTCTCGCGACTGTGCACAATGACTCTACGATTGTGTACTATCTAATGCACGAGGGCATGGTCAAGCCCCGGCAGAATTAAAGAGCGTCTTGCGCCTGGCATGGTGCTTTGCTTCTTCCTTTACACGGTGAAGACTACCTTTTGCACTTGTCTCTTGTCGAAGAGGTCGTACGCCTCGACGGCGTCGGAAAGGGGCATGATCTTGTCGAACATGAAGCTAGGGGCCGTGTCAGCAGCACAACTCTCGTTCTCGGGACAGGGCAGACATACTTCAGTTTCTCGTGGTATCTCTCCAGGATGTCCAGCGCTTCCGCAAAGACCTTGCGCACCGGGCATCGTCCCATCTGGAAACGCAAATTTTTGCTTGGCTGGTGTCAGTTGGATTGCTACCACCAAGAAAGGTTCCGACTCACTCGTATCCTTCAGTCGCGGACCAGGGGATCTGTGCTGCGCGTCAGTACACACGGAAACAAATTCCCGGGGGAGCACCAGCACCAGCCTACCTCCGCGTTGTGGACGCCAATGCTGCTGATGACACCAAATGGGCGCACCAAGTCAAAGGCGGTTCGGAGAGCGGGCGACAGACCGACGACCTCGACGACCATGTCGGCGCCGCGACCTTCTGTGACCTCCATGACGCGCGCCTTCATGCCGGCCGGGTCTTTCTGGAAGTTCAGAGGTTCGGCGCCGAGCTTCCTGGCAATGTCGAGGCGACTGTCGACGCTGTCGACGACAAATAGGTGTTTCGGCTTAAAGTGGAGGGCGGAAAGGGCCGCGCAGCAGCCGACAGGGCCGGCGCCGATGATGACCATGGTGGACTGGCTCACGTCGGCCCCTTGCGCCATGGCCAGGGCGCTCTTGACACCGTAGAAGCCGGTGGGGAGAATGTCAGCCATGAGGATGAGGGCGTTTTCAGGGACGCTGCTGGGCGCCTTCATGACGGTCCCGTCCGCGTGGGGGATCCGCACGTATTCAGCCTGGCCTCCATTGAGGTTCGGGGAGCCGAAACATGCACTCTCCACGCATCGTGCCGTGTCACCCTGACGGCAGTACCAACACTGGCCGCTGTGTGTATTTCTGTGAGCGACTGTTCTGTTCTGCGCAACGTGGTGATGGCGGCCAACAAACGTACCATGATACGGTGAATGGGCAGACAATCTTGTCACCGACGGCGACGGTCTGGACGCCGGCGCCTGCCTCGATCACATGGCCTACGAACTCGTGGCCCATGATGGGGCCGGGGTCGGTGGGCTCAAGGCCTCGATAGATGTGCAAGTCTCTTTACCACGGACGGAGCACCCCGGTCAGCATTGGGGGTGGTCGAATCAAGTGGTGGCATGGCATGGCGACTTACGAACCGCATAGTGCCGTGGCTTGCACCTTGATGACAATGTCCCGCTCATGGGCCACTTTTCGATGATCCCGTCAGCCACTGTCCAGAGCCCCAGCGTCTTACAAGACATGATAGTAGATTGCTTGCAGCGTTTCCTACCCTTGGGGATTGGGCGGTCCTGAACTGAGACCTTGTACGGCCCGTCGAAGACGACCGCCTTCATTGTCCCGGAGCCGTTCGACATGGTTGGCGTGGACGACTTGCGAATGAGCGTGCGTTGTTGGTCTTAGCGTACGTACTGTCTGTCGACACCAACCAACGTGGAGGGGGGTCTATCGGTAATGGCCTGTACCGTCCCTGTGAGTTGCGCAACACACGAGAATCAAGATTGCGGCGAATTGGTGCTAGTCTACGGAGTAGGGCAGGCGGACAGACGCTGCCGTTCTCCGAGCACGACAAACTGGAAAAGCGGGGGTGGAGAGATATCAGGGCCGTCAGCCAGCCAGTTGTGTGTGTACATGTGCGTAAAATGCTACGGATCTTTACCTAACGTATCGTGCGTACGTAGTATTACGGAGTATACGTGCTACTAACCTGCTGCATGCCTTCTCCGCCCGCGCCTGGTGATCTGGGTCCTGGGATGAGGCTCTCTGTCATCAGCCTCAGCCGTGAGTTTAATCAGACAACGTGGACTGAAACTCTTGGCATCATCATAGTCTGTGCGTGCTGGCCAAGGACTGGAGGGTTGCGACACTCGTCTTTGGATGCGAGGGAGCTCGCTCTGATTACTTTACCCTAGCCATGGGGCTGTGCAATCGGCAACGGCGGCGGGAATATAGTCATCATCATTGTCGAGCAATGACAATGTTCCGTGTCGAGTTGGTACCCTAGGGTCATGTCGCCGTCCAAAAGGTCTGGGCGGGAGGCCTGCGACGCTTCACCAAGCTTTCCTTTCCCACCCACCCCCCAGGCTCCAGGCCCGGGGCGGCTCCAGACTGGACGTCCATCCAGTCGCCAGACCAGTCGGTGGCCTCGGGTTCCCGTCAGGCCTCCCACGAGCGAATGACGGACCGGACCCTCCAATCACACCCCGCGACTTTCTTGCAGGGGTGCGAGCGACTGGAGCGTGCTCACTATATGTACACGTGTACGTACGTCTTCTCCGAGACTTTTACGGGCAATGTGCAAACTTCGCTCTCCCACTGCCAAATGAGAGATGCCCTTGTTGCGTCGTGAAGCTTCGTGGAGCTGCTACGCATTCTGGCACGCTGGTCAATGAGCGACTGGACCTCGGGAACAGTCAGTGTCTGTCCCTGCCTCTTTGGCGGGCAGGCGGCTGGGACGGACGCGGCTGAAAAGCGACATGCATCAGGGCAGAGCGAAGCTTCTGCCAAAAACCGCCCCCGCTGATGCGGCTGGGCGAGCTTGGCCTTTGCTGAA